ATCAGTTTGGTGCTCGGGTTCTGACTTTTGTTGGGTGGGCGTTTTGCAACTGTTGTGATAGTGCCCTCGTGAGACGAGCGAGGACGGCGGCCCGTGCCGATAGGATCCCGGGGACTGAGGAGCCCACTCACCGACACACTTTCCTCGGCCGCAAATAAATGTTTTATTCTCTCTCTCTCTGGTAAACTATATGTCTCGCATAATCTGGTGTTATCAAAACTGACGATGGTTATAGCGCGAGAACAGAACGACGACAAAGAGGCAAGAAGGACACGAAAAGCACGACCTTCTTGTCTCTTTGTTGTCGTTCTCAACCTTGTTTTCCACAATGAAATGTTCACCGGTACAGCTGCATCGACAAGAAGGCGCCCTCAGTATCTGAGTAGTTGTGAACTTTTGCTCGTGCCCGACGTCGATGTTCGTGGAACTGAGGATGCATGTTGCGTGGAAGTGGTTTGAAGATGAAGTCCTGCCTCCATTCATTTGGGATATGTTGTTTTTCCTCTCTCTCAACGGGGGCTTCGATTCCAAGTTCTGATAGTGTTTTCCCTACCGAATTAGTGATGATGAGGCGCATGACTGGATTCGTGTGGTGTGCATGGAATAGTTCTGAGCCCTCTGGAGAGTCATACGTAAGACTCCGTCTATTTTGTGCTCGTCTGCTTTCAAGCCCCTCAGGTAAGGAAAGCTATAACGAATGCCTGAATGAGTCGCATCATGTCGTGTTCTTTCATCCCTTGATGAAAGCCCATGTCACTGACACAACTAGTATGGGAGAAGCAGGAATCGCCCTCGCCCGACAAAACACAAGGTTCACTTTCCTTATAACAGATTGAAAAGCAGCCTACCGAAATTTTTTTAAAGGCTACATTGGCCCCATTGCGCATCGACTTCTTACACAACTCTCGTCCTCACGCTCAGAGGGCGAATGGAAGCAGCTGATATAGATACCCGGCCACTGCGAAGTTAGAGGCAATGAGCTCGCCCATGCCTCGGCCCGAGAATTACTCTTCCGGTCCTCCGACCCCGACACATCGCACCCACCCTCGGCTATGCGTATGGACCCCTTCCCATCATACACAGATATTCTAGAACATCAAAGACTTGAAAGACGGAAACTTCTGCCCCCCAGGGCCAAAGCTGAGTAAAGAATCTCAGGCAGTGTGGCGTCGCCTGCAGACCTTGTCTTACCGCAATACATACATACTGTCCAAGATAGATCCCAACATAAACGCACCACAGTGCAGGTTCTGAGTCACTAAAACAGCCTCCCTGTACCACATGGTATGGGAATGCCCACACAATCCACCTCTGCAACCCATAGCACAGCACAACACTGCAGGGTGGGAGGCAGCTCAGTCTAGCTCGGATTCGAAGACCCAAGAGGCCCACGTGAAATGAGCGAGGACAGCGGCCCGTGCCAATGGGATCCCGGACCAAGGAGTCCGTTTACCGACACACTTTCCTCGGTCGCAAATAAATGTTTTCTTCTCTCTCTCTGTCATCGTTCTGTTCTCGCGCTATAACTATCGTCATGTCATACCAACTAGCCCATGCTGCCACCCTTTAGAGTTATCAAACCATTATGGGATATTTATTAGTAAATTAAATGATTGCGTTTAACATTCCCTGCCAAAGTATTTTGTATAAAATGACTGAGTCATATCAAGAGAAATAGTTTGCTAAAATGTGTTACCTTTAGTATTTTGACGATTTTATTGTTCCGTTTCAGTTTCGGTTGCGGCAAACAACTCGCGTACGCTATCTCACATACAAGAAATGAAGTACAGCACAACTGCTCATCTTGCATTAGCACCGTGATTGAGATGTATGCTTACATAAAAAAAGAGCAAAAAAATAAAAGACGCAAGTGAAAGAACGCTAGGCGCCAAATGCAAGACTGTGACGATTTACGATGTGCATGTGGTTTTCACGAATCGCAATTAAGGCTACTTAGTGCAGATAAATTTGCGACTTACAGCCTACTTAGTGCATTAACTGATGTATACACCTCATTATATGATATAACCTCTATATTTTTAAAGAAGACCAGGATAAGCTTCCAATAACCAGGGTGCTTGCACATTAAACTCGGGGATAGCGGGACCCATAGAGGTGGGACCACTCGAAAGCAGTGTATCTTTCCATCAAGGCGGCACCCATGAGGTTTGTGATGTTACTCTACTCTGACCACCGCGATGCGATTGTGATAATGCTTTATAGGACTGCATGGATTAAATCTTCGTAGCTTTTTTTTTTTTTTTTTTGAAAGCCTCAGATGTTTAATCGAATGCGAAAATTGACCATCGGCATCCCACGGCGTAGGTGTCAATGCGAGTGGTCAAATACAAGTCACGTGATGACAATACTATATGACATATAATGACGTCACATACCTTCATTTTGGTCAATAGTACGTGTGTCAATCACGGAGGCAGTACGCACGCATAATGTTCATGGACCCTCTATTGTATAACACACGTATATATATACAGCGAGTGTTCAAGCGAGCCACCCGGTTACACCATAGCAAAAAAAAAAAACACTAAAAGAATATTTCTGCCACACTGAAACTTCTGGAATTTTCTTTTTTCTTCGAAGACAACTGAAGAGTGACCCACCCGCCAGGCAGCATTGTGGAATGTCAAACTAGAAATGTTTCAGTTGTAATCGCTTTCACAGTCATTTACTTCAAACTTTGTCCATATCCCTTACACTATATTTATTTACTTATTATAAGAGTGCATTATAACCTCTTTATTGGTTAACCCCTTTTAGTGAACATGACATGTTTGTTGTCTCGCCAATTCTTTTTTCCTTTCACTAGAAAATATTTTAAATGTTATCCTTAAGCCCTATACACAATTTTTATTTATTTATCTTTAAGAGCGCACAATACCTCTTTTGTTTAACCCATTCAGTGGCATCATAAGTCTGTCGCGTCTCAACTTATATATATATTTTTACATAAGAAGCACTCATTTCTGTCTGCACTCAGTGTACGCATATCAGGGGTTGAAGCGCATATATGCTTTGTATTGCCCTTCACAGAGAGGGAGCAATTGAGGCGTATGCAAAGAAATGCTCCGTTACAACAAGCACCTTTGGTGCCTGTCTTTCTACGTATGTATGAATGTACGCATGTATGTATATAGCCATCTAGCCACCTATCCCTGGATGCTCTCATGATCAACCCCTTGGGATACACCAAAATTAGTACTGAAGAGTAAGATGATGTGAGAACACAGTATGCTGGCCATGACATAAATAATGTCACAGTCTTGTTGAATGTGTCATGAAACACTTCACAAAAACAGTGGCACATACCTGGAAGCGGATATGTGCCACTAGTATGTGGGTATGTGCCACAGGTGATTGACTCTTAGTATCTACCTTGGAACAACAAGAACACACATAGGTAACTTTTAACGCTTGAGAGTCAAGAAAAAGTTGACAGAGGCAGTGTTGACTGAACGAATGCAATGAATAAACGTTCGTGTCTCAGCCGGAATCGTACCTGGTCCTTTTGCATGGCAATCAAGTATTCTATCACAGAGCCACACCAGGTCTTGGAAATACTTTGCAAATTAACCCTAATTTTTAATAAATGTGAAGTCTGTTTGCAGTACTGGTTATCAAATTTCGTGAACGTTACATATGTACACCTAGAGACAAGAAGACAGCAGATGGGGTCTGGGAACAAAGCGGCGTTAAGAATATCATAGTCGAAATCAAGAATAAGAAATGGACATGGGCCGGGCACGTGGCGTGTATGCAAGATAACAACTGGTTATTATGGGTAACTGACTGGATTCCCAGAGAAGGCAAACACGTGAGGGGAAGACAGAAAGTTAGGTTGGCCGATGGGATCAAAATATCTGCAGGTATAACGTGGCAGCAGAAAGCGCAAGACCGGGTTGATTGGTGGAACATAGGAGAGGTTTTTGCCCTGCTGTGGGCGTAGTCAGGCTGATGATGATGATGATGACATTAAACACCCATGACAGGTGTCTTGGAGCATGCACTGAGTCTTTATCAAAAGATGACATTACTAACATATAAATATAAAAGCAGGATTTTTTTTTTTTAATAAAGGCCGCTTCTGGTTGTTAAATGGCTTGCCATGAGCAGGTAACATGTCACACTACAAGTCTATCGTGAGAGGTATGACCAAAAGCTTCAATATGTAAAGCTATAAATTTGGAAGCAACTAAAACAGAAACATAGCAGTTAAATGAATACCGACACAAAAATTTTCCTCGTTCTGCTTTATATATGAATAAGTAGCTAGTGACCTGCATATCAAAGCCGCATACACTCAAAACTCGATATAACAAATCTGGATATAAGGAAATATCGGTTATAACAAATTAATAGATTTAGTGTTAAGAATAAACCTTCATAACAAATTTTTGGATACAACAAAGTTAATTTCATGTAATATGCAAGTTTGTTATAATGAGGTTCGAGTGTACCTCGACCACAGGCCCGCAAACCTCATCTGTTAAAGCATGTGACGATTCAATATTACAAGATATTTTTCACGGGGCCCAGTTGCACTTCCAGTTTCAGACAGCACCGGCAGAGATGGGATGCAGTGTAGGCTTTGAAAAACTCGGATGACCTCGTGACAACACCAAAAAGCATACGGCATCATGTGGACAAGAGAATTGTGCCATCTGCAGGAGTGAGTGCATGCAACGACCATGGCAGCCAACACCAACTGGTCACGTAGCTGGCTGCTGGTTGTTTGTGCTCGAAAAAAGTTGATGTCGATGTCACGAGGTACCCCGTTTCACATTACGTTCTGGCACACACTTTATTATTGATTTTTAGTATGTTCATGGCTATATAGTATGTGCAGGATGTTTTGTAGGTGATGTATCTGTGCAAGTGCAACTCTCTCACAAGTTATCTCAAGTTCAAACTTTTGCGGCAGTGCTCCTTCAGAACACCACAAGATAAATGCGAGGTCACCAAGAATGCTACTTGCACTGAACTAGTAGAGAAAATGTCTTAGCAATGTCAGACATTTATTGAATAAGAAAACTACATATTTCACGTTTCCAGCACTTGCACACACACATGCCAAGAGGCATACAGTACTTGCAAAGTCGCAAGCTGGTAGCTAAAGGCACAAATTTTTCACTTGGAGCCAGGCTCCTAAGAACACAACCTAAAGAACACTCTGATCCCTTTGAGGAAAAATCAGCTTTTTCTTTAACCACCGGCTTTTATAGAATCACAAATGATAAGCACTCAAGCTGTGCATGACGCAGCTGCTCCACTTCAATTAAGCAGAAAATTTCTGTATACTCATATCTACTCGTAAATGCTGAGTAACTCGTCATAATTTAAAACGATAAAGAAAACACAACAGGCTAACTTAATCTTCAGCAAAAACAAAATCTCTATTGTTTTAATAAAGCAAAAGTATATCAATCTCACCCTTAGTTTTACATTCTGTGAAAAAAATGAGGTGCTGATGATGTCACGATTTGATGCTGCTTTCCGAGTACATGGGCCAACCTTTTTTCTTATTACAATGATGTGTTTCTTCAATGAAAAGTATTTACCCGAACATTTGCTTCTGAGATCAGTAACATCTGAGCAAATCAACGCAGGACTTTTAGTGTGCTGTCACCATTCACATGTATGCATTTTCAAAACGCAATTTGTTGATACAAGCTTTCTTATTTCAGTTATGAGTCTTCTTAACACAATTAACAAGCAAGAATTGAGTTATCTGGGTTGTTGTAAAAACAACTTCTTTTCTATTTAATTTGCAAGACCGACTTTATTTCCTTTATCAGATTTTTATGAAAGTGAGTCAGCTGGACCATACACGGCAAGAATGGATAGACCGACTGCCCTACACCACCAGTAGAGGATGCATGTTAAAATATGTAAGTGCGATGAGAAACACGTAAGCTGATACAGAAAATAAAGACAGTAACAAAGAAAAATAGGAATAAATACGGCAACACAATATTAGCTGGCACAGCTGCCTAAGAAATATGCCACGATCGTAGCATTAAAGATACAAGAAACATTACTACAATGCTAAAGGGCTTCCACGATGCTATGAGATATGCAGAAGCACTATGAGAATTCAGAGGCGTGATAATGTGAAAGTATCTTGTTTTTTTTTTTTTTTCTTATTGGTAGGCAGCACGATGTGATTGGTCGAAATATTTCAGGCCACACCTACTGTGTTTGTCACAGCAAGCAACAAAACCCATGATAGTGCTCAGTAGTATAACTATGAAAACACAATAAAAATTTTTGGAATGGCAAAGAAGTGGTTTTTGAATAGAATATAGAAACACTGCCCACGAATAATTTTGGCTTTGAATGATCCTGAGTGGTGGTGAGACGGAATTGATTTGTTTATGAGCATATTTGGCGCAGCTGTACAGTGGTGGTTAAGCTTTCACACTTCTTTCAAAATAAAATTCCCCTCTATTTTCTATTTGGGATAAAATATGGGGGCATTCTTCAGCTATTCTACAGATTTTCAAGTTTGTTCAGCTTGATTTAGCAAAACCTCTGCATACTAACCATCCTGATGTCGTATGCATTCTGCAATTTTCAGTGCCCGCACGATTCACAAGCAAAATGCTCACCTGAAGGTTTTTAAGTAACTCGACTGATTGTAATTGATTGTAGATTCAGAATTAAAAGAGAACGGGACATAGTTACATTATACCAGCCAAAGATACATAGCAATGATGCAGTGCTAGCTGTTGAGATGAGATGCCATTCTAAACACTGCCCTTGTGCCAGCACATTGTAAAACGTCTTTCCTACAAATGACGAAACAGTAATATTTAGTTCCCAAATGTAAATGTAAACATGTGAGCAAGAGCACCAGCTATATATAAAGAACCTTTTAAAGTGCTAACATTTCTGCAATCAAGTTTGATACAGAGGTGTCATTTTGCGTTACTGCAATGCCCAAATGCAATAACTGGCCATTTTGCACGAAAAGAATCAAAAGCAACATGCTTGTGGCGTCTGCATGCAACCCGGTCTGCACCGTGTTGTGTTTCCAAAATGATGGTAGGAGACACTGTTTTTGAGCAGGAAGATAGGCATTTGTCTATCATTCCTGCACATGCATTTTTTCTAACTTCTTTCGAGCAATACAGGCCAGCATCGCATCTAAACTTAAATTTACTTTTTCAATCAACAAATTTTTCACGAAAGCAGTGTAAACAAATATTCATGAATTCCTCATGTAAAAATCTGAACCACTCGTAGCAAAAGTAAAGCTTATCATCACAGCATTTTAGAACTTTATAAGTATTCATCGCTATACAAGAAAATAAATTGAAGCAAAAGTGAAGAACTGAGCTTCAGTACCTGGCTGTTTTTTCTATGAAAACATGGACAAATTTAATTGGTCATTTGCTGAGGAGTTCAACTGCATGCGCCGTCAATCCACCTACTTACGAGATAAGAACGTGTTGAAAGCAGCAGCTTATTCAAAAGAGTCATAAATACCTGGCACATATGCAACAATCAGTAAACAGTAGGTGCAGTAAAGCCCGGATAATCACTCCAGGAGATGTGAGGTTAGCATGGTTGCGCCCTTTCCCATGAACGCCGCTACACTCTGCTAAATTGTTCACATCTAATGCGGGCTTCTCACAGCAATGAATGATCGTGGTTAACGCTAACACACATTCCAGCGCTGTCAACAACTGGAAAAACGTCAGCAGACATAGCCTCGGCTAATAGAATCACCGTTACTTGATGCAAGGTGTAAGTTTTTTGATTATGAAGGAAAATGTTAGCTGCACAACAACTAAAGAACATCATATGAAAGAAAAAGCTGTGTTTCGTTAGTCAAGTCACAGAAACGAAAAACTCACGGTCTTCATGACCAAGAAAAATCTAGAAAAATGGAATGTGCTGCCCTTGGATTGTGCAAATTACAGTTCCTCTCATACAGGGACTACCAACTCACACGATACTCTTTCATCAATCAAAATCCACACCACGACAAGAGCCCTATCACAGCAGGCTCTTGAAATACAATGTGAACATACAAAAGAAAAATGACCGAAAACATCCAAACATTTATGCATGTGCCGCGGTGAGGTGCTAGCAATCAAACTCACGCTGAAAATACTACAGCAATTCCTTTTTAGCATTTCCTTCTGTGCGCAATGTAAACAACGCATATTGAAAATTGCCACGCACTGAACAATCTCATAAATTTCTGATGCTTGAATGTGCCAGAGGTTAAAAAGAATAAATATTACAAGGTTTATAAACAAGGCATTAGTGAAATGCAAAACTAGCTCATACTATTCTAACCTAACACCACCTGGGTTTTTAAAGCAGAGAGTTCATAATCATTTCTTTACTCTAGGCAATGTAACATGCACACTTGCTGTATGTGTCCGTTTTTGTTAGTGCACACACCCAGTATAAATTCCCCCATGTGATACGTACCTGCTAGTGCTAAACAAAAAATATGAAGCCAGGAATCAATTCCAACGGCTTTTTCTTCTTGCCAACAGAATGTCGAGCTGCCAGATTGCCACGAATGCTCCACAATAGCTGTGCCTACTTGCTTGACAATAGGAAATATGTTAGTAAGAGCCACATATATTTTCTAACCTTGCTCGAAACTAGAAAACATGGCTGCAAGTTTTTAGCTATGAAATCTACGTATACCTCGGAAAATAGTAGCAACTACAGCAGGCCCTCCTTGACATGCCTGTGTTACATAGTAGTGCTGAATAAATGCCTGCACTAACAAATGTTTAAATAAAGCTCGTTCTTGCAGAATGACATTAACCCAGGCGTGTATGATTAGGACAAAACTTCAAGTAATACACACAAAACAAAGTCATTGCTACGCCCTTCCAACATGCAGTGTAATTGATAAACAATAAGAATAGCAGCGGGTGATACAATAAAAAATGAGGTATAGCGTGGTGATGCTAAGACTAAGTCAAAAGATGTGCATGTTCTCGCCCAAACAACGGTACAGTTTAAAATGCTATATTATGCTGGCACACACATTGTGGCAAAACACACACTGTGCAACTCGGAACTTGCACACTTGCATATCTAAGCAACGACGTACAGTTAGCTGTTTCAGTCAATTTAAACTTAGTAATAGTTTGGATTGCCTCAGCAAAGTGGAAAATAAAAGAAGAAACTGCTGAATGCATGATAAATGACTACTATAAAAAAACACTCACACACTTTTGTTCAACCTGTAGTTGGCGACATATTAAGGCACACTTGCAGCATTCAGTCGTCCACTAGGAATCTAACGATAAAACTAACTACAGGACGAATGAAACAGGTGAATGGGCAGTATGCGCCACAACTGTAAGCATTGGTGTGGCACTGCGAAGGCGACAGTGGAGTCTTGGATGCATGCATTTGGTGGCGGATGTCCAAATGAGGTGAAAGGTGCTTGTGATGGCAATGCAAGCAAAAGACTCTGGGAGCCACAAGTCTGTTGCTGCAGCAAGCGGCTTTGTTGTCTGCCCTTTGGCACAGAGCAGATGACAAAGCGAAAGAGGGCAATGCAAGTATAGTCAGGCCATAGAAGTCTCACTCCGTACGTTTCACAGCCCTGTGATTTGTTACCTGTGAACCTCTTAGTGGAATACTAATTTGAGATGTTATCACTAAAACTACACTCGGCTACAACTTGTCTAGACAGCACTGTCGAAGTACCTAAGTGCATGCCTGCCACTATGCCAAAAAATAGTAATGTTTACTGATAATTTTCTGATTGGCCTTGCCGAAATAAATGCTGCGTTATTTACAATGAGACTGAAACAACTGCGGGAAGTTGTAGGTCAGATACAGTTATTGTCGCCTTTAAGAGGATGCCTTTTTGCGTTGCTGTTACTATTTCTTAAACAGCAACAACTTTTCAGCATGCCCGTTTTCCACAGTAAACATGGCGTCCACGACGTTGTGGCTCAGCGTGCGGCTGCAAACGTGCTGTTTGGTTTTCAAAAAAAAAAAAAAAAAAGTGCTCGTAATATGACACCTAACCTTACACTAAAAAATCCATTCACATTTTTCGTGTACATATATTTCTAAATGCATTAACAATGTGAGCAAACAAAACTGAAATCAGCAGCAAGCTGCTGTACTACATGTGGAGCAACATGAATGTGCGAAAAGCCCCCCCTGTAGCCTTCGCTCCACTGCTAAGATAAGTTCTTGCTGAGTATAGCTGTCATGGCCACAACTTATCTAGTTACTATAGCAGAATCTCGATAAACGGAACCTCAAAAAAGCAGAAAAATTTGTTACTATTAACAGCAGTTCCATTTGTATAGGAAGATGTATGGAGGTGCAGAACCACCTGTGGGACACACTGTCAACATTGTTTAGAAGCTGTGAATGTAGTTTGCAATAAAATATTGGTTTGCAATATGTAGTTTGCAATAAAATATGTTTAGAAGCTGTGAATGTTTCGCAATAAAATATTCTTCAACAGACCACGTTTCACACATGTGCAGGTACCATAGACCCTATAATGTAATAGTGCGGAAAGTTGGGCGAGTTGGTTTGAGGACATTCTCGGAAACATTTTGGCGGGCACACAATAGATGGAAAACAAAAGACGAAAGACAAGGAGTTGTGAGTTCGCGCCTGTTTGACTTCTCGCCTTTCGTTTTCCGTCTATTGTGTGCTCGCCAAAACTTTTCCAAAAATGACCATATACCTTCTACTTCTACATATCGCTGAAAACTGCAATTGAATTGGCGACTGTGTCATGGCCCCTTTGGGACAATAACGGTTTCTGTACCACTGCTCAGATCAGTGTGCACTATTCCACATTCTGCTCCAGGATAGAAAAGAAGTGCAATGCAGTGAGGTACAACTGCGTACAATGAAAAAGATTTGCAGTTTAAAGATAAAACCTGTTCTCGTCATACTACCATAGAGCGATCGTTTGATACTACAAAAGGGTGTCTTGAAAGGCCAGTTGGTAGACGAAATTGAGTAGAAAGAGTGGAGGAGTGGGGCGAGTAGAGGAAACACAGCAACAATCACACACAGCACTTGTGTTGCACATTTCCTCTAGTTGTCTCATTCCACGCTGTTCTGATAACTGTAGAGATTGATAAGAGCGCCTTCTGAATCCACTGCACTGCGACAGTTGCCAACAGTTCCTGCGAAGTTAGCCAGGCTCGTTCGTCTACTAAGCTGCATGTTTTAGTTGCTTGCTCTTCTAAGACTATAAAACATACATTATGACAGCAGCATGGGCTGATGAGCTAAAAGGTAGCACGAATGGACTTAACAGAAAATAATGGCATTTGAAATGAATCAACAGAAATTTTATGACATCTGCGAGAAATCGATGCTACAGTGAGGCAATTTGTTGTGCAATGCGACACTGCACGTCAAAATGTGCGTCAAAATCTTCAGCTTTACGTTGCGTAATGTAAAATTGAAGGCATAGCCAAGAATAATTTACCCCTATGAAGTCTACACCAGATAAGAATGGGGCCACCTTGCTCTCACCGGGAAAGCGTCAATGCAGAGCAGGAGTATGTGCACATCAGCTTAGCCTGCACTGCCTGGGCTTTGTTGTAGACAAAGCTCCCCGCTCATTGACACCACTGAATATAAAATTATTCCCAGCACGATTTCAAAAGACGCCTTTCATAGAAGAGCCTTGCTAAAACCGCAATAATGCTTCGCTTTTTTTTTTTTTCTCTACAACAACCGATACAGTAACGGATGTTTCCCAACTGACCTTATTTCCTAGGCTGCCCAAGCAAGTGAAATTCCTGTCCTGCCCAAGCAAATAAATAGCTGCATCAGAAAGATGGTGTGGGAAATAGTTACCTGTTCTGGGAGAAAAAACTATCCAGGGACTTAAACTTTGCTAAAAGGATATCTGACACGACTGCAAGCGTCAGGACAAGTGGCTAACCACAGATGCTCCTTTGCTGTGGTCAACATTAAAAACTTCACGAAATAGACATGCTTGTGGTGACAACTTAGTCGATACGCACATGCTCGACACTATGGGCGTCCTAAAAGCAAACAGAGCACATCAATCACAAGGGCTGTACACAACCACCAAGGGCACTAACATGTAATTTAAATAAATATTCACTGGTAAGAATGAATGGAAGCCCCCACCCTTGTCGACTATATGTGCTCAGCTTGTCCCAAGGCTCATCCACACCTGCAACTTGCATTGGTCAGGTGACCATTTGCAACTGGTGACCAATGTTCACACCTGCATGCAACTTGTACCCGTCACCACACAGAATTTATGTCTGCTGGCAAATGGCTCGCATTGCCACTGCCCCGTAAAGTAAGCGGACATCCTGTTCCTGTACACGCGATTGGTTCAGATGTTTGTGACTGCCATAACATGGTGCACATAGCAGCCATGGTCACACAGGAACCATGGTCACATAGCAGCCATTTGCGAGCTAGTTGCGTTGGCGACTAACTCGTTTCGCGCAACTGGTGTTCGTCGTAGGTGTGAACGAGCCTTTAGCACTATTCGTAATTGCGAAAGGAAATGAACCCACGAGGAGTGTAACTAGGGTTAGGGAGGCACCACGGCGGCCAGGGTGTCAGGCTGCCTGCTGGATGACCTGCACCAGCAAGGCATAGTGCTGCCTCAGTACGTCCAGGTGCGGACCCGCATCGGTCGGGGAGCCCAGCTCGTCCACGAGGCGCGTGAACTCGTCCATGATGCCCGGAAACATCTCGTCCAGAAATGTGGGCAGCTCAGGTGGGGACAACACCAGGTGCCTGCAAGGCACGGACGCAAACACTTGAAGATCACAGATGTTACATTGGTGGGAGGACACAGCTAGTTGCTACAGAGGTTATTTCATTGTTTTTATGAAGATACGTTTTCTTTTCAATTATATTAAATTTTAGATATGCTTCGTTATAAAAATAAGCATGAGTTCACACCTCTCGTAGTTGTATTGCGCCACTGAGTCATCTTAGAATCAGGTCAAACGACAATGGCAGTTTGAATACAGTCTTAGAAAGCAGGTATTGAACACAATTACTACTACAAAATAAACAGACATTAAAAAATTCAAAAACGAAATGTTTCACTACAATATGGGCAATGGCCAGCTAGGAGATGCAAATATGCACTTGACTAGCTTATACGAAAGTCGCACAGGCTGTTTTGAAGAGCCATCGAGTTGACGGCCATGAAACTTCGCAGCTCCATTGACTCGAAAGAGTTCACAACATCAGAAAGCAGCTGCTGTGAACTGAAGCTGCTAGGTCCTGGCAAGTTCAGTTTCTGCGAATCCTAAAAAAGTTCCATGACCACTCAACACAGACCTCCGACCAATCACGAGTGGCAGCAAGCAACTTACTTTTTGTAAGGGTTTCGAGGCAAGCCTCTGGGATCGAGAAACACTCGTTCTAGCAGCAGCAACTGGTCATTCACCATTCGGATGGCCATTGGACTGCACGATAGACATCGCCACACATAGCATCAGAAACAAGCAGGCGCACTCATAAACAACAAGTGAATTCCTGGTGCAACGCAGGAAGCTTCAGGCTAGACCACGATGCCTTTCTGCGCTGGGCCTAGCACGAAAACTTCGCCGACAATTACAATGTTGCCTAATGCAAATTATGAGCACAGCTTCGAGTTGGGACGAGGCCAGCTGTGTTTGAAGATTTAGTTTACCGCAAGGTGTCAACGAAGCCATAAATAATTTTTGTGAGGTAGGACAAGAACCACTACACCATTATTCGTCTTTCTGCAGATGAGTGAGGTATACACTACAGATCTGTAAGGTACTGTGTAAACTTTGTTGATGCCTTGAAGCTACTCTGAATAGCAGCAGGTTTTGACTATTGGTAGAATGAAAGTGATAACACGTAAAATATGCTACATTTTGAAATTCACTACACTTGGAGCAAATGAAACAGGTATAACAAGCTTTTAAACTTAAAAAATATGAATTGATGCGAGGGTAATATGTTCATTTATCTTTGAAATAGGGCTTCGGGGCAGTATAGATTTTTCTTTTGGTTAGATGTATTTACAGTATGTTGCCCTTTCACCGCAGTAAAACCCCTTTTACAGGGTGTCACACAGGGACAAGTACCGTATTTACAATACTCGCGTAATTAATGCACTTTTGTTCTTGAAAAAAGCAGACCAAAGTTGGGGGTGCATTTATCATGCAGGGAAAACTTTAGGAAAACTTTTTCGAGATGAGCAAAAAATGCAGTAATGCAAAAAGAAAAAGTTAGGTTGCTTAGCCTTTCGTAAATGACATATGCATATGCTGTTTGGAAACAGCTTCTTTGTTAGACTTACTCATCTATGTTGGTTGAAGGTGCTTTCTGCTGCAAGCTGTCCCTGTGCCACGCATGAGCACTCTATAACAGTGTTTCGTGGCTTTCTTTTCTCGTAATCGCTTAACCGCAACAGTGGCATCTGCTGTGATCTCCAAGGCGCTGAGAAGCGTGCGCTACGACTCTACAACACACTTTGCCAACTTCGTGGCAACCTCTTTAGAACGACCACGCCGCCACCATTAAAATTGCACCAATATCCTATCACCGAAGCATCTAAAACAAACCGTCGATAATATGATCATAACGTCAAAACTAGGCAGCCGTCTCACTGTCCACATGAGAAATTATTGTAGAAAAGGTAGCCCATATCTTGCGTTCGTTGAACTATGCACGGATCACAAGCATGAAGAGCAAATTGCAACCAAAGCGAGGATCGGGGGTGCTACCATGTTGCGGAAATGGTCTTGATCCTTTCTGGGTGACAAGCAATGGCGACGAATTGCCTTTCGCAACAGCCATGGCAACAGCAAATCCTGTTGTCGTCGCTCGAAAATTACGGGCGTGTGGCACACAACTTTTTCTACTCTTTTTTTCTACTCATTCTTTCCAAAAACAATAAAAGGGCAGAACAGCTTAACTCAGTTAACTGCCAATTTACAAAATATAACAAATAATGATTCTATGCCTTGAAATTGTTTTTGCATTATGTATGTACTACTTGTATTGAAAATTTATTTCTTCATTTATACTTTGGTTCTGATGAATGTGACAGTGATTTTCTGTAGATGTGCTTATATATCTTTTCTATGCATTCCTTTGAACTGATTATGTTTTTGTTTCCCCCCTAAATAATGTATACACTGCGATTTAGTAATATGTAAATAAATACATAATAAACTCACTCAGAAGTGTCAAGCTCATTCTGGCGTGAGTGGAAATTGTAGGCTGCATCTGAGAAGTTCTGAACAGCAGCATCTAAAGGAGCTGAAAAGGAAACACATTGCATTCGTAAAGGCATGTACAGGTACTACCGTAAAAACCGGAATATAGGTCAACCCCCAACTGTGAATCTTCTAAAAAGAAGAAACTCACAAAATTTCAAAGTATCGCGGCACACCCTTACCTTGATAAGTGCGCGAGACAACCAGCTGCACTGTGGTGACATTTCTTTTTAGTTTGACACTAATCTTACGTAGGTGAACGCCAAAAGGCCACAAAGTGCTATCACTCAGACTCGTCTGAACTTGAGTCCGACGACGTCTGTTTCTTAGCAGTTACGTCCCAAAGTGCATCGTCCTACGTTCCATCCAATGCGTTGCTGATGCAGCATTTGCAGAAAGACCTGCGCACCAGCTCCACAGCCTTCTAGTTATCACTTTCCCCCGACTCTTTTTTGTTACACACCCCCTCCATCGTTTGTCCCCCCTTACTCTAAAAACCCGCACGGCCAGACGAGGCCCGAGTTTTCACACTGCCACCCATCTTTCGGTCGTCCAACTAGTCTCCTCTCAGTTTTCGATTGCTGGTTTTGTTACCCTTTCATTGGGGTTGCCAGCTAGGAGTGACCAATCTACTTGCCAGCATCATTTGCCATCCACTGTACCTGATCATCTGCGTCTTGTGTGGTACGTGTCGTATTGTTCCAATGCAAGCGCTATTCCACCGACTTAGATAATTCGTGATTTGTTCTATGTTTAGGACCTGTTTTCACTCACTTCGCACTGCACTCAGCATGCTCTCCGCATGCATTCGGAAGCGCAATGACGGCTTTTACACCAAACGAATCGTGAATTATCGAAGTCGGCAAGACCGCACGCAAGTTCGCCGGCTGCCATAATACGATTCTTTGACCTTTGTGCGTGTAGACCACTCTCCAGAGCTTTCCTACGCGTGAGTTAGATTTTCGTGGATACTGCACGCAAGCTACTCGACCTCTCTTTTCTCTGCATGTTTTGGTTTTTCAAGGTTACCTTTCCGCTACATACTCCGCTTTCTTCACTCTATCGAAACTCCTTCGCTCGTCTCCACTGCTCCGTGATGCCGCGTGACACAAGCCTCGCTGCTCAAATTCAGAAGTTTCGTTTTCTCACTAGAAATGGGTGACAAGCCCACAGCATTTCCACTGCGTGCTGGCTTCCATGTTGCGCGTGCGCATCTTGCTCACTGTTAGTGTACCTGTGTGGTGAGAATGGGGAATGGGAAGCCTTCCGCAATTTTTTCTGCACTCAACAAAATGTCAGAAGTGTGATCACTTGGCTTAGACGTAATCCATGCATTTAAGACATAGGTGCCGCGTTGTGAAGCGCTTGCTCATATTTGTTGACCGCCCGGCAGCTACCTTGCCACTTCGAGCGTCCCTGTAATCAGCCGTGAAGATGGTGAAGGCTTCGTGGGCGGTGGTGACGACCACGTTTGTGCGAAACTATTTTTGCAAGGCTGACTTCGTCAATGTTGGACCCGATGTTGAGCCTGAAGCTTTCGAACCAGACCACTCCAGCGGCGATCTGTGGCAGCACGTCATTGACTCCAACATTGGACATGAGAGGGTGTGCGAGGCATCCTTTGCGATGGTTTCATTACCGTCGTTAATGACGCCAGCACTGCGAAACCGTGCATGGAGGGCGTTGTGAATGAAGTGCATGGCAAGAGTGATTTAGATGAATCGGACAGCGAGGATGACGAAACTTTGGAGCCAATGAACAAGCGTGCTCGAAGCAATTGGCTACATTAATAGCCTCGGGCAACTTGTATATGCCATGGGCTTCAGCGAAAAGCATGCTGACACTTTAAAAAAACTTGAGACCATCCTTACCACTACTGCTTTTTGAAACACGTGCATCACGAACTTTTTTCGGAAAAACATTCCGGGGAAATTTCCCTTTGAACATATTTAAAAGCTGTGTCTAATTTACTACGAACTTCGGGATACAGCGAAACTCAGGTTCATTATACACCGACTCGACTATATATAAATTAAATAAAAAATAAAAAAGTAAATTAGAGCACAAACCAAGTACAAAGTGTACTTGTTAAATGAAAAGTATTAGCATGTACTTCAACCAGTCAGAATCGGCCACGCACGGTCTAGTGAATATCACTGACCGTGAAATCTGATTGGGATCACTGTTACAGCTGCTGCCACTGCCTTCCTAAAACACGTCGTCCTCGATTCCATCGAGCGCGTTTGAATGCCCCATTTTGTTGAAGCTCCTCTCTACAATGCTGGGTAAACTAGGTCCTACAACAGGGCAACACAGGAAGATCTAAGCATACGCACAAAACTGAAAAGGCCTTCTTTGATGGCAGAAAACTTACAATAGCAAGTATGCACTCTTTGCTTTCTTGCGTACCGATCGTGCCGATCATCCCACATTAAAGTACTTCCCCTTGATGTACTTGGCGGTAGCGCCTGGTTCCCATTTTCTTCATCAAAATTTACAACAGTGAGAGTCAATTTTTCAGACTCTATGATTATTCTAGCGTAGCCCATCGCAAGGGAACTCTAAAAATGCATCGGCTGGATGGCGAAATTTAAACTTCCGAAACCGACCAAGCGTGCGCTGCAGCGTGGACGCGGAGAACAAGAGGAACAGTTGGTGCAAAAGGCGCTCGCATTCCTCCGATGCGAAAAGTTGTCCATGCCGTGGCGTGAGGTGCATTCTTGCGGTGTTAGAGATGGGGAGACAGGGGGGAGGCAAACGTTTGAGCAGTTCTGGCGACGCGTCAACAGCTTTGAGTGCTCGAGTACGGTACTCTAGGGACCATATTTCGGGGGAAGTCTTCGAAAGGGACTTTGCACTACCCACCCATTTGCTGTGCTTGTCTGCTGAAACATTAAAAAATCCCAAGTCTCTTCGTCCACAAGCCGGCGAGCTGAATCGGGGAGCGTAAAATATGCAAGAAAATATTTTTTTTAGCAATGCTGGCAAAATATTAGAGGTGCGCAAATTATGTGAGTAAGTACAGTACTTTTAGGCTATGTGTCAGACTTCAAACAGGAGTGGGCTTGCCCAGTTTTTGCTCAAACGCTATTGCAACGTCACGTACCTCACGACATATTAGCGAATGTGAACAACGTTAAACACAGAGAGAAGCGCCACATTTCAACACTTGATTGTGTCATCATGAAATCATACACAAAAGAGATATGGCATAACAAAGACCTGGTTGCCAATGAAACACCAGTGAACACAGGCAAATTATTATTCTCACTATTACAATTGAACCCACCCACACATATCAAACTACACTCATACCTTAATATAATGATTATGAATGTAACAAATTATCAGTTAGATTGAAGTAACTGAAGAACAGTTTTGTCATAGTTACAGCATGAATAAGTGTTTATAACAAATTTTCGAATATAATGAAGTGATAATGATTTTTAAGTGCATAACAAATTGTGCCTATCGAACAATTGTAAAATTCTCACAATATATTTTCCTTTTACCAAATTACCTGTATAAAGAACTATTTTGTGATCCCCTTCAGGCTGGATATACCTGAGTTCTACTGTATTTTATTATTATTATGTTGAACTCGCTACTTTTTAAAGTATCAGACATGAAAAAGCGGTTGCTGTTATGCAGCACTTGAAAAAGCCAGTAGTCTTGCTCACCCAGGTCTAGGCCATGACGCGTGTGCAAGTGAAGGCTGATGCAGAGGTCCTTCAGTAGCTGCGCGTAGTCGAACAGGTTGAAGGGCAGGAAGAGAGAGTCGGCCAGGGTGCGCAACAACTCGCCCGCCACCGCCGCCACTGTGGCATGCGCCCGCAACTCTGGGTCCACGTGTTCTCGGAACAGCGAGAAGCGATCGTACTGGGTGTGCTTGCGTGGAAACGCCACTCGAGACAACTGCGTACGTTGATAACGTGAGACCAAATGCGTGTACTGTAAAAGGTTGTTCATTTCGGTATTACAGGACCAGAAAAACTATCCAAGTTAAGGGGGGACGTGCCTTTGACAATGTACTTTCTTGTTTCTGGCCGGATGATAATGAAAATTGGCTCAGACACTAACAATGGCCTCACCGTGCATCCATAAAATTTTCGAGGCGATAGCACAAATACTTTATGAGAGACAAATTATTTTTCCATTGAACCTCGTGGAGGGGGCTGGAGGATTTATAAAGTGACAAAAATGGTTGGTAATTACTGTATGCACAGCCAAATAGTATGTTGAAGAGGGCTGCGTTCTCAAAATAATTTTTTTGCAACACTAAAACTTGTAGTGTAACGTTTTCTTCAGCGACAGTGCAATGAGCACATTTGCACTACAAACAAGAAACCCTATAAAAAATTCTTTAAGGAGTAAAATGAAAAACTAGGATCACAGCCCCCTGAAGCACAGTTCAAGGAGCATTACAAAATAAACAGAATCAAAATCTGTACAGTGGTTGCCCAGATATCTGCTCCACGAGCTGAGTATAATGCCAAAAAAACAGTATTGAGAAAACTGCGTTTAAAGTTTCAACTTCTTTTTTCGTCTCTAAAACACCTAAAGATTGTGATCTTAGGTTTGTCTTGTGATATTTAACTTCTCAGGTATCTGACCAGTGTGCTTTGGTTGCCCTTTCTTCCCCTATAACCTCCTTTTCATGTTTTACAAAGAACAAGTATGGATTTCAAACCAAGTTCCTTTGTATGAAGGAGTGGTGTTATAGGCATGACAGAAAAGATTGTGATTGAATAAGACCATATACTGAAATGATTACACATATTTCTTCTGCTGAAGTTATAATTAGCATTGATTACTAATATTCACTGAACATTTCTTTATTTGGAGAGAGGTTATTGCATCAAAAAAATGGATCACACCATGCCGGCCTATGCCTTCTTTCCAAATAACAAAGTTATGGGCAGAAGACTGGTGGAACAGGAATTTTTAGCAGTATATTTAATGACCCGAAACAGGCATATAAAAATTCGTGCCTCTGATTCATACATGCTCTTTTGCCACTCTAGCCGTGAAATGCATCATCATACAGTCGGTCACTGAAACGCTAATCTACGAGGACTTGCATTGCCTCAGAACATTCATAGACGTTCGTGGCGATACCAAGCACGGCTCCAAGCACGTATAAATCGCATCACACATGTGTGAATCGCATCACAAAAGCTTATTGACAGCACTCCATTTGACCGTGGAGTGCGCGGCCGCGTGGACAGTGCAGCCGCGTAATGCACTTGTTGGCGGCTTTCTGTGAAGATGCCAGAAAATGTGTAATTACGATGACAAAAAATTGGTGCGCACTGCACCTGGCATCACATTTTCGAGTGACGACACGGGAAACTGCTAGACGCAGTTCCGAGTAATCCTTGGCAGTGAGGGGGTGGGGGGCAAGTGCAGAGTTGACTGTGTGGTCTGCTGCCAATGCGTAAAATGCCCGTACGTGGTTCAGAGGAGCTAGCGAGTGATGTACTTTATTTCTTGCGAACAAGCACGTGGCCAAGAGTGCACTAGCGCATCGCTCCTGCCCGCAGTCTCGCTGCCAGCGGAGTTAAGGCTAAAGACGACTCCGATGACGCACCGCGCGCCCAGCTCGTAGTAATCTGATCGTGCATCCGGTGCGGCCGCTCATAGTAAACTGATCGTGCCGCCGCTTACAGCTTCGTTGCTTGCGAAGAAGCACGTCGCCACAAGTGCGTTAGCGCGTCGTTCCTGCCCGCCGTCTCGCTGTTGGCGGAGTTAGGGCTGAGAACGACTCCGATGACACGCCACACTCGTAGACCGTGCGCCCGCTCGTAGTAACCTGATCGCGCATCCGCTTATGGCTCCTAATTAACGCGTAATTATATTTTAAACAATCACCGAGCCGTGAAAATATAACGAAGTAGCGATTTTCGAGAGACATGTCCTCGCGACGCACAAGCATCAGAACGACGGTCTCCCAGAGCGAGCATCGGGCCAATGGTGAGGCGAGCTGAGACAACATGGCGGCCACAGCCAATCAAGGGCCTCGAAACAACCTTCAAACATTTGCTTTTTGTGCGCTTGTTTTTATAGGGAGGAGCCAGCTGAGGCGGGAAAGTTAAATGCAGAGAAATGCTCTTTCCGATGAGCCCAAGAAGCCGGCTCCCGGCCCTACCATCGCGAAGCTATAATTTTTCAAAAATCGCTGTTTTCTCGCGATTTCAAGAAATACTTTTCGCTACCTAGGTGGGTAAAACTAATTTTCTGAAGCACTTCTGCACGGTTTTCAGTGTAGATATTTTGGAATCAGATTGAAAAAGGGTTCCAGAAACTGAAAACTTGATTTTCAAAAAATCGTTTTTTTGCCATTTTTCACGATCCCAAAGCCGCGTCCCCCCGCGAATTGTGAATTCCTCAAAGTATAAAAAAACAAGTATACATGCTACCCCCCCCCCTCAAAAATTCCTTATTCTGTAACCTAGGGCAATGAAATTTTTGATGTTTACAAAGCTTTTTATGCTGATTCCAACTATGTAATCAGTTTTATAGTAAGTCGCATAGTTTTCCTTTTTTGCCCCAACAATATGTAAAGTATAGCTATTTTTGAACACACTTTCTTTGCCACTAAACTTTAGTTTTGAACCATTAACGGCTAATATTAATTCACATTAATAGTAGAAAATAAATAATTAGCAAAAAGGTGAGTATAAGGCATATTAATGTGAGAGGTCCTAGAATGTTCAACCCACACTAATTGGTCATTTCAGGGTCGTTATAATTATATACAAGACATCAAGTTTTAAACAAAAGATAAGTCTACTCTCATTACAACCAACCATGATAATGAGTCCGCACGGTCCAAAGTCCATAATAACCACAGTACGTAATGTTTAAACTTCGTTTAAAGGAGGAAGGTGGGGGCGGGGCAGTGTCACCGCGTGGCGATTGTTCCGATTTCGCTCAGCAGTATGGGACAAACTAGTTCTGCTTGCTGATACATGCTGAATGTAATCAACTGCATTGGTTAGGAAAGGCTGCAATCACCAGCAGCAGTGATTAGCAAAATCGCAACGGAAGTGCCAACTATTGAGTGCCGTTACATCAAGTAACGGGATGCTAGGCGGCGCCTGCACAGGTGCCAGGCTTGGCACCAATAAAATGCGTTTCTAGCATACTTTTTCCTCTACTTTTGTTCATTGGCTTGGAATAAATTATTTCTTAATTGAGCGGACGAAAAGGCACATCTGCTTAAATGGGACCGCCTAATAGCTGCTGGGAGCTGTTGCTCTCGCGCAGTCTCCACGGATAGCTGGAAAGTCCGAAGTTGGTCTGATAATTCTGAAATTAGCAGTGCCAAGGCACTTGTGACATTAATATTCGAATTTCACATTAAAGCTCACCTTATAGGAGCACCCAAACGTCTTACTTTCGAAACTTTGGTAGCGTTGCCTAACAACAACAGCAACTGAAGACTTCCCTGTTCTAACAAGCATGTAATGCTCGAACTGGACACTTACCCCAAACTTATTTAGCGGCTTACCATACGGTTCACGCTGATGACGATGGCGATGTAGACTGCAATGCTTTGTAATGGTTGTCCGTGATTGCCCTTTATGCTCTACACCATTGCAAATTTACGGTACTTCGCCCTCGATGCACTTCGAGGATCATCCAAATTAATCATATTGTGACCAAATATGACCGGATTAACGAGAGTTTGATGCAACTAAACAACACAAAGGCTTGCCTAGGCCATAGAATGGGTCCAAACTATCTGGTTTTTTCAAACTATCGACCTTTTATTGTACTTTTAGGCCGCCCAACGAAGAATTTCATAGTGAATAAATAATGATCTACCGCAGTGGTTCTCAGCCATGGATGTGCCGAAGACCTCTTGTGGACTGGTGGAAGTGATGGGGGGCCCCTTGCAGTAGATGGGAGGGAGGAGGGGAGGGTACGTAGATAAGTAAACACAACTGAAGCGTGAAACAGGTGCCTTTTATTGCTACCAAGAACCAACCAAACATGCCAAATCACTTCATTTCGGTCAGTTCATCAATGCATGGCACAGTCACGCTTAGAGAAAACTGCGGGTGAGGGTTTCGTTGATCAAAGAAATGGCTTCGCGGACCCCCATTTGAGAACCAGTGATCTACCGTATTTACTCGCGTAATGAATGCACTCGCATAATAAACGCACCCCCAACTTTATTTAATCATCCAAATTGAAATTTTTTTCCTCACGTATTAAATGCACCCCCAACTTTCATCCTTTGCAGTACCACGAACTAGAATTACTGTATACGCTACCTTCAACCTAAAGATAGCAGATACAGTAACTCCACCACGAACCAACACGCGGTGCTTAGTCCTCTGTCAATCTTATCTTTCTTTCTTTTTTTTTTCCTTTCTTACGCAGACCCCACTCGGTTTGCTTCCCCCCGCCCCTCCGGCCGCGGTAGCGCACCATTTTGTTTGTTTTTCTATCTGTGTGCGGCGCGGTCCCTCTCTTTTTGTATTGTTTTTGAAGTAACTATCCGCACGCCGCAGTAGTGTTCACGAATAGTTCGAGTTGTAGTGACACGTATCCCGAAGGAGTATGGCCACTAGCGTGGGTCCGGTCTTGGCGAGCCGCAGAGCACGCGTTAATTGTCGCCGTGGCGAGAACACGATACTGCTCAAGGTTGCAACACTTTATTGTCTGTGGCAACACCAAAACACAGTACAGCCCGTTGCAAAGGCGCGGCGGGAAAGCAAATGGGCTTATCCATACCACAGGCAAAAAGTACTACACAGGGTACCGCGAGCACGTCTCCGTGGTAAAAATGATTCACAGAGACACCGGCACCAAGGCCCGGTTGCTCAAGCGAGGGCAAAGGCGCTTACGTTGGCTTCGGAGAGATACGGGTCGGCGTAGCTTGGCCACGCTCTAGAACATTGTAGTGCCCTTCGGCAGAGCGTACGCAAAGGGGCAACAAAAAGTGAGCATTCACCTCGGGCGCGAGGCGCCATCAGCAAAGTCCGACGAGTCTCAAACAACGGGAGTCGACGGACGGAAAAGGGAATGCATGCTCACCATAAGCTGTCCCGGAGAAATCTGACTTACTACCCGACACATGCACGCGAAACGTCTCGAGAGACCCTGCGCCCGGGGCCACAGTGGACATCCGCTACCTGGTGAGAGGGGTTAAGCGTCACTCCTCACTCACTCAGCGCGGCAGACAGCGGAGGAGGGGAGTCATGTCGGGACATGAGAACGGCAGAAAAGGCGGCAAAGCCCGCCCAAAGACAGCGGGCTAGCCTCGATTCCCACACAGTGTAGAGACATCACAGCTCACAAGCATACAGCGTAGGGAGCTTACATGACCAGTCATGTAGGCTACAGCGAAACTGCCCACGCCATCCCACGGTCATGCAAAAACGAAGCTTTGTGGAGCCGTCGGCATCTGAAATGTGGTTTTCCCTTTGCACCGGGTGTTCGCTAGTGCCATTTACCACCACCGAAGCACACCGAAGGAGTGGAATTTCCGAGGTCGGGTAGGACATCTGATCAAAACAATGCAAGACGGTGAGGAGAGTTCTAACATTGTCATCGTAGCCCTACTTTTTTTTTTTTCACCTCACAAGTGATGCTGCCCACTCTCACCTCATTGAGAGTTCGTTCTAAGCTTGTGCTGCATTTTGTCGTGAAGGATTTGCAGAAATGTGAGCTACACAGCTGGTTTCAAGCTACAGGCGGTGCAGTACGCACTCCAACACAAGAATCGGAATTGATGAAGTACGTTTGCGCTACTGGCGGAAGGAGCAAGACAAGCTACGCGCTACAAACAGAGCGACGTTCGTTCAGAAGACCGAAGACCGAAGACCGGGAAGTTTCCTGCTGTCGAAGAGGAGATTTTGAAATATGACCGGGACCTACGAAATGATGGCTGCGTAGTTTCGCACTAAATGATCCAGACGCAAGCGCGAGCCACAGCCAGGAAGCACAACATCGCTCCCACAGTGTTTAAAGCGAGCAATGGATGCACTACGCGCTTCATGCGGCGTAACACACTGTGCTTGAGGAGGCGCACATCACTTTGTCAGCAACTTCCTCCTTACTGCGAAAATAAGGTAGTGGATTTTCACAAGTTTGCGATACGCCTGTGGCGGAACCGAGAATTCCTTCTTTCGCAAATCGGGAACGCGGACCAACACCCATCAATTATGACATGCCGATGAGTAGGACTGTCAATGAGAGGGGAGCACGTAGCATGCTCGTGAAAACGACAGGCGCCGAGAAGCGGCGCTTCACGGTCATGCTGGCTGTCACGACAGATGGCCGGAAGCTGCCTCCGTACGTTACTTTCAAACGAAAAACTATGCTGAAAGCCAACTTCCCAGCTGGAATGCACGTGCGGGCTCAAGAGAAAAGGTGGATGTCAGCCAATTTAATGGTTGACTGGGTGCAGATTGTCTGGAAACGACACCCTGGCGCCCTGCTTCTCCCGTCTCTCCTCGTTCTCATTTCGCGGCCACCTGGGAGAGAACGTTCGCCAGAAGCTCGAGGAGCTGCGCACAGAGATCGCCATCATTCTGGGTGGACTTCGGTGCTTCAGCCCCTTGATGTTTGCATCAATAAACTGTTCAAAGACAGCGTGCGCCACTTGTGCACGAAATGAATGACTCATGAAAGGCACGCCCTGACGCCGACCGGCAAGATAACGAAGCCGTCCATCGAGATGGTGTGCTCCTAGGTTTTGGACTCATGGCGCTCGCTGACAGGTGATCTGATAATTAAGAGGTTTAAGAAGACGGGAAACGCAAATGCGCTAGACAAGAGCGACGACGATCTGTTGTGGGACCAATACTTGGAAGTGGCCAGTGACCTGGACGACGGTACCAGCGATTCTGTCGAAGATTGAAGCAATTGAAGTGCAATAAAAATATGTGCTTTCAAATAGTGTACGTGCATGTTTACTGTAAAAGGTAAGCTACACAATTTTTTTTGCATTATCGTGTTTTCGGCTCATCCCAAAAAAGTTTCAAAAATTTACCTCGCATAATAAACACACTCCCCATCTTTGCTCTGGTTTTTCTGAAAAAAAAAAGTGCCTTCATTACGCCAGCAAATACGGTATACACGGTGCATATATTTTTTGGAAACCTTCTTTTTTTTTAAACATTTATAATAGGTGTTTTAAAATAATTAGTTGTGAAATCATTTTTGAATTATTACTACCTATGTATTGTTCATGTTTTCTATTGTACTTGCTTGTTATGTACCTCTAATCATTTTCGCACTACTTCCATGTGTATGTACAGGTCCCCAGGGCTTGAATTGAATTTGAGTTGAATTGAACAGAACGACGAAGTTCATCCCGAACAAGGCTCTCATGAGTAGGCCGAAATATCCGTCAATATATGTTCACGTTGGTCGGTATCTGTTCAATGTTCTTGCCAATTTACCGACCACTGCCCTTGCTGACGACCACTCACCTTCTGAAGGATGTCGTCCACATAACTCATCTGCACCACTGGAATGCCTGCCTGTGAGAAGAAAGCTGCGTAACTTCCCTCAACATCCATAGCTCGCACTCTGCAAAGGATGAAGTTGAGAGTATTACAGAAGCCCGTCTGACCAGAATGAAACATTTCAGATGATGGGATCCAGCCACAGACCAAAGTGAGTGTACTTCTACGTTTCGGTTCTTCCACGAGAACCACGTTCAATATAAAAACATTGTAACAGCTGATTATTTTCTTGAAACATCAAAATATGTGAATTTTAAGAGGGGACGAGAGCCTTAATATAGCACAAAATTATAAAAAAAATGCTGACTTCAAAAAATTGCAATTTGAGGTATTTATAGTTGAAAGTATGTTTTGGAAAAAATTTATATTATGGCAAAATACCATTTTCTTAATTAACAGCTTAATATATCAAATTACAAATGTTTTCAAAACCAGAAACGTAATTTTCTTGGCATTGTTATTTCTGTGAAGTGAATCTGTCTTAGGAAAGTTTTCAGCAAGTTTCTGTGGAAGTATTTAAAATTTGTCATTACTTTTTTTAAATGAGATATTTCAAATCTGTTTGCAGATTTGAGATATCTGTTTGCAGATTTTAAATTTCGAATCTATTTGCAGATTTTAAATCTCCCTTCAACGGTACGCACGCAAAGTAAATTTCATGACAGTAGGATAATAAAAAAAAACTTTTTTAAGACCCTTGTCCCCCGCTTAAATCAATTTGGGCTGTGCCCAGGCCCATCTTCTAAACTCTGAAAGGGGGCATGCAAGCTCAGCAAGATACTACGTCAATGCTAAACATGGCACTGGCATTACATTGCTGCAATAAAAATGGCTAAGTAAAAAATGAATTGACTGATGGAAGATTTGAAAGACACAACATGTGTTCTCAAAATATGACATTACTGTTTGTTTAACGTGTACAGATGTTTGTGCAGCTGATGACAGCTACAGCAATTGTATCAGTTCCTTAGCCCTGCAATCACATTTATTAATGCAACTGGGCTGTTTGACAATTTTCAGCAACAGCAAAAACTCAGCCGGACAAAGTTTATTTTTGAGTAGCTCAATACCTTGGGAAATCCAGGGCTCTATGGAATCCTACCAAGCTGGGAAAAGTCATAGATGAAATAACAAGCTCTGACCAATATATAAAATAATGATGTTGCTGACTTGCTACGAAGGCCTCACTCATTATCCTGTGAACAAAGCTTCTGTTTTTTTGTGAATAAGTTGTGAATTGTGATCGAGAACAAGGCCGTTGTTGTGGGTTCGAAACATTTCATTATTTTAAATGACTAGTCATCACTCGTCATTTTTCCCAATAACTAGGGACAACGAAGAAAATAGAGCACTCAAACAAATGTTCCTAACTGAAAGTGAAATAAAAGCTGTGATCCCTCTTTCATGCCAGCAATAACTTCCTAACTGAAAGTGAAATAAAAGCTGTGAACCCTCTTTCATGCCAGCAATAACTTTGCAATGTGCAGCCACTGCAACTATATTGTGGACTACACGATAACAAACAAGGCAAGATAAGCAATAAAAATCAGCACACACTATAACCCAAAGATTAGGAAAAAAAGACTTTAATAATTGTAGAGGTTTTACAACTCAAAACCATGATAAGATTAAGAGAGATGCCATGGCAGACGACTCCAGTAATTTTGATCACCTGTGGTTCTTTAAAGCATACCTAAATATGCCTTCATCGAAATATCACAGTGGTGGCTGGGATTCAGCCTTTAACCTTCAGGTGAGTAGTTGAGAACAATAACCACTACACTACCGCGGTGGGTATTCATGAAGACTTGAGCATCTTTGAACCGAGGAACTCAAAAGTGCTTACAACAATTACTTGTCAATTTTCAATATCTAGCCTCTCCAGAAAACAGAAATACATTTTCGAAAGCACAATTGAAACAGGGACAGATCTGGCCTCACACATTTTTTCACGTGACAAACAAATATGGCATGTGGCGCTAGGTCTCGACCTTACTGTCCCGTCGGCGCATGCCTTCGAACTTTCAGAATAAAGTTTTTCCAAACCAAACCAAATCGCTTCCACGTCTTGTTAATGTAACGGCACGACACTAGTACAACTATGAGTTGAGAGGAGAAGTGTACTGACGCTGGTCGCACAGGCAACATGGCAGCGTGCCTGTAGTTGGTCAACAGGTCCAGGGGCTCAACACTGAAGTCGTCCCAGTCCTCCCCTTCCTCCAGGTGCGCTGGGGCAGCAGAGCCAGCCATAGGAGGAAACAGGAGCCGCGAAGCGTTGCGGTGCTTTGGGAAGGTGGCCACCCACTGCTTGTACACACTGGGCGAACCTTCACCACCAGTCGGAACCTGCACGGCACGACCAACAATCACTCTTCAAGGTGCTCACCCTACAAAGCATCACAACTATTGTTCCAGGTGTGATATGACAATTAGCAAAGAGTTTGCCAAGTATCAAGTCCCACAACTATTGCTTTAGAGAAAGGTTTGCTATCTTAGAAGTATGCCAACTGCTATTCTAGGAAAAAGCTAACTAGCTACCAAGTTTCACGATTGCTGTTTTAAGTAAGAGTTGGCTAATCAACAAGTTTCAGAGCTATTCTTCAAGAGAAGAGTTTGCCAACTACCAATCTTCGCGACTATTGCTTTAAGGTGTAATATGATGGCTTGTTTACTGCAGAGTGAATAGTTTGCTAAGTACAATGCCCCGCAACTAATTGTTCAAGGGAAGCAGTTCGATGCTTATCACATATCACAACTACGTAGAAGAAAAGTAATCAAAACTAACATACAAGTGAGCAAAAAAAAAAAAAAAAACAGAGAAAGAAAGTTGAGCCCTTGAAACACCCCTCCTTTGATTAACTAATAGGAGGAAAGAGTTGGCTGTGGACCAAGTTTCACAACTATTATTCAAGGAAGGAGTTGGCTAGTCAACAGGCTTCACAGCTACTGTTTTGGGGAAGACTATGCTAAATACCAAGTTTCACAACTGATTTTGTTCTAGTGAAGAGTTTGCTAACAACCTAGTTTGACAGCTAGTGTTTTAGGAAAGAGCTTGAGTTCACTAACCACGAAGTTTCACATGTATTGTTCTAGCGAAAATTTCGCTAACTATCACGTTTCACGAACACATACTTGCTGGAAGTACTCTCTGCGAAAGCAATAAGAGCTTTACCTTTTGATTATGCTCACAGTAAGGTTGTAAAACGAGCTATATATGTGAATATATTTAGGGAGACTTCTGAATAAAGCTTACTTGCAAGTTTGCGCCCTGTCCTGTTTGTGTGTTCCTTCCTGTTTTCGTGGACTTTGTGCTTCTAAGTTTCAAGTTCACATACCCTGTTCCAGGGAAAAGTTTGCTAACAACCAAGTTTTGACAGCTACTGTTCCAGGGAACTGTTCTAAAGTGACCCCATGGGACATTTTTATATGGTAGCATATTAAACGGGGCACAGCAGTAACCAATCTGTCATGATAACCATGTTTTTGACTGCAGACTAAGCATTAATATACAGTCGACTCTCATTAATTCAAACACACTTAATTCTAACTTCTGGTTAATTAGAACTGACGCTGTGGTCCCGTCAAAGCTATGTGTATTCCAATGGGCGAAAGCACCCTGTAATTCGAACGCGCAAGCACTTGCGATGGTTAATTCGAACATACCGCGCTCCGAAAATGCTCTCAGCACCACGCCCAATCCCGCGGCGGCACGAAGGAGGAAAAGAAGAAAAGGGAAGAAAAGGCTGCGGCGGAATGTTCGCTCTCTCTCAAATGCCGATCTGTGACATGCTTACGCCACTTTTTCCATCCCTGAAGGTAGAGACCCTTCTCCTTTAAACGCTGCTCGAAAAGAAAAACTGCGATTCGGCCTAGTTGGAATCTATCCATCCTGAAAATGTATGCGCAGGCGAACAAGGACAAAGAAAGGAATACAAACTGGCGCAAACTTGCGCCAGTTTGTATTCCTTTCTTTGTCCTTGTTCGCCTGCGCATACATTTTCAGGGTCGAAAAGAAAGACAGAGAAAAAAAGCTGTCACGAAGTGTTGATTCTCTCTCAAATGCCAATCTTCGACGCACCGGTGCCATGCTTCCCCCTTTCTCGTCCCTGCCATATAGAGATCCTTCTCTTTTCAACACCGCGTGCAAAGAGAACAAACAAACAAACAAAAAATGACCCGTATTTGCATGTTTCACGGCAAATGTCGTCGAGAGACGATAGTCTTGCGTGTGGAGACAGTGAACAAAACGTTTATTTGATGTTCTGCACGAGAAAATCGATGAATTGTATTCTGGAAGCGCTGTGTTAGAGAGTCTCGATCCGTGCAGCGAAGCCGACTGAGCGCATCCAGGCACATTAGACACGAGCACTATCCGGCAGTTATTTTCGAAAATGAAGGAAGGCATGCACGCCTACACAAAAAGATGCATGCCTGTCTCGGAGGTGATAAGGTGCAGAATGCAAAGCGACCGGCAGGTGCCACCACCGTGTCATCTTAGCTAAACGATGGAAACACTTGCACTCTAGAGCATCGCGCTGCACTGTCAGCGCAGTGTGATAATCGCTATGGTCCATTGAATTACTTATGCGTGCCTATTCTAGTACAAAACCACACATACAGCCCCGCCGCGGTGGTCTAGTGGCTAAGGTACTCGGCTGCTGACCCGCAGGTTGCGGGATCGAATCCCGGCTGCGGCGTCTGCATTTCCGATGGAGGCTGGAAATGTTGTAGGCCCGTGTGCTCAGATTTAGGTGCACGTTAAAGAACCTCAGGTGGTCGAAATTTCCAGAGCCCTCCACTATGGCGTCTCTCATAATCATATGGTGGTTTTGGGACGTTAAACACCACATATCAATCAAAGCCACAATACTAAATATTGACGTGTTGTTATGGTGCCTCAGATATGCGCAATAATTGCTTTTTAATTTACAATAGCACAAGTATGAACGCTGAAACTTGAGCAATATTGGTGGGCGCTACGGATGGGGTTGGCCGTTTGGGGTATCCCTAGGTGCCGTTTGAGGTATTGTTACGGCGGACAAACAGACAAATGTACAGAAAGACAGACAGACCAAAATTCTTGCTGTCGAAGTACCTTAAAAAAAAATAAAACAGCTGCCGTGGAGTGTCTGTTCTCTCTCAAATGTCGATCTGCTTCTCTCTGCGTGAAGACGCTCCTTCTTTTTCCTCACGTGCCGGCCACGCTGCGGCTGCGGCGCAGAGGGTAGCAGTGGAGATGCAGTCATTATCGTTGTTTTTAGAGAGTGTCAGCGCTAGACATTGCCGCACTCAACTTCTCTTGCCAGAAGAATGCTTAAGCCGAAGTAGATATACTATGCAAGCTGCGTGCGAAATCGATTGCCTCGCTGCAAGGCAACGTGTGCAGACGCACATCACCGATCACTTCAAATAATAATAGATGTCCTGTGATTTGTGAATAAATGTAAGACTTCTGGAACTTCCCCCTCGTGTGTTAGCTCAATGCACATGCACGACTGCATGGTGAGCCCTTTGTTCATTTAGCTTTCATTAATTAGAATTTCTATAAATTTGAACAAATTTTCAGGCCCCTTCGAGTTCGAATTATTTAGATTCGACTGTAGTTCTGAAGGAACTTCATGTCATACTCAGCAAATACAGGACTTATCACTCCACAAAGCCAAGATAAACGCTCTGCAAATAACCTGAACATTTTCATGCACGAAAATGAATGTCCTCACCTGTCTGGTGGCATTGAAGACCGCATGGTAGAGTAGCGGGGAGGCTGCCACACTCAGTGATGTGGACCCAAGCACCGGCTGACCAAGGTCGATGTAGGCCACCACACGACCATGCAGCAGCTTGAGGTTCTCCTGAACACCAAGCACACGCAACCAATCTTTCATCTTAATCTGTGTTATGAAGGTTAATCTTGTGTGCTCACAAACAAGCTGGCGTGATTAGGTGCATTTGGTTAAGCACTTAATATGTGACGAAATATTTTAAAAAAACATGTGAGTGGCCTGAGTCGGACTACACTGATGCACTCATGAGCTGTTACGTAGCAAACTTCTTGCAGGGCGAGTGTTTGCTTTTCGGCATGCAGTTTTACTTTGTGGCCAGCTGCTACACTGCAGCTGCTACACGGTAACAAACCCTGATATAACGAAATATCGGTCATAACGAAGTAAATGAACAATGGTCATGCTAAAAATTGCTTTCACTCTTTGTACAAATGACAAAAGAAGGCCTAAAATCAACTGTCACGACCCTTGTATCAGCCTCTGGCTGGTTTTAGCATGACGCGCTTGGTCGTTACAGGAATCTCCATGGGAGGCCACCACTTTTCCATGCATGCGCGTGCCATCACACACTGGAAAACTGCGCGTTCAAAGAAAAAAGGGTACACAAAGTGCTCAAGATCATGAGGCATGCGTGACGCATGTTTTTTCCCTGTGTCATCCCTGCCTGCCTAGCTTCCAGCACTTTTGTCGGCGTGAGAGAAGAAAGAATACAACTGCAGTGTGCAACAAATCTTTGTAACTTTGCTCGTACTGGACGGACTTTAAGAATTTTTGTAGCCGTGAATTAATGCGGCAATAACATTAGCCTTGCCAAAATATTCGAACGCTTAGAATTATCCAATAAATAATGCACTCTTCGAATTTACTTCGAATCCGAACTGAAATTATTGAAAATGTCAAATTATTCAAAATCAACTAATAGGTACATATACAGTCCATGTGTGACACCCTGTAAAGGTTGTTTGACTGCAGTGAAGAAATGCTAAGCTGTGAAAGCACCTATTTTAAAAAAATCCACACTGCTGCGAAGCCCAACTGCAAGGTTAAATAATGATATTACTCCCACATCGATGAATTTTTTTTACGTTGAAAAGCTTGTTATGATGATTATGCTGACTTATATGCTCGAAGTATAGGAACTTTTAAAAATTACCATATTTTACAGGCTATCTCCTGCATACTACTGAAAGTCGAATTCTGCTACTATTCAAAGCTGTTTCCACTTTCATTGATGCAAAAAAAACTGCATTTGTACATGCCTTGATTCAATTTTTTAAAAACATTGTGCAGGTTAGCTAGATCATGACAATTATGCCCATTTTTTTTGTAATATGCGATATCTATACTATTTGAATTTGATTCGAAATTATCCCACCAAAATTGCTATTTGCTTCGAACAAAAAATATTTATTCGCACAAACCTAAATAAGACCTTTTAGTGAATCCATTTCACGGCTACTTGAATAAGTATTGCAGGGCCCCTTTAAGCATCCTTTAAGTTTTTTCTTTTCACATAAAGCACTTCACTGTTTAACTTAATGGAACCAGCAGACAATGAAGCTATGGAATGTATAGCGGACACTACTGCACACAAGTAAACCTTTGGACTGCGCATAGGGCAGCCCACCCACCTGCCAGAAGATGATTCTATGTCAATAAAATAGTTTTCAATCAATTAATTGGTCAATCCATCAACTAATCAATCAATTGGTGTGTTTGTTGGTGAATGGATAGAGGCACAAAACACATTGTGATCTTTCATCAGGCGTGTACTGAATCGAGTTCCTTCAAATTGGTAAATAACCAAATTCCTGTGCCTCAAAAACCCGTGGTTGTCAGATATGACATGAGGCTTAAAGCAAACACATCAAGTTAATGCTCAAGGATTGAAATGCACCATCAAAACAGTCAGTATATAACCACTAACATGCTCAACTATGCACAACTACTTGAGGTAACTGTAGTATCTTGTTATGAATCTGGGTGCTAAAAGCAACATTTGCTTCGACTGTAAGTTGTTTGTGTCAAAATTCCACCAATATCGCACAAACTGAAGCAATGGAAGCAAAAATACTAATAAGCAATACTCAGCCCTAAATTTTCATGCTTCAATACAAAAGCGCTGTCCTGAAATGATCAGTATTAGAACGAGACAACGGTCCACCAAAATGTGTTTACCTCTAGCCACTCAACAACGCCTACTGACTGGAATTCCTCGGCAGCCCAGCTGCAGAAGATTACCGTGCGGCGTGGCCTCCAACCTGCATTGTACGCCGCAGGAGGTATGAGTGGCTGGCAAGGTTGTTCCAACAGGAAATACTACTCACGGCTGTAGAGTGTACTCATCAACTTGTAAAGAGAACTCACGTGCTGTAATCTACCATGGCAATGAGGGGAAGTTCTTAGCTTTGTCCAAATCTTTGAGCTTTCGTTATAATCAGGAACGCACTCACCGGGTTCACGTATCCCCCTTTATTGGTAGTACATAGCTGTAAAGTGTGCTCATAAACTTTTAAAGAGAACTCACGTGCCATTATCTACCATGGCAACGAGGGGAAGTACATAGCCTTGTCTGAATCTTTAAGCCTTCGTTATAACCAGCAGCCCACTCACCAAGTTCATTTGCTATATCCCCTTCATTGGGGGTGACTATGTTTCTGTTCAGAACTTGTTTACGTTTGTTTAACTTGTTTAAGATACGTTGCTCATTGAATGACCTTAGCCTTCTCCATACTCAATATGTTTTGACTTGACGTTAGTGTGCTGACCACTTTGGTGAAGGCACTACGAAGTTCAACCGGTCGTTCGACATGCAACGTTTCAGCATCAAGGTCAAGAGCACTACCATTCTTTTCTGGAAATGAATGCAACCAAAAACTGACTGTACACATGTTTGGAGTCTATAATTTCATTCTATTTATGTCACAGTACAATTTCATAAACTGCAGAATGATTAAATATATATTGAATTCTACAATAATTACAATTAATTGCTGAAACTCGCACAAACCACTGCATTACTTCATTTTCTTTCTTGTATTGTGATTCTGAGTGCTTTGAAATTATGCTACGATAATTTGACACATTGGTAGACAGTGCATCATAACTGGCACCTTAAGGGGACAATGTGATGCTACAGAGCAAAAATAATGTTGCACACTCCCTGAAATGCGGCACAAGGAAATCCTGGCATACTTTATTGCATACTATTCAACTGTCTCAACTTAGCACAGTTTTGTATTCTTCGTGGTGTGTGCTTTCTGTCAACGGCCTATTGGGTGCTTTTTGTTATTGCCTAGGGCTAAGTAACAAGCACAAGCAGCCCCGGAGGCAGTGGCACTAAGCTTCAAGTTATCTTCGAACGTGACCGAATACCGTATTTACTCGATTCTACCGCGCCCTCGATTGTAACGCGCACCCGATTTCCACCGCGAAAAAAAAAAAAAACGTAAGACATCAATTGCAACGCGCACCCATTTTTCTCGCCGGCCCGCACGATCACACCACTCGAAAAAACTACTCCTTTCGGGAGCGTATTCTATTTAAATATGAGGTACGGGCGAAGCTTGTGCCCATCTGACGTGTAACAGAGCTTTCCATCACGGTAGTTTTACCGTGGATTGATGTCAGCACGCGAACTTGCTTCGCGCCTTTCTTCTCGACGGTTGTGGTGCCAGGCATGTCGAAGTAAAGAGGCATCTGATGGGCATTCCCGATTTGCCCAAGCAGGTAGCCGTTGTTGGCCCGCAAGTTTAGGACGAACCTCTGAAAACTGTGAAGCTTTTCATCGTACTCCTCCGCAAAACTTTTCGCATATGCATGTTCCCCTTCGGAGGGAAAAGCCTTTCCTTTAAATAAAGTTAGTTAGCCAGCACCTGCTCGCTTTAAACTGGCTCTGCATTAGACCTTTTTCCAAGACTAATTGCATAGCCCGCACTTGGAGCAGTTCTGTCGTCACGGGCCGCTGTGCCGCTCGCTGCTCAAGCACATACTTGCCGAGCAGCTCTTTAATTTGCGGAAACCGACCCTGCTGTGGTCCACTGAAGCCTTTGCGTGAAGCTTTGCTGTCGAGAATCTTCTGCTTTTGTTTCCGCCGGTCCCGCACGCACGTTTCGGGAACTCCGAACGACCGCGATGCGGCCCGATTTCCATCCGTTTCTGCACACGCCATAACTTTTCTTTTATAAGCGGCATCGTGGTGCTATCGAGTTTTTGGAGTCGGCCCTTCCACGCCGTCGATGCTAATGCACTACTAGATGACGAACTCCTCAGCACACGTACGAAGTGCCGCACATGGGAAACACATAGGCAGAAATGGCCGACGCGCCATGCCGACGCACGTAGGGGGCGGCCATTTTGGATTTGCCGATGGCAATAGATTGACCGTAATTTTTTTGTTCGTACTCGATTCTAACGCGCATGCAATTTATAAACTCGCTTAACCGGAAAAAAGGTGCGCGTTAGATTCAAGTAATTACGGTATGTGCAGTATCGTGGAAGTGACAGAAGAGACAGGATAGCTTTGCTCAATGCTTTATATGATTATAGGTATTAAACAACATCTTTAATTCTTCCGGCTTTAGCGTGGCAGTCTTGTAACTATGACTTCCCCGGTGTGGTATTGCATAAGTCACCAGATCTCAGGTTCGATAGAATTGATTTTTTTTTACATCACTAAAATTAATATTTTTTTATGATACTTTGGCTACTATGCTTTGCACAAAATAGAAGGGTAGAAGCTCGGGCTATAGGGTATGTCATGATGAGTGCTATAGCACGAATTGAAAGAGAGGATGTGAACTGTGGTGCTTATCTTCAGTTGTCTCTGTGTCCTGCATAAAAGTTAAAATTAAAATTTATGAAAGCTTCAATACACTGAAGAAATTTATTAATTTAATTATTTCTACAACATGTATAGCATCGAAGGCATTACTGTAGTACAGTTCGTATACTATATGCTATATTTTTTTGCAATAAAAGGGAAAGAAAATATATAAAGCAAGATTAACATTCTCAAAGGTAACACAAAGTTAAAACACAACTAGGACAATATTTGTTATCATAAACAAAGTTGGAAATGAGATCACGGTTATCAGATACGGAAATGCATTTTTCCGGCTACAAGTTCTAGTCTCATGCAGTGTATGGGAAAAACGATTAGGAAAAACTGCTAGTACCACAACTATGTTCACGCACCTCCTTTGTGTTAGTCGTGCAGAAATTGCCGATTTTACCAAGGTCAATGTTTTTTTCCACAAGAAAAAAAAATAAGAGAAACAGAAGAAGTGCAGAACATGTCATCGAAACTGTCTTCAGTATCTTTTATGGTAAAGTTGTGCAAAAAAGCTTGATGATAATTAACCAACTAAACCATTGTCTTTATTTCATGCAAACTATAGTACAAACTGCATTACCCTCAGCCTTTAAAAGCGTTCCGAAGGCTGCACTTAGTTCGAGCAGCAGGGCTGTGCTGCCAATGTCCGAGTCGCCCCACGCATCGCGGCCAGCGCCCACTAGCACGTAGCGATCTGGCTCGACACGTCCGCGCACGTAGCCGACTAAGTCGAACACAGATTGGTTGCGCAGCATGTTGTGCAGCTGCAGCTCAACCTCAACGGGTCCTGGTCCAGCGCCAAGGGAGGCGTTGCCCTCGCCACCTAAGGATCCCTGCATGTCCACTGTCATTGGCGGTCCACCTAGATGCCTGCATGAAGTATGACATAGAATGCAAACAATATAAAAAAAAAGTAGTCAGTGATAACTCTTTGTCAGTCTTTACAGCAGACAACATTTTATAAGATTTTATACATACGACATTTTATAAAATACTAAGCAAGCATCCCTCCCCATGCAAGAGCTCCCCCTAATTTTACTGCTACTATGGTGGAGCTATTAGGCTTCTAGTTATACTGCTAGTTGTCGATGGAAAACTGTCACAATCATGAGCTGGCATCCAATCTCTTCGTCCTCTTCTGTTTCGCTTCCAGAACACAAGCCCCGATAAGTCTGGCCTGGAATGCAATAGCTTTGATGGGCGAGAGAATGAGCACAAATAAATAAAGAAAGAAAGATACAAACAAAAATGTTCAGAGACATCCTCAGCAAAACATATTTCTTGGGGCCATGGGATTTCAACCAGCAAATACACAGTTCGAAAGCAAACATCAAAGCCACTCTGCGGTACAAGCACGACAGCTGAGCTACAGTGTACTAGAAGGGGAAGTGTGTTGTGCGGCACCGAAAAGAGATTACTTGCGATGACCGTTCTACATGCCACCAGATGGTGCTGCTGGTCACAGGAGCGCTATATTCGCCGCAATGATAGCTTTGTGGGCAGGTTGCGTGGCTTATTTATGTATAATTTCAAGTTATTGTGGGGAGGGGTGCAGCTGTCTACACAATTAATAACCACTGCAATGCCACTCAATGATGTAATCTAGCCTTTGGCCGAGGCAGCTGCCACATTTTTGCTGTGACGAGCGTACACAAAATGCAGCCTCACTATTTAGAGCTGTCCTTCTCGCTAGCCTAGCCTGTTAATCTTGCACAGAATTATTTTTATATAGTGACCTAAGTTATCGCTATCGGATAAATTTTAAAGCATTAACTCGGAGCTTAAATATATCTATGCATATGAGCGTCTGTGTTCAGTCATGAGTGTTTATCATTCATATTGTTTTCCATGCTAGAGAGTCGGGAAGCTTCAAGCCAATGCATCTGTGTGTTGCTTTTAGTTTTGCAGCTGGTCACACACAACGAAAGTTAGCAACATAACAAACATCTATGTTGTGTATTCGTATTGGTTCTGCGACGCCACCAGAGATGGCGCTGTGATCTATGTACCTGTTTGTCGTGTATATAAGTCCACCGTACAATAAACACCGGCAGTCGTCGGTAGCCCATGGCGGCAGTCATGTGTACGAGTTCCTTTCTTCCGTGATAGCGGCTCACCACGCTGCAATACCACATTGGCGACGAGGATGGCCACCGGTATATCTCCCCCGCCACCGTTCCTCGAGACTTTGGGCACGCCAGCGATTCCTTGGCACCGCTGGTTCCGGTTGTTTCAGAACTTCGTGCTCGCGTCCGGCGCCGACAAGTGGCCAGCAATTCGCCGTCGCGCGCTCCTGCTTCACTGCCTGGGCCCCAAGGGCCAACGGATTTTCGACGCCTTGCCGGCACCGCCCCCACTCCAGCCGCCACTTTCAACTGAAGCCACGGTCAGCGAGTCGACGAAAAAACAGACGTCCGCGCACACCGCTGCCGCAAGCCCTCCGGACCCATACGACGTTGCCGTCGACACACTGGCACACTACTTCACCGCCACCGTCAACGTCCGAGTGGAACGTCATCATTTTCGTGAACGTCGACAGCTTTCCGGTGAGTCGGTTGCCGAATTCGCTTTGGCGCTCCGGGAACTGGCAGCCCCGTGTAATTTCGCCGCTACCGTGGATGATAACTTGTGCGAACAGTTCGTTGCCGGAGTAACTTGCCCGCAACTCAGAGAACGACTGCTCCTCGAAGGCGACGCATTGACATTCGACCGAGCGGTAGAAATTGCCAAACTTCGCGAACGAACTCGCCAAGAAGCTGAAGCCTTCGCGAACCCGATTCGCTACATCACGCAGCGCCAACGCGGAGGCAACCCGGCTAGGCATGATAGCCCCCGATTTCGCTTCAACGGGTCCCGCCCCCCTAGTCAGCATCGTCGTAGCTCGTCGCGCACTCGCCAAAACTACAAGCCCAAGCCGGAAACTGCCGCTGCCGACCCCCTGCATGCCGTATCTCGTGATAACTGCGATAACTGCGGCGCAACAAGATGCGAACGGTCGCGCTTTCCCGCCCGCGGCCGCACCTGTTATGGTTGCGGACGCCGCGGACACTCCCAGAGCGTTTGTCAGAGCTCGCGTCGCGGCCAACCACGAAGGCCTGCATCAGTCCGCGAACTCCTCTGCGACGATGACGCTGAGAGCGGTCACAGTATTTTGACCATCTGCACAAACAGACGCAGAAGCCTGTATGTTGACATCGACGTGTCGGTGATTAACCCGAAGCCGCTCATGCGCAAAGTCTCGTTTTTCATCGACACAGGCTCTGCAGTGTCAATAATTGGGGAAGGTCACTTTCGAAACCTTTTTCAAGATAAAGTACAACTCAGGACCCCCAGCATTACTCTGTTTGACTTTTCACGCCAGAAGATCCCTGTGCTTGGCCTGTTTGAAGCAACGCTGTCGTACAAGGCACGAACAGCTGTCGTACCGCTTTACGTAACGCGCAGTGGGACCTCCCTTTTGGGATTAGATGCTGTGCAAGCCCTGAATTTTCAAATTTCAGGGAAGGAGCTACGTTGCCTGCACACGGTCGTTCAGCAAACGTCCGCCTCCGCAACCTCAACGTTGCCTGCAACGAGCTCAGACGCACAAGGGCGCATTCCATCGCAAGGCACTATCGTAGAGCAACCGCAGAGTGAGCCAAAGTTTGGCATGCCTGCATTGCTGTGGGCCAGGTTTTCTCACCTGTTTACCCCAGGTTTGGGCCTTGTCAGAGGTTTTCAGCACAAGGTGAAGATGAAACAGGCAGTCTCCTCAGTCGCCCAAAAGTTGAGGCGCCTCCCATTCTCAGTACGCTAACCAGTAAGCGACCAACTCCAGACCCTGCTCTCTGCCGACATCATCGAAAGGATCGATGCCTCCGAATGGGTTTCTCCCATCGTCGCAGTCCAGAAGGAAGATGGAAGCATCCGTCTTTGTGTTGAACTAAGGGAGCCAAACAAAGCCATTGTGGTCGACAACTTCCCGCTGCCTCACACTGAGGAACTGCTGCGTGCCTTAAACGGAGCCTGCCACTTCTCAAAGCTAGACCTCGCCTCTGCATACCACCAAGTCCTGCTGCACCCGGACAGCAGGGATCTCACAGCGTTTGTTACGCACGAGGGTCTTTTTCGGTTTAAAAGGGTCTGCTTTGGATAGGCGTCAGCCCCAGCAGCCCTTCAGCAGCTCATGACAAGAATCCTGCAAGGCTGTCATGGTGTTCTTTGTTACATAGACGACATCATCGTCTTCGGGAGGACTGAGAAAGAACATGCGAAGAACCTGGAAGAAGTTCTGCATCCCATTGCGAAAGCAGGTCTGAAACTTAACGAAAAATGTGTTTTCAATGCAACAGAACTCTCTTTCCTTGGACATCGTGTCAGTGCGGAAGGCATAGCACCCCTTCAAGCCAAAGTCGATGCAATCGTCCACGCCCCCACACCAGCAGAACCCGGCACACTCCGTTCATTCTTAGGACTTGTCGAATACTACGCAAAGTTCATTCCTAGGCTAGCCGAGGAAGTCGAGCCTATGCGTCGACTGCTGCGCAAAGACATACCTTTTGAGTGGGACACAGCCGCCCAAGCAAGTTTTGAGAGAGTGAAGACTCTTCTGGCCTCCCACAAGGTGTTGCACATGTTTGACCCAGCTCTTCCAGTGACTGTCGCAACTGATGCTTCTGCATACGGGCTAGGTGCCGTTTTGCAGCAAGTAGACGGTCAGAAAACCCTGACCATTGCGTTTGCTTCGCGCACTCTAGCCAATGCAGAAACGAAGTACTCCGCCAGCGAGCGTGAAGCATTGGCTTGCGTGTGGGCATGCGAAAAGTGGCATGTTTATTTGTGGGGATGGCCTTTCACTCTTCAGACGGATCACCAGGCATTGGTAGCGTTGCTGTCTAACAAGGGAACAGGGCGACGTCCCTTTCGCATTGCAAGGTGGGCTGAGCGACTTCTACGCTACAACTACACCGTCGAATACCACAAGGGCTCGGAGAACAAGGTAGCAGACGCGCTGTCACGTCTTCCAGCGGAAGGTAAGCCGGAATGCACACCTCAACCTAAAGACGACTCTACAGAAGTTGTGTTCCTAGTCGAGCCGCTGTGCATCGCTAAGGACCAGTTCGAGCAGTCCACCAGTGACGACGCCACTCTGGCAAAAGTCAAGGAATACGTTACTTCGTCATGGCCTCCGCACAAGCTCGTCCCAAGCCATCTGCTGCCGTACTTCATGCTACGCAACGAGTTGTCAGTGGTAAACAACTTACTTCTTCGCGGGGAGCGACTTGTAGTTCCACAGTCCCTTGCGCATCAGGTAATCTCCACAGCGCATGAAGCTCATCCCGGCATCGTCAGGACGAAAGCGCGACTTCGAGAACGGTTTTGGTGGCCGGGTATGGACCGGCAAACAGAAGCCGCAATACAAAACTGCAGCGTCTGTCAGAAGGCCAACAAGAGTGCGAAAACAGCACCTGCTCCACTGCAACCTGTTCCATTCCCAGAGCGCCCTTGGCAAAAAGTCGCCATAGACATTGTTGGCCCTCTGGAAAGAGCTCCTCAAGATTGTAGGTTCGCCATTACACTGGTTGACTATTTTTCTAAGTGGTCCAAAGTACAATTCTCCAACGAGGTATCTACAAGAACGATCACCAACTTCTTGCTGTCAATTTTTTCTCGAAAGGGATACCCTGACGAGATAGTCAGTGACAACGGGCCCCAATTTTCTTCACGAGAATTTTCGCAATTCTTGGATGAGCGTGGTATCCTACTGACACATTGTTCGGTGTCAACAAGCCAACGGACTCAAGCCAACGGACTTGTCGAAAGGTTTAATCGTGTTTTTAAGGACTTTGTACAGGTTGCTGCGTTAGAACATGGCCCTCTTCGACAAGCGGCACTGGAGTACTTGGGTGTTTACCGGTGCACACCTCACGCAACCACGGGAGCAGCACCAGCCTTGCTCCTACATGGACGACTGCCCCGAACACGACTGGACATCATTGGACACCCATCCCCGTCATTCTTCACAGACCCTGCCAAAGAACTTGGCCAGCTTCGGAAGAGAGTCGCACAGAAGCAAAAATACAGCAAGATGTACACAGACTTCCGCTGTGCAGCCAAGAAACCAAACATAGCAGTTGGAGACATGGTCCGTGTGAAGAAGCCGGCAGTCTCTTTTAAAGGAGACCTCTCGTTCAGTCATTCTCGGAAGGTGGTAGAACAACGAGGGCCAGCCTCTTTCTGCCTAGACGATGGGCAAACATAGAACTCCTCCAAGTTGAGCAAGGTTCCTGCACAGGCCGCCCAGCCTCACCCAGTCATCCAAACGCCAGATGTTCACGCTCGCCCAGCACAGCCTTCAAGCCCGTCACCTGTGCCTTGTGACAGTGGGCAATCAGCAGTGCCACTCGGTACCCCCATCAGTGCAGTGCCTAATGTTCTGTGCAGCTCTTGTGTAGCATCGCAAGAGACACAACAGGCTGTCTCTTCTCCACCCTCTCCACAACCGCCTTCTCGTCGGGAGCTACCCGCGAGGACAAGACGACCGCCTCGAAGATTTATGGATTACGTTTAGAGTGGATCCAGTGACATGAACGCGTGTGCTTGCTGCAATTGAGTGTATATTTTGGTGTAAAGTTTTTGGCATTTTGAGTGTACAGTTGTGTAAATATTCCATGCTTATTGTATATAGATGAAATACCTCTCCCCTAACACGTACTAACAATTACTAATCAACTAAAAAAAAAATAAGAGAGGTAATATGTTGTGTATTCGTATTGGTTCTGCGACACCACCAGAGATGGCACTGTGATCTATGTACCTGTTTGTCGTGTATATAAGTCCACCGTACAATAAACACCGGCAGTCGTCGGTAGCCCATGGCGGCAGTCATGTGTACGAGTTTCTCTCTTCCGTGATAGCGGCTCACCACGCCGCAATACCACAATCTAATTCTGAATTTTATTTTCTAATTCAAAATTTTTGCAGAAGATTGATCCTTACAATGTAGCAAAAATATCATCACAAAGAGACACAAAGTAGCCTAATTAATAATATTGTGGTTCAGAAATCCAGAAGCTATTAATTATTAACCCCACCTACCAAGGAAGATGCTCAATTACATCGCCTCACCTTCCGTTGTATCAGCTGTCCTCAGAGCTCCTCAATTACTTATATAGAATCAAAAATGAAGAGGTACACAAAATCTCACTATTCTTTGTGTCAGCGCATTAAGATGTGTGTCACACCCTGGCTCATTTTTCTCTTTCATCTGACTAAAGCAAATTCTTGGCTTTTGTTTTCCGTAGATTACCAACACTGCAATCCAAGCAGTTTGTTTTGCAGATAATTTCTGACATTGCTTTCTGAAAAGGTGGTTCAGTACCAGCCTTTTAATATTTACAGTGAACACAAGTATCAAAGTCATTTGCTATGACAAGCATGCAGTTCATCGAAAAGAATACCCATTACACTATGGGCATTCACCAGCGGTCAGTCTCAGGGGATCCCAATCATGTTACCATCAACAGCATTCCACACCAGGGTACAGTCAGCTTGCTTACATTGTTTATTAGTAACTCTGCCTCCTCTGATGCTACGAGTTCGTCTGGTGCCACTCTTTCCTTCTGAATACAAGGGTACTTCAGCGGTTAGAACACTTTTACCACTTTGCTTCTTAATTTAGATGAGTCGCTTCAGTGCTAGACCACGTTGGCTTTCAACTCAGCATGAAGAAATTTGAGACTCAACACAGCAGCAAAATTTCTGGCCATGCACTTGAATTGGCGAGCTTTTGAAAATGGCAGTCCTTGACATTACTGTTCAAGAACATTAATGACTGAATTGACTCGCTCAATGTCGTTAGGTGCAACTGCTAAAAACATGTTGTTTTTTCGTGTTCACTTCGGTTCGGGGAGAGCCTGATCGGTAAGGTTGCGATCCTTCCAGTGTTTCTTTTTTTTTTGGCAGCAACTCAGAAAGGTATTTGGGAGCACACATAAAAATAGTAGGAATGGCATCCTTTGATAGAAGCGGTTGGTCTCGGGGGGATCTCAGTGACGTTACTTTTTATAGTTGTCTGAAAAGTATGCTGTGTTAACCTTGTCTTGATGTGCCACTCACAAAGAATGCTGCTCTCGTCGTCAATCACTTCTCTTGATGTACTGCGACTATTTTTCACTGCAATCAGCTTCATGTAGCACCCAATAAAAGATAACGCCTTTTTACATGAGCGATAGCCGCTGTCACGATTCGGCGCAAAACAGAAACCGTCTCGCTTGTCCAGCTGTCTCTCTGTTATTAATAATGTTCTATTTTTTTCGTTTCCGTAAACAAACGCAGACACCACCGCCGCTTATTTACTTAACTACAGCACAATGTAGCAAGAAGTAGCGGCAACGAGGAACATTTCACGCAAACAGTGCAAAATGGCAAGGCAACACGTGCCAGCAGACATGCTCCTTTATCTCGCAGCACCCCTAGTGCACCGAAGCTGTACCCAAACTGCTTCATCGCTGAGGGGGCCCTCTTGCCTCCATTAGAAGGCACGGCGCATGGCACACTTCCTCTTTGAGATGTTGGCCAAGGAAAAGCGATTGTGTGCAGAAAGAAAGGAAAGAGAGAGAGCAGAACACAATATTGAACGAACAAGCAAGAGGAAAAAAATAAAGATATAGAAAGCAAGAACTAGAGAGAGGAAAAAAGGGAAGACAAGAGCAAAAAAAAATAACTAGAGGCAAAAGAAACTGACCAGAGAAAAATGAAAGCAAAAGAGAAACAAAGTGAAAATTAAAGAGAAAAAAAAGAAGGCCACCAAGCTTCACACTTCTCCCAGGCTTGGCCCCACTGGTACAAAGCTGCCATAATTTTAAAATACTCCTGTGTCCTTATAAGAATTCTACCCCCTTCCTCCTCTCCCCCTCCCCCCCCATGTTCCAATCATGCACTGCATCCATGCAACACAGGCTTGCTTGAATCGTGATCAATCCTGCTTGGCAGCACAATTTCTGAGCACCTGCGCCTGAAGCTTGTCGACAAAATGTGATTTTTTTTTTTGTTGGCATAATGATTGCACCCCGAGCTTTATGCACGACACCCATACCCATGATATTTTTCATGGTCCCATTAGCAAAAGCATGGCCTCTGAGCACTGTATTCCAATATCACACCTATAACGACGTAGTCACTCAAAGCAAGGCTTTCTAGATCTGTGATTGCTACTGAGAGCTGTTGCAGTGGGTCATCATTAGAGGTGTTTCCATGTCATGCTAACTGCACGTGATCGCATAGCCATCAAGTTTTGGAGCCATCGCAATATGCTGTGCCATAAAGGACAGGGAGAAGACTTCTGAGGAAGTCCTCATACACTTAGTTTCTACCTTTTTTCTTCAAGAAAAACTTCGTAGCTGACATCTTGAATTTTCGTGCTGCTCTGGGAAAGTGCACCCCCCTCCCACTCTTCACTCTGCCACAGCGCTTACTTGTGAATTCACGGTAAGTGCATTTACCAATGAGAGTGAAGTCATAGCCCTTTAAAAGGACTCTCCAAGAGAGTCAAACCAGCGAAATTCGGCCATGAGCACTTACCGCAACAAAATCTCGGCTACACTGGCACTGATGGTCTGCGCCGGCACCATAGGCAGGTACACCTGCTCCCGAGGCAACCGATGGGCAGACACTGCGAGGAAGTTGGAAATACGCTTAGGAAATACTTGACATGGAACAAGTGAGAGCTTACGATGAGCGCTTGTGATTGTTTACAGCTAAGTTCATGTCTGGCTTACACTGCCTGCAGTGCTGAAATTTTGGAAATTAGGCCAATTGCAGAATTCAAAGTGTTCAGAAAACAGTTGTCCTACTACCAGAAATAATGTTTAACAAAGCTTAAATACAGTCTAGTTGGTACGGCATTGTACTGTAGTTTTGCTGAGCGAAATGCACAAACAAGTAACTTGATACAAGAGGACGGGACAGGTGATGTGTAAACTGTCAACTATTTACTTAAATACAAAAAAGGTGCTGAAAATAATAGCGACATCCTGTTCCTAGTACACACTTCAAACAGTGCAGGTAACGAACTTTTCGAACTTGCTATGCACCCACTACGTGGCCTTAAGAGAATAGGTGCAGCAATGTGTGTGCCTTTTGTAGTGGGTGACCAGCTTTAAACCACAAATCCATTACGATAATCACATGTCCTGATGCTCACTGGCAATGGGCACTTGTAAGATGTATTATTAGTGCAATATTTCATGTTGCATTGTGAAGCATGTTTACAGGATGCATGTGTTTATAAAGCATGGAAGCTACTTTCACTGCATTTCCAAGCAGAGGAAGTTCCTTTCACTGTATTCACAAGCTGACGTGTGGCCGTGTGGTAGAACATCTGCTTGCTACGCAAACAACCCAGATTCGATTCTCATTCGGACCCAAACAACCTTAGTTTGGTCCCCACTCTGTTCCAGGTTTTTTATCATTTATATATTTTATTTGCATCATTCTCAATTTTTCAGTCACGCATAAGATTAAAGATGATCTTTCGCTCGCAATAAATGACGTCGACACCGACGCCAACATTTTTGTAAAATGAGCTCTTAAACGCTATCACATTAAAATTAAGCACAGCACAAAAAGGAATCACATTCCCATCAAGTGCCATCAGCAGCTACATGCCCTGATGATAGCAGCATCTCTGTCGTGTACCTATTTTCTCTGTTCTCTTTAGATGTGATCGCATGTTTGACCAAACGCAGAAGTTGGTGCATAGCAGGTCAAAATGAACACACGAAATCATGGAGGCATATTTCATGTTCAAATGACACAATAACATGAACTGTGCATCTATCGCTCTCAGTGAGGCTGCTTTTAACTTTATCGACAAATGCCAGATTAGTTGAGACTAAACACACGGAACATGATTGCCACAAAAATCACTTGCTATTGCAAACATCTCGTTCTAACACAGTCCTCATTATCTTCAGTCTTGGGTATATCTTTGACACACTTTTGCAAAAATAAACAGCTGAAAGTTTATGCACCACCTGTCTTATCCCCGTGTTTCAAGTTACCAATTTGTGCATTTCGCTCAATGCAACTACATTACAACTGAGATGAAACACTCGGCAGATCCGCAGTTCACAGCAAGGCAGGTCCTTAACACACAGTAAGAGGAACATGTTGACACTCCTTAAGGAAATCAGTTTTATGCGAAGCAGTCGGCAAGTAGTAACAGCCTATGTTTTATTTTTTGGCTTTCGACCAAGCGTCACAAAGTGGAATGATGTGTTTTTGCATATGTAGTAGCACGAGCCCATCGTGAGCTTACCAGGCACGTAGTCTACGCTAAAGTTTAAAGGGTTACTAATGGTCCGGCACAATATCAGCACTCGCATTACAACATACACATCAGTATTATTGAAACTAAGCGCACTTTATGCTGCGATGATGCGAATATCATACGTAACTTTTGTTATCGTGCTCCTCCGGGGTCGAGCAAAGCTTGCTGAATCATAGGAATACAAATGTAATGTTTACTACACTGATATAAAGGCAGAGCTAAGACTGAAGCCATAATTATTGTTAACGGGACATGATGCCAGCATCATCAGAGAAAACGAGTAATGTTTTAGGCACCGCAAAACCTTACCTGGTTTTGCAGTGCCTATGTAGTCAGACCTCCTTTGACGAAGCTACAATGTCGTGAGGTGGTCACCGTGTGACACGGCGTCAAGTGACGTCATATGTTGGCGATGATTTTTCGCACTCATCACCAGTGCCATGCAATTTTGATGGCCAAATTTTGCGTTTGGGGAGGCATCTAAGGCATTCGCCTTAAGATCTGGTGATCCCTATTTCCAACTGACCTACAGCCGGGTATCCGGGTGTCTGTGGATCTCCGAGGAGAGGTCCCAGGGGGCTGGCACTGTGACTTCCGTCAGGTGGCAGCCACCACCAGGCAGTGCTGCCTTCCTGCTCTTCAGGGTAGCTTGGAGGCAGGGGTCGAAACTCGCGGGGGTCAGGGTACAGCAGGACTGCACGCGCACCTGCTCGCTGCGCCATCGCCAGCTGTTGGCCCAAGGGCTCCGTACCGAGCCGTACGAGTAGGACGCTGCCTTCAAGCGTCACGTTAGAACCGTGCAGCCAGTCCACGTCCGTTGAGTGTAGGCGACCCGCATACACCAGGGGGCCCTACGCAACAAGTTCGCATTAGTGCAACAATTCAGTGTGTAAAAAAAAAGGCGGTTTGCTCATCACTGAAAACAAAGATGACAATGACAGAGTGCACTCCTATCACAACAATGAATAGGTGAAGCGGTGCCCTTTGATGAAGGCAAAAGGAATAATAAAGACTAAGTGGCTATTCCGGTTTTTAAGCAAGACAGGTTTCAATGCTCATCTTTGGAGCATACGCTACGGTGTAAAACACTTGGGTGTAACACAAATTCTTGCATAGGACAATGTGTGTACAGTGACTCATTGTACCACTACCATAGTCACCTGTCATCATGGCTTCCTCTTTGTCTCTGCTTTCAATGCTTGTAAACTCTTATCACGTCTGTTTGCTACATTTTGAATATAAAAAGTCTTCTCATTAAACCCATATCATCATTACTGTTGGCTTAGCGCTAACTTGACTAGTGTTTTAGCAATTACACACTGCGTTGCTGAAGGCACTTTAACTTAAAGTAGTGGCCAAAATAAGGCCAACTTAGCTTCATCTTGATTTTAGCAGCACACTGTGAGACTAAGAAGAAAAGAATGTGCACATAAGAATGTACTTAGCCCAGATCACCCAGTGCACTGCTAAAATCAAGATGAATATGTACCAACTTGCTCAAGTTTAAATTCTCAAGTCAAATTTGCTCATCATCATAATCTGCCAGATTACACCCCCAGCAAGGCAAGGGCATCTCCCTGCACCAATCAACGCGGGTCTGCGCTTGCTGCTACCATGTTGTGCCCGCTAACTTATTGATCTCATCGGCCCACCTATCGGTGAGCCGTAAGATCAAGAAGTCTGTCTCCCCTTCTCCCATTTGCGTGTTCGCTTTCTCTTGTAATCCAGTGAGGGCTGATAGTGAAAGTATTGTTTGTGACATTTTTACAGTATTTAGTAGCTTCGGTGTGTGGTAATCCCAAAATTGAATTGTAAATAGTCTAATGCATCATGTAACTAATGCTAACATCATTAATTTAAAACAATTTTACGTCAGTTCAAGACGCCCGCCTATAAAAACTAAAACTATAGAAACTAGCTGCTCACAGCGGGGGAGCACCTGATACTACGTGAACTCAAGCTTTGGTGACAATGTATGTGCCATTTTCGAATTGGAAACTCACAGGTGGTGAAAAATGAAACAATGTGGTTTATTTGAGTGTGTCCTTTTAGAAAAAAAAAAAAAAAAGCCTTCCTAGCGTAAGCAGCCAAACCACCTTGCGAACAGTCAAACAACAGACCAAGAGGGGTGATGAAAAATACTCCTCGCAGGGTGCCAGTCAGGGTATAATGCATGCCCTGCAAATGTTCTCTGATGACGACATTACTCGCCTTACTCGTGAAATGTCATGCAGGGCCTCTCAAACCAGACAAGATGTTGATTGGTGCTGATACTCAGATGAGCACTCACCCTTACTTAAAAGCCAAATTAAAACATCTAATAGGCAACGCTCGTCCAAATAAACAGTTAGAAGTACTCCCCGCACGCAGAAGTCCCAAACAGCACAAACATCTCGAGTTTCTAAATTTGGTGTCAGGTATCCTTTAATGACCAGCAGTCGTCCTGCTAGACAGTAGACATCGACAGCAGAAGAAATGAATGCGGGCCGGGACATGTAGCGTGTAAGCAGGATAACTGCTCGGTAACTGACTGGATTCCAAGAGATGGCCATTTTAGGTGGCATGTCTTGACTACAAGAAAGGTTTGGCCACTGGTTCTAATAGATGATGTCATATGGCATATTTGGTTGGCCGCTCCGGTCCTCCGGCTCAAGCCGCCAGATGCAGAGGCAGCTCGCAATCGGAGTGCGAGAGGCAGAGTACCAAACGAATATGTCGGCGGTCTCAAAATGCTCAGAGCAATGCGCCTGTAGCGCCATCGACAGCCAGTGTGAAAATCTGCCGGGTAAACACACGGCCGGTCTAGAGACGCGCGCCTCCCGTCCGATCCTCGTTCGAGCTGCTATCTTCAAAGCAAATCACGGGGTAGTCTGCAAGCTGCTGTAGTGACAGCATTGACGTTTCCTCCCCCTTCGCTAGACGCCTCATTATTGACATGGTGCATTTATGGCTTTGTAGATGTAAATTTGCCTCATACACACTAAAAACATCACTAACTATGCACGTTAACGAAATACGAGCCCAGCGATGCCCCCTTCCGAAATGCATGCTCGTGCTCCTCCCCTACCGGCAGCCACATAATTGGCCAGCTCATGTAACACGATCCGTCCTCCCGGTCAGATCGCGCTATGTCTCACTTTGAAGTCAGAGTCACTTTGAAGTGGGGAGCGTTTTGAGTCAGAGGCTGATGCTCTGAAAGAACCAACCAGAGGTAGTCTGAGTGCTCGAATTCTACCAACGGAAAGCGCAGCCACTTTTCAGAGTGCTCCAGAGCACTCGAAAATGCCTAACCGAATATGCCAATAGTGGTAGCAACGTGCATCTGTTACAGTTTTGCATTGAGTGACCTCGTGAACCCTGGACATTACTACAAGAAAAGCTTCATTTAAACATGATCTCCTAACAGCAACCTAAAATATATGACCGCAGACAAACCAGAAAGCAACTACACAGATCTCTTTGCTGGTATGAAAGATTAATTTTAACAGAATATGAAAACTGATAAGAGAAATCAGTTTTGTCGAAGCCCACGAGATGTATTAAGGCTGGTGAAAGGAAAATTGTAATCGTCAGGTCTCCAGTGACGGAATCACATTATTTGCTTCATGCTAACATTTTAACATGCCCGTGCAAAATGATAGAGGTCTGGCTTCACTTTTTGAGGCATAATTTACACTCGAGCTACTGTTTTTGGTCAGGGCCAATGTGGTGCTTCCCTTTCCTGCTCCTTTGAGTTCCCCAAGACATACATCAACCCCCAAAAAAAGACACACACACACACACACACACACACACACACACACACACACACACACACACACACAAAAGAATCGGCTCCCCTTTTGTAAGTCCTGAAGAAGTGTGTAGCAAGAGTACCCAGCTATTCCAATTATAGTAGAGTTTTCATTGCTTTATTTAACAAACCGTCAATGACGTCAATGTTTGAGGTAAGCATGCAGTGCTTCCCTTGCAAAAATACGGTCTTGTTATGGAGGTTTGCAAACTGAATGTGCGACATCAAGGCTACTTCTTGATGCACAATATTAACTTCCTGTTTGTTATGTCAGTCGAGATATATGTCATCTTCACTGAGTTCTGTGAGGTTGTTTCCTCCTTCGTATGTAGCAGGCGAAGTGCCAGGGAAGGAGAAATTGTGCTTTCTGCGAGGCAGTGGCACCCTCTCAAGCGGCAGAGGAGACAACCGTACATTTCCAAGAGCTTTTTAAGCAATCCTAAGTTCTTTATAGCAATTACTTTTGGTTATTTCTGCTAACAATCTTATTTTAGACCTATTTGTTTGTTTCAACATGGTTTTTAGCATTGCTTGGCCTGGTTTTGCACCTCTATTAGCTACTTGATTTCGAGCGTGACCACGCCACATATCCGTGGATAGACGACAAACCAAGGCCCTAAAGTGCTACACCCCTAGAAACGCCGCTTTGTAGCACTTTCGAAGGTACAGTAGCATTGTAATGCCATTTTTCCTGCTCCCTTTTCCCCCAGGAAGAATTGATTGACTACTCACTCTGATGGCACCATTGTCCGTGCAGTAAGCAACATACGGACGGTGGTCCTCCGTGAAGAGGTCCAAAACTGCCCCTTCTTTATCAGAACCACTGGCAAAGTGCCGCAACCGGTTTGGGCGTGACGAATCGGGAAAAGAGAGCAGCACCTCGTACGTATGCAGCTGCACAGCTTCGAGACCTTGGTCTTTCCAACGCTTCTGGAGCAGCTCCACGATTTCGGGGTCCGTGCGCAACTCGAGCAGTTGCCTGCAGTCGCCACAACAGTGAGTCACGTGATTAGTTTGTACCATTACACTACTGTGAATGTGGCCCACATTAAAGGGACTCTGAAACAGTTTTTTCAAGTTTTGTCAGGGTTTAAGCTAGAGCATCATTATACCATTTGCACCACAAATTTAGTAACACGCCATGTACCAAGGCCACTACAGACAATTATACCCTCCTCCTGACCTTTGCCAGGCTTCCTCAACTCATGAGGCACCCTGTCATCAATAGAGATTGCAGAGCTCTCATGAGCGCGCTCGACGACTTGAGCTTTTACCAGTCTAGACCTCTGAGATGGCACACCGACAGATTGCATGCAGTCCCGGAGGAGTGCTCACGGCAGCACGCACTACTATCTGGAAATAGAGACGAAGATTGCAGAGTGGTTCATATCTGCTCCGACATTTGCCGCCACCCTACCAGCTGATCTTACTTTCACGCATTCTGCAGCCCATGACAGCCAATCAGATAAGCAGCCACAGGCTGCTGACGTGCTCTGGCCTTGTTGAGTGGCCAGAGCATGCCACTCTGTGAATGGGTGGTTGAACATGCATTTGGCCGAGTTGAAACGATCTGCAGTGATTTGCAGCTTTAAAGCATTGTAATAAATTACACAGTTTACGCACAGGGCTCCAACCATTGTAATAAATTACACAGTTTACGCACAGGGCTCCAACCAGTCTCTAAATAACCCTTGGGACTTTGTCTACTGGCACAGTGTGTTTGTACTGAAATTGCCAAAACCATTTCAGGGTCCCTTTAAACGGAGACACTAAAGCCAAACAGCAGATCTTATACGAACTTGCTCTTGGGTTAGTTGGTAACTCATCATATTTTAGGTACTTAGCGCAGCATAGTGATTCCCAAAAGACACTCTCACATTCACACACGCTTCCGCTCAAGAAACACACACCGCACACAGTGCTTACTACCAAGTGTTTATTGTGCATGACTGATCATCTTATATATCTACAGGACAATACACAAAAGTAATAAACAATAAATGATGTGCATGGGCAATGATCCACCAATTACAAACATGAACAAAGTGTGTGTGAACGTGAGTGTTGTTCGAGAGATTACACAGTTGGGCTGAGTACCTAAAATAAAAAAAAAAAAGTAAACTGACTTGGATTGTTTAAATGGCATTCCAAAAACCTCATAGTGCTTGTCTTGTGCCAAGGAAACAGTTAGAAAGAAAATCCTATTTTAGTGGTCTGTGTACCATTAGCACAATGAAAACCACCCACCTCCCAGAATGGCTGCCTGACTTAGCCATGGTCATAGTTAACTCACTTTTATTGCATGATAACCGATGCTGCGATGAAACATAGCAATGGGCTTTAGTGGAACACGGGGAAAAAATAGTATTGTTAAGAAGTTCTTATACAGCAGAGCTGTTATGGTCAAGGCTAGCTGTGTGTCGTAGATTGAAAATTATCATCACCATGAAGTGGCATGCGCTCCATCACTGCTGAACAGGTGATCAACAAGAGAAGCTCAAACGTAGTGAGATTTGCCCAATTTCTGTGGCTCACGCAGGCCATAAGTTCAAGATGGAAAACTATATTCATCCTGAACCGGCACGTGTTCAATGACCACCGAATCATTTGAAACGTGCCCATTAGCTCTGCCGAGACCCAGTCTCACGTGACAGCGCAAGCTGCAGTAAATTTTTTTTTTTGTACAATTCAGATTGTAATGCATTATAGTTGCATCTTATTCCACCTTTCTATGCAGCAAAATGTCTTGTTTTGCCATGCACAACTTAGTGCTTGCTATTACCTACACTGATACCCAGATACTGTCACCGGTCTTATGTTTCGATATACCCCACACAGGTGGCGCAAACCGTGTCGGTCGCCACTTACCTCAATTTCTCAGTTGCTAAAGCTCTGCTGCATATATTGTTGACATTTTAGACATTCCTGAGCACTGACCTTTCCCTCTGACACAAAATGTTATTTTGTTATTTGCCTTTAGTGTCTCTTTAAAGGCCAACTGCAATTAAATTTCATGCTGGCCAAATCCTTGGCAGAAAACGAACGCTTGCCAGTGGGAAAGAAACTGTTTTGTGACATTTTAAGACCCTTGCAGGTGCCGCGACCACATGAGTGAATAAAGGTGTTTTATTTTAGGCAATAAAAATTGTTCGATGAGTGCTATAAAAATCTAGCCTCTGAAGGCTTCACACACGAACTCTATGCCAGAGCAGAAATACTTTGCCACAATAAATTGACATGCCAGTGACCAGTCAATAAAAATTTGTCAACTTTTAAATGATTGAGCTGAGAACAGCTGTTCATATGGGAGAGTTGTATGGACTTGAAATAAAAATTTTAGCAGAGTGATGCAATCTGGCTAAAATCTATGACAAAACTGGGAAAATTGGCAGAACAATGCTTCAGCTACCTGCTATGGCTAAACCAGACTTTTAAGTATTCAACAACACATAATCAAGAACAAAAATATGCTCAGACATAATAAAAATTTAAACCCATAATGTGACCATCTCACATCTACATCTTAAGCCAATGTTGCCATGCAGTGTGCTGCGTTCCTGAGAAGTAGCATAATTTTGCATTGTCTTGAGTAAGGTATTGATGACTGATGAAAAATTCTTAGAATATGGAATGTTGCCGGAGTAAATTTTTTGAGTAGTGTACTAGCGGAAACGAAGTCAATCAGCTGAAGGGTTCATTGTCTCTTCAAGTTAGCATCTCCCATAAACTGGTTTAGCATAGAATTTAAAAAAAAAAAGAAAAAAAAGACACTATGTGGACAGATGCGTAGAGGTGAATAAATTTCACCACATCCTCTATGATTCATGAAGAGTGCTGGTTGCACACGGTAGAGGTTTCTCATATTAGCACACACCGAGTGACTCTGATCGATTCGCTGTTTCAATTTTCTCAAAGGTCGGGCGCTACGGTATGCAGATGACATTTCGATCGCAATCTAGCACTGAAGGTGCCGAGTTTCTCGATCCCGACTGGTTTACATATGTAAAGATGTGAAAGAAAAGTCAATCGCACTCGGGATATGCGCCGATCCTGATTGGAATAGATCGCGCATGTCACAGCCCTCAATTCACATGCAGCCGCTCCCTTCAACCGTTCGAACCCGTCCACACGTCCATACAATACTGCGGCAGGAATCACCAAACAATGGGAATATCAAAGACGCAGCACTTTGGGAAAGGAGTCGATTAAGAGCGGCTGACGCCGGAGGCGCCCGAGTAGTGACACACGCCCGTCTCGCTTGGGCAGGGCGCGTGCGAAGGTGGCGAAACAAACAGAAAGATTAAAAGGGCGCTGACCCTGCAGTTCGGTTGATGCCTTCAGCTTTGATGAGGCCCAGGAGCCGCGCCCTGATGCTCGGGTCGGCATCGTACACGGCGTGGATGGCGACCGACTTGCCGCGCACGCAGCCGCTGTGCTCAGTGTGCGCGAAGTAGCCGACCAGAAGACCCGCGAGTACCCCGAGCAGCGCGATGCCCAAGCCGCCGATCACGAGGTTGCGGTGCGACACGACTCGTATGTCTTCCGTGGTCTTCTCGTAGATCTGCACCGCGCCCGTCGGTTCGTGGTCGGGCCATGTCATCGGCTCGCTATCGCCGCCGTTGTCCTCATCGCGGTACGGCCGGTACTGGGCACTCATGACGAGGCGGGCACCTGTTGATCGTCGCTGCTGCTTTCTCAGGAAGACGCACTACATGACACGTGCGACGGCACGCGCGCGCGGTTCTTGGTCGAGTTTCGACTGCAGCGGAGTTTACGAGCAGCACGGGCCGGCGCAAACGTCATCCAACCGTTTCCTCTGATACAGCTCCGCTACTACTAACACAAGTAAAAAGCTTTGGGTTGATTGCTCTGCGTGTTCGCGCCCCACGCCTACTGCAAGTTGTTAAAAGTTCTAGTGGGTGAAGTGGTCGTCGGTACCATAATCTTCGCATTGCTGCCGTAGATTCACGCAACGTGCGCTGCAGTCCTTAGTTCCAATTCAAAGGGGAGGCCTATCATCATCATCATCTTACTTTTTTACTTTATGGCTAGATGGCAACAGCCGTCGCCCGATCTAAAGGGTAGAGCCACATCAATCTATTTATTCCTATCTACTTATCTATCTAATTACTTATCTATCTATTTATATAGTTAATTAACTATCTAATTATACATTTATTTATACATCTATCTATTTACCTAATGGTCTAAACTATTTATCTATTTATTTTTTAAATATTTATCTACTTATTTGTATGTTTATTTATGTATTTACCTAACTATTTAAACTGCATTCAGTTTTTTTGTATGATGATGATAATGAACAAAAAAACGTTGTTGTTTGAACTCGTTTTGCTTGTATTTACAAACAACTCGGTAAACACAAATTTTGTAATTATATTTAATAAAACAAGTAACGCTTGATTCACCCTTAAACCAGCGTGCTTCGTCAAAGTCGAAACAATCCAGCAAGATCCTATCCAAATTGCAGTCGGCAGCTTGTCCGTTTTGAGCCTCGTCTTCCACGTCAGTGTTCAGCCCATGACCTACTACACTCCTGACCTGCCCAGAGAGCACCTCTTCCAGCGCCCACGTTCTAGTTCATACCTTCTGCCGCTAGGGCCGTAACTTAGGAGCACTGTGGCGCTAGTCAGCACCTGTTCGCTGACGTCAGCTTGAGTGTTCGTGGTCATATTTCGGCCAACAGAGCACTCATATTGCGTAATTATTATGCACTAATGAAAAATAATTTTGAAACAAATATTTCAAAAGTCATTCACAAATTCTTTGCAATTAAATGGACGCAACATCACATATGCTGTCCTACACTATGTAAGTCTACGGATTCTCGCATTTGTCCACCAGTGTGCAATAAATTTTTCGTCACACTGAACAGCTTACTTGACCAGTCATCTAAGTGAAAAAATAGTCACATATATGCCGGCTGTTCATCACGGAATGCAGCCGTTCTTACTCTAGCGCCGTCCAAACAGCCGTAAAGTAGCAGACGAACAGGTTATAGGTAGCGCCACCTACGGCGAGCGATTGAACGAGAGCGGGGACACGCGCTCCCATAGGAACCCCGCTATCTGAACAGGTCAGGAGTGTAGTAGGTCATGGTTCAGCCGCCTCGATACACATACTTCGCGACTGTTGAGTACGATGGTGTCTTGTGCGAGTTTAATATCGGTGCTGACTTTGTACCTAGGCGTAGCGCACGCGATACGCTTTCACATAAAGCCCAACACCAAGCGCTGCCTCAAGGATGAGGTGCTCAAAGACGTGCTTGTTTCCGGCGAGTACCACGTCTCCGAAACGCCGGGCCACAAGACGGACCTGACAGTGAGTACCACAAGCTCGATGGGCATGGCTGCTTTCACAGCGATGACGCGAACAGCCCGCCAGTCACCGGCGATGCATCTCGCGAGCTAGCTGCTAAACAAAGCCTTGTGCGTCGCAACTCCCTCCAACGCTCCCTCACTCAAGTATTTACTTTCGCGGATGGCCGACAGCCGTGTGTAACTCACACTTGGCAAAAATGTGCATCTGTCTGCTTCTAAACGAACGATGGGAAGAGATGTCCATACTGTTCAGCTAAGGGCCTTCTGCTTCGCCACTATATTAATGACGCACGCAAGTAGCGTCGAATGCGTGTGGCGATTGTTCACCCAGCGTATAGTTACGTGATGGTGGTTACTGATTGGCAGCTTCAGTGATCCATGGCGCATCGCTTCTGATACCGCTTACAAACGAAACAACGGTACCATATTTAGCGGTGAGAAGTTTACTTAAAACGGTAGATAATGAAGCAGGTCAGAAGGGTGGTATGGAGCAGGTCACTGCAGGATTTGGAGAGGAATAAATGAATTACTTACTCTCCAAGCCTTTCGTAACCTCTTCTGACCGCGTTAATTCCCGTTTCGTAATACAGTGGTGCACAGTGTTTTACTCAATTTAGGCAGTGTTTGCCTTCAACACCTGCATGTCCTTGCAGTCATTTGTTGAGCTACATTGCAGTGTGGTAAGCGGCACAGATATTAGAAAGAAACTGAAGAAGACTGGCAAATCAGGTCCGCATCCACCATTAGTGTGCTTGCAGGAGGTCTCTTCATTGCTCTTGCGTCATTGCATTCGGCACCGTCATCTCTGGGACCGATAACATTCTCTGAACACCCGCAGGTAAAAGACAGCAACGGACACATACTGTACAACAAGGACGACATTAAGGAAGGCAAGTTTGCCTTTACCACTGATGCGTATGATGTGTACGAGGTCTGCTTCACCACCAAGATGCCTAGCGAGGTCAAAGGTGGTGACCGGGAGGTCCAGCTGACGCTCAAGCATGGTGCAGAAGCCAAGAATTACCAAGGCTTAGCCGAAGTTGGCAAGCTGAAGCCACTTGAGGTGAGTGACACTGTAATGCTCACATTGGTAGTGGTAGGACAACAAACTTGTGTTGTCCATTTATGTGTGGGAACGTCATGCTGTTTATATTAATTTAAAGATGCTGCAGTCTGCCAGTGTGTGACCGCAAACGCGCTGGTCAGTTATCCAAGAAGAATATACCCATATTACGAGTAACTCATAATAGGACACCAAAATGTACCCTGAACAATCGAAATCTCTCTCCCATTCATGTTTTTTGTGTATATAATTTTCTATTTTCTAAGTGCAATAACAATGTGAGAGAGCAACACCTGGATCAGTTGCAAGCTACTGTACTACACTCAAACCTCATGATAACGAAATTGCATATTACATAAAAATAACTTTCTTATATAGAAAATTCGTTACAATGGTATATTTTTAACATTGTATCTATTTTTTCTTTACTTGGTTATAACCGGCATTTCCTTATATCCGGGTTTGTAATGTCAAGGTTTGAGTGTACACGCGGAGCAACACGATTATATGAAAACCCAGCCTCCGTGGCCTTCACTCCATCGTCGAGATAAGTTGTCACCGTGTATAGCCCAAATGAATCTGCTGCTAACTGTTTGTCTTTTTGCACCACTCTCGACCAGATGAAACTGCAGCAGCTGGAGGATCTCTCGGAAGCAGTGGTGAAGGACTTTGCGTACATGCGCCAACGGGAAGAGGAAATGCGCGATACCAACGAGTCGACCAACTCGCGGGTCCTCTACTTTTCCATCTTCTCCATGTGTTGCTTGCTCGGCCTGGCGACCTGGCAAGTCCTCTACCTGAGGCGGTTCTTCAAGGCAAAGAAACTCATAGAGTGAAGAACAACAAACTGTTTTACAGGATGGGCTGTGAGTGTTTGTGGAGGGGGGCACATACTGATGGGGCAAATAAAAAAAAAAAACACTTTCCTTACATTTAGTATGTGGAAGTGCACACACAGAAAGCTTTTTTTTTTCTTAACCTCTGAGAAGGAACAGCTTTTCTATTAGCATGGCTATTGATATTGTATCTATGGCCCCCTTTATAACTTGTTCAGCGCCGGCTACATTTCGAAGGGTTGTCTGCTGTGAAAGTGTTGCAAGAGAAGCAGTGTCGCTTGGCGTTGCACCTCTCGAATCAAACATGGCACTGTGTAAATAGAAATTTCATAAATAATTATTTGCTCTCACGTGTGGTACTTACATTAACACTACCAAGTATTGTGTCGGTAGCATCTCTTTGTCTGCATGTGTACGGATTAGCTGGCTTTGAAATTCCGGAGTTTGTGAGGGCACACCAAAAGTTGGGTCAAGTCACAATGTCCGATCAAAGTCATTGGGTCTTTCATGTTTGCACTAGTTCGAAGTAAGCCGTTTTGAGCATCGGAGCACATTGAAGTGTCCCGCTTATATGTCTCGGTGACCTCATCTATATTCATGAATAACTCTGTTAACTTTATAGGAGGAAGGCTTTAGGGACAGATTATCTGCACTTATATGTATCAGATCGTGATGGACAGGCACACATAAATTCCAGACCTTCTTTATGTCTGCATCCGGAAGCGTTGTTTATTTGTGATTGAAAAATAAACATGACCGGAGAAATCTGTGCATTATCTTGGCATTTGTGGTTGTGTTATGAGCAAAAAATAAATAAAAGCATCAAATACTGGTACACCATTTGTTATGTATTTCTGAGATGAAAGTATTGCATGACTGAGCTTATTGCTTCTTCCTGGGTATTGTGTCCATGCAGTTTTGCTGTTTCGTACTTGTCGTAGATGCCAGAAAATTCAGTGCATGTTTTATATTACCATTACTCAGATTTTGTAGTGATTGTCCTGAACATTTCTCACTGTAAGCAGCGAGGGCAATTATGTTCTCAAACACACCAGGCAAATTGCCATTCATTCCACATCTACAAATAAATCTTCTTATAACAAAAATATGCCGTACACAAAAATGATGTCATATTTGGGAATTCGTCAATGTATATCTTTTCTACTAAATGCTAACTTATTCATCATTTAGTTGGTTATATGAAGATTTGACTACATGGACAGTTTATCTTCATACGTGCTTCTAAATTATGTAAAGAAAATTTGGAAGACATTAAAAATGACAGGCCTATTCACTGTATCATGTTGTGGTAACAACTTGATAGCAGGCTGCTTGTTGCTCGTTTAGAACTGATGTTGAAACACATGCACTCTGTGAAAACCTCTGTTCTAAACATACTATGCAGGGATGTGCCTATGTAAGTCTATTGGCTGTCCAACTGACCACAGAAAGTTGCTCATTAGCAATAGGTGTGGATAATTGTATGCGATAGGATTATTGCTTTGAGCATGCCTGACCTGCAGCCTGCTTTCAGTTGCTTAGTGCGTGCAACTACTGATGGATGCACCCTGCCTTTTCTAACCCTGTAAGCCATAGCTGTGGTATTTACGGTGCAGTTTAAACACACAGGGTTGGTGACAAAATGGGGCCAGTGTGAATCATCGGCTGAAATTTTCCACTTTAGGTTGTCTCTTCTGGATCTTTTGCTGCTCTTGTCATATCAAGGTTTGTATAGCATTTGCTGTTATTTCAGCTTCTGTAAAATACATGAACATAAGTAATACAATGGGGCTGAAAACTGAAAATCACAAGTTTCACACAAATGCGCACGGCATTAACTTGAATAGTCCTGTATCCGAGCCACAACAGTTGAACAGGTTTCAGTTGAGATTGTTCCACTGTTGACTCAATAAAATCTTAATTTGTTGGATGCATTATTATGGGTGTGTACAGATGAAAACATCCACCAGAAGCTTACGTGAAAATTTGAGTTGGTGGTGCCTGAAGCGAAACAACCGAAACGAGGACAGGTAAGGTGGAGGATGAACAAGGTGCTGACTTACAACTCTCTTGATAACGTTATAGGCATGCATTTCTAAGCAATACAGAAAAAGAAAACAACATGGAAGTATCAGAAATGTTAATTCAGCAAAATATGATGCAAAGCCAGGCGCGCTGAAAACCCTGTGAATTACTTTTAATCAGTTGTGCTCTTGAGCTTGTTTCGAACGAATTCATATGCCCCAAATTATATAGGAAAGAAGTGAAAACATAAGGGCTCGTTTTTCCTTGTTAGACAATAAAATGAGAACTAACAGACAATGATGCAAAGGGAAGTACAGGAGATGATCGTTGTAAAGGTAAACATATCTGACTGGAAACCTGTGTGGCTGGGTAAAATTATTTGAATAGCCACTCTCCAGCCGTGTTTAGGGTTGTCACTTTCTCCACCCTCGTTCTTACCTGCGTTGTTTTCTCCCTTGGTTTCAGAAACCGTGTACATACACGCTCGGTAAGTTCCCAGTTTATTAACCGATCAACTGTGTGTCAGTCAGGTTTAGGAATATTCTAAGCCGGCAAGCCATCAGTTATGTTGATGCAACAAACGAGAACCGGCCGAAGAACTGAAACCAAAACTATCCGTAGCACCACTTCAAACAGACCTCCACCCCCCGAAATTTGGAATGGGTGGGAGTGTATTACCGAGGACAAATAATAAAAATAGGTATTTTATAGTGTCTTCAGCTAGTAGTATCCCCCCCCCTCCTGAAACAAAAAAAAATTGTCTATGGTATAGCCTATGGCCTTTGAGATGGTGAGCGCGCGGCATGTTTCTCTCTGGCCGTCCTAATCGCCGCGCTCCTAGTAAAACTTAAGTCACTGGAAAATGTTAAACGAACGAATATCGCCTCGTGCGCCTGACTACCGTCAGAGGGCGCATTCAGGGGGCTAGTCTGGGGTGCAGGATAGCTAGTAACGAAGGAAAACAACAAGGGAGACTCTTTCTTAGGTGGTATGGACAGATGCGATTCCAAAGTGGTACCAGTATCTAAGATAGGTAGAGTCCGCGGCATAAATAGACGTAGCCATGAGCGCCTAGCCAATTCAGACATAAGGTATATTAACATGCTGGGTGGTAGGAACAGGCTGAAGTGGGAAGAGATAGAAGAACAGCTAAGGCAGGAGAGGCCGATGGTATACGGTTTTGTAGAAACACATCTCAGGGACATGAAACAACCTCCCTAACAATCCGGACTACGCATGGGAATATTGTAATAGAACAGAAGGCAGCAGAAAGGGGGGTGGTATTGGGGCATTCATTCATAAAAGTACAGACTGGCAAAGGGTCAAGCAGGAGTACAAGGAACATTTATGGCTAAAAGGGAAAGTGGCAGGGCAAATGACACTCCTTGGTTTCGTGTACTTGTGGACGGGAGCAAAGGCCAGAGAGGAAAGCCAGGCAATGGTAGAGTGTATATCAAAGGACATTCAGGAGTTAGGAGGAGAGTGCGAGATAATTATATTAGGAGATACGAATGCACACATAGAAGATATAGATGGGTATACCGACCCGACAGGCAAAATGATCATGGATATTTGTGAAAGGCTTGATTTGATCATTTGCAACAGTACCTGAGAAGTGTGAAGGGCAAATAACATGGGAGGTAGGAAGGCTGCAGCAGTCGACGATAGATTACGCACTGATGTCACATAGGATGTATGATAAGTTCAGCGGAATGCACATAGATGAAGGTGGCTCCAGAAGTCTGGGTAGTGATCACAAACGTATCAAGCTAAGTTTTAGAAAAGCAGTGAAAGTGGGAAGGAGACAAGATGAGCAACTACAGGAAAATTGTTATTCAGTAAGGCAAACAGAAATGGCTACTAAACAAATTGAGAAAGTAATCACTGAGGATAATAAAACAGTGTGGACATACACGAATCTAATGAGACTGTTTGAGCTAGAGCTTGGTAAGGCACGTGACAAGTCAATCCAGAAAAGAAGACACAAACCTAAAAGTTGGTGGGATGAGGAAGTTAAAAAAGCCATAGCAAAACGTCAGGAAGCCTCTAGGAAACACAGACATGCTAAGCAGTGGGGTGAACCGACAGATGAGGTTGAAAGGAAAATGGGACATCTTTCTAAGCTCTACAAGGGAAGCATCCCTCCTGATCAGTGAAAAGATTAGAAGAAAGGGTGCTCAGTGGACTGGCAGAAGTACATAAAAAGGACAGAAAGGCAGCTGCGAAACTTTGGAACCATCTAAACTCCCTAAGAAATGAAACAAAACTAGAGCAGAGGCTTATAACTACAGCTCAAGGTGCTAGGCTAGAAGGGGACTGAAGCTATTGAATATATAAGAACAAGGGTGACAAAAAAATTTCAAGCTAAGAAGTGCTTTATGCACCATAACAGACAAGGATGAATTAAAGTGGCGCAATGGCTTCATTTTCACAACGACAGTGGGAAAGGGCTGAGAAGAGGGTTCCTAGTAGTACGTCAACAGGTCCAGATGGCATTCCAATTATGCTGATAAAGACATTAGGTTCCGAAGTCTAAGCAGGCTTTGAGAGAGGAAGTGAGCCAAATAATAATCGATGGTGAAGTTCCCGATGGATGGAAACTTAGCAGGATGAGCATGATCTAAAAGGAAAGGGGGACAAAGCTTACATAAACGACTACCGTCCTTAAACAGTGACATCAGTGGTCTACAGGCTGGCAATGCAGATTATAAAGGAAAGGCTGCAGGCATTGATAGAGGATGAGGGGGTGCTGGGGGAACTGCAGAATGGGTTTTCGAAAACACAGGAGGTTGAAAGACAATCTGTCCTCACTGACGCAGTGCATCGAAATAGCAGAAAAGGAACACAGGCCGCTGTGGCTAACATTTTTGGATATCAAGGGAGCGTACAATAGCGTGGTTCAAGAGGAATTGTGGGGAATTACTGGACACACTTAGACGTGGAAGATGTAGTCACTAATCTTTTAAAGGATATCTATAAAGGTAACAAGGTAGTTATGAAAGTGGGAAAAGGTAGTTATAAAGTGGGAAAAACAGGTATCCAAGCCTGCAGAGGTAAAACCGGGCGCTTAGGCAGGGGATGTCCCCTGTCACCCTTATTATTCATGATGTACCTACAGGGATTAGAGGCCAAATTAGAAGGAAGTGGACTGGGCTTCTACCTCTCTTTCGTCAAACAAGGTAAACTCATTGAACAGGCACTACCAGCAGTGATGTACGCAGATGATATAGTGCTAATGGCCGACAACAAGGAAGATTTGCAGAGATTGGTGGATATCTGCGGTAATGAAGGAGATAGGTTAGATTTCCGACTCAGTAAAAAAATCAGCAGTCATGATTTTTAATGACAATGAAGGTAGTGAGCTTAGAATACAGGAGGTCACGCTAGAGATAACAGATAAATACAAATATCTGGGCATATGGATAAGCAATGGGGCCGAGTACCTAAGGGAACACGAAATATACGTAACGACTAAAGGTAACAGGAATGCAGCAGTGATGAAAAATGGGGCACTGTGGAATCACAATAGGTATGATGTTGTGAGAGGAATATGGAAAGAGGTCATGGTTCCTGGTCTGACGTTCGGCAATGTGGTATTGCGCATGAGATCAGAAGTTCAAGCAAAATTAGAAATTAAGCAACATGGAATAGGTAGGCTTGCCTTAGGAGCTCACGGGAATACACTAAACCAGAGAGTACAAGGTGATATAGGATGGACATCATTTGAGGGCAGAGAAGTTAGCAGCAAGATAAAATTGTAGAAGCGATTGAGAGAAATGGGGGAGGAGCAGTCGGGCTAGGAAGGTATTCAGCTACTTGTACATGAAGAATGTCGATACAAAATGGAGGAAGCGAACCAGAAAATTGACTGGTAAATACTCGGAAAACAGCAGGGGGCCAAACCAAAAAGAATTATCGGTTAAGAAGAAGGTGAAGCAAGCTGAGACTGATATGTGGAGAATTGGCATGATTAAGAAGTTCGCACTAGAGATCTATCGAACTTTTAAGCAGGAAATTGCCAAGGAAAGGATCTATGATAATACTCGGGGTAGTTTTCTACTGTTTGAGGCCAGGACGGGAGTATTGCAAACCAAGACATATCGGGCCAAATACGAAGGGGTAGACACGGTATGCAGTGCATGTGGAGAGGAAGAATAAATTGCCGAACACTTGATAATGTTCTGTAAAGGGTTTCACCCTATAGTTCAGGATGATGGCGCAGAGTTTTTCAAAGCACTGGGGTTTAGGGACAGGGAGGGCAAAATAGACTTTAAGCGGGTAGAATTAACTAGAAGGAGGTTATCTGATTGGTGGCTGAAGTCAAGACACGAGTGAAAATAAGCCCTTCACTGCAAAGTACGATTCCTCAACCTCACTATTTAAAGAAAAAAAAATCTAGTTTTTGGTTCATTAAGTATTACGGCTTGGTAGCGCTGGCCACCGCCCAATCTAAAGGGTAAGCCTATTCATTCATCCAACACTTGCTTTAGGAGCACACTGGAATACCCCAAATCAGGGGGTACAGGGTGACATGGGATGGACATCGTTTGAGTGCAGGGAAGCTAGCAGCAAGGTAGAATTTGAGGAGCGATTGAGAAAAATGGGAGGAGCATTGGGCTAGCGAAGTTTTCAGCTACTTATACATGAAGAATATCGATACTACATAGAGGAAGCGAACTGGAAAATTGTTGATTTGTTGGGTTTAACGTCCCAAAACCACCATTTGATTATGAGAGACGCCGTAGTGTGGAGGGCTCCGGAAATTTTGACCACCTGGGGTTCTTTAACGTGCACCCAAATCTGAGTTCACGGGCTTACAATATTTCCGTCGAAAATTGTCAAGCAAGTATTTAGGACAACAGGAGAATACCAAGTCAAAAGGAAACACTGGTTAGGAAGAAGGTGGAGGAAACAGAGAGGGACATGTGGAAGATGGGAATGTTTACGAAATCATCACTGGAGACCTACCGAACTTTCAAGCAGGAAGTTGCAGGGGAAAATATCTACGATAATTCTCGAGGTAGTTATCTGCTGTTCGAGGCCCGAACGGGAGTATTGCGGACCAAGACGTACTCAGCAAAATACCAAGGCACAGACACGGTATGTAGTGCGTGTGGAGGGAAAGAGGAAACGGCTGAACTTTTGATAACTGTTCTAAAAGGCTCCACCTTATACTCCAAGATAATGGCGCCGAATTTTTCAAAGCATTGGCGTTTATGGACAGTGAAGGCAAAATAGACTTTAAACGGGTAAAAACAACCAGGGGGAGGCTAACTGATTGGTGGTTACAATCAAGGCGCGAGCGAAATTAAATCCTTAAAGACATCTAAAGGGCATAGCCAGATACATTCACCCATCCATGCAGATGTGAATGCAGGAGAAGCTGACGCCAAGTGTAGACAATGTGAGGTTGAGAAAAAAAATAGAGAAAATGATGGTTGCCCAGAATGAACTGATGATGAAAATCGCCGAGCTAGAGACTGCGCCGGTGACAGATCAAGAAAAACGAATGATATGGTAGAAAGGCTTAGTTCATTCTGACGAGACACTTGAGAAGGTGAGGGAGGTGAACAAAGGAGTGGCCGATGGCGAGAATGGTAGGGCACCAGCACTCAGAACGGCGGAGAAGAAAGGGAAAACGGGTTCGGAAAAAACACGTTCAATCGGTTCAATGGTCACAAGACCTAGCTTCGCGAAGTAGTTGTGGGAGTGAAAGCGAACAAAGCAGCCGGCGGTGCAGGCGCAAGTAACCTCCAGGTTCGGGACACTTCAGCAGAATAGTCAAAGCATGTGATAATCAACGGGGACTTTATATCGATGCGCGGAAACAGTCAAAGAAAGGGTGAGAAGCGACAAGAGAGTTTCATATGCACGACATAATCTTAAATCAGTGATGAGGCAAGCGAGCGTAAGACTTAACTAAAGCAAATGGGCGAATCGTAATGATTACGGGTGGTCTAAATGATACATTGAATGAAGAATGAAGGTGTCGGCGTGTGACGGCAACCCGCAAAGAGCGGTTGTTGACGCAAACAAGGAGATATGGCAGATAAGTCGAGTGAAACCCAGTCAAAAATATTCAATGGGTCCAACTGGAAAATTTCCATTTAAAATCAATGGGTGTTGGACCAGTAGGATTTTCGCCACCCATTGAACATTATCCCGTTCGAATCAATGGGTAAACCCTTATATTCCAAAGGGGGATCCAAGTGGCTCACCACTTCAATGCAACTGGTTCAACAGGGGACCCCATTGGCTACCAGTTAAGTGTGGCTGGTGCTGAGCAATTGCCAGTTAGTTGCAATGGTGCGCACCATTTGAAATTGGTTGGTGACAAACTGGTAGCCCCTTTGGCCTCACATGGCCAGCCCATGAAAACGAAATGGTACGCTGGTGGTTGTCCAATTGGTGTGAATTGGCTAACCCGTTGAATCTAACTGGTGGTCAATTAAATATCCCGTTGATTTCAAATGGTCAACCCATTAAGACTAAATGGTACGCAGGTGGTTGTCCACCTGGTGTGAATTGGCTGACCTGTTGAAGCTAACTGGTGGTCAATTGGAAACCCCATTGACCTCAAATGGTCAACCCATTAATACTAAATGGTATGCAGGTGGTTGTCCACCTGGTGTGAATTGGCTGACCTGTTGAAGCTAACTGGTGGTCAATAGGAAACCCCATTGACCTAAAATGGTCAACCCATTTATACTAAATGGTATACTGGTGGTTGTCCACTTGGTGTGAATAGGCTGACCTGTTGAAGCCAACTGGTGGTGAATAGAAAACCCGTTGACCTGAAATGGTCAACCCATTGAAAATTAATGGTAGGCACGTGGTTGCCCGGCAGGTCTCAGTAGACTAACCCGTTGAAGCTAACTGGTAATCCTGTGGTTCCAGATGTTTGGCCCACTGATCGTAACTGGCATTCCAAACAGCCCCCAATTCATTCTAGTTGGTAAGCAAATTCAATGTGGCTGGTAACCACATGACTTCCCACATTGTTGCAAATGGTCAGCACTTTGATGGTAATTGAGACTCCAATGATTCCATATGTTTCAATAAAAGGTTGAGTTGGGCTAGTTGATACATACTTGGATACATGCAGCGCGAACTTAGACAAAGAACACAGACAAGCGCTCGTCTGCGTTGTGACTCTCTGGTCTTCGACCAAGCTGCACTGCATGTATCCAGATGATTGGCCCAGTGACAAAAGCTGGTGTTTAGCCAGTCACCATTCTACCTGGTAAGCCAATTTAATATGGCTGGCCATTAGTTTCTGGTAAGCACTTGGTTGACGCTAAATTGCTAACTGCATTTCAGCCAGCCAGTGGTTGGTATACAGAGAGAGCCAACTGAAGCTAAGTAGTAGTGTAGTAATTGCAGTCTCTTGGCTGACCTATAAACATGATTATCACATTTCTGCGGATGCAAGTAGAAAATGACAATCCTGTAGAAGGCTGGCTGTCATCACACTGCACTTCATTAATTGCAATTTCACAACACAGTGGAAACAGCACAGGCTGGATTACCTAGTGTGAATGTGACATTAATGCACACTCAAATGCATGCACATACAAGATAAAAACAATGGTAGAGAAAAAAAAAATATGAAAGAATGAAAATTTATTCACACATTCCATAATATTTACACTATTTAGAAAATGCACCAATGGTCCTCCTCTGTTAAACTTCCGCAACGCCCTGGTTGTCCTTCGCCCTGCAAATGTTTTGCAGAATTTATACATTTAGTCAGCCACACAATGGCTTACATTCTTCCAAGTCTAGATGTGATTTAACATAAAAACATTAACATAAAAATAGCTATGCATGTTGAAGGGGTACAACAGCTGTGCCAATTACGCGAATTTGATACAATTCCCCGCTTTTGCGCCGAGCTGCCAAAACCATATTGCGCCACGCTGCGCCAAAATGCCAGACGAGCCTCCAAATTTTCTCAGTCTCTTTCTGTACATGCATGTTGCAAGCAGATGAATATGGCCAAGTTTCTCTTAAAAAAAGGGGGGGGGGGGAGTCCTTGACACAAAGAACACACTTATCTTACCGCTTGGCAAGCTTCTCAATATCTGAAAGCTTCTCAACAATGAAGTGGTTCATCTGTTTGACTGCCAACGGCAGTACTCCTGCAGGCACGCCTTGATGCTCCAGACGTGCTCTGTAGCAGTCTGAAACAACAAAAATTATCAATAAATAGCCTTGAAGAAACCAGCTGCTTAAAGAACTAATAGCATCGATATTACTTTAAGAACACAAAAGTTCAAAATTGAACTTTTAGTCATATTTCTTGATGCAATGAAGTGTTATATGCTGAATGGCCTAGAATATGCCTTAGCAGCACAGGCTTGAACAATACAGAAAGCATTCTCCAGTTAGCAAAAGTGTTCCGTTCCAGCATTTATTAGAAAAAGGAAACTGCGAACTTAGCGTGCACATGCACAAAAATAATCTAAAAAAGTAACATTTCACAGCTCTCCACTCGCACCATGTAACTGTGTGGATTTATATAGTGCAGGAAGAAAGCAGAGAACACTATTTCTTTTTTTGTCATTTTTTATGAAAGAGATATAAGTTATGATGAAAAAAATGCTGGCAGTCTACACACTAGCTCTATTGTTGGCTTTTCTTTTTTTCGACTATCTTTTTGAACTACCAGTGCATTTAAGAGACTTAAGACTTTCACCTGCCTGCACTCCTGACTAAAACAAATGAATTTAATAGTAAGTAAGAGGCAAGGTGTTGGGTCACATTTTTACAACTACATAGTTTATGTAAAATTGTGTTCATAACTGAAGTCAAAGCAGACAGTGTGAATGCTTAAGTACCGTTGTAACACAACGTCATATGCCGCGAGCGAAATAGTAGCGTATAGACCTTGTCATTAGGTATAAAAGCTGCAGTGCCACAAACAAAGGCGCGTCCTACCGCAAAAGGGCCTTATATACTCCAGGCTGATATACCCGACGCTGTTGGTATCTCTCTGCGGCCAGGTAAATACCAGCGTCATCTCCGTAGAGTTTTCAGGTATATGCATAAATTAATAATGACACCATACTTATTTGCGATTGCACGCGGTAAATTAACAAAATGAACTATGCTAGTGGAGATTATCGATAAAATACTTTGTAGTTACTAACGGTGAACAGTGCTTAGCAGTCAGCCAGGCCAAAGAGAATGCATTTCGCCGGCAACATATCAAACAAAAGCAGGCTTACCTCCCAGTGCCAGAATCCGGGCCCTATAGTAATCGCTGTCTCCACTGTCGTCCGTCCATTTGACTAAATAGAGGGATTTGGACTTGAAGTCTTGCTGGTGACGGGGGAAGAAATCTTTAACGTCTTCTATTGGCACCGTTCCAATTTTTTTATCATCTTCGTACCGGACTCGAACGTGGGTAATCATCTTGCAATGCTGAAGAAAACATCTACACACGTGCGCTACAGCTGGTCAAACGCTGGTCGCACACAGCAAGCAACAAGGGTCGACCGCAGCTGCGGATCTGATAGTTTGTCAATGAAATGTTATTCTTCATTATAAGTAAACAAAAAATCAGAATAATTTTAAAAGTATTTTTTTACTTTTATAATGTTTGTTTAACGCTACGCTGTTTCAATCAATTCACATGCAGACTGCTGGCTGCAGGGTGTCTATGCAATATGGCAGCCGCTGTGGCCGCAGGCAGCCGGTGCACATTGTCCTATCGCTTACATCGCCGTTTCTGTACTTCGTGTCCCGGAGTGAAATAAGCCGTCTTGTTGCTTCAAGACCTCGCGATGGAGCGCGGTCCGAAGAAAAGAAAGAGAGGACCCTACAAGACTTATTTAAATCCCAAGTCTCAGTTCCAGCTACCAAGGAGCACCGCACGCGCTTGCCCGCCGACCGTAAGTTCTGATCATTTTCAACATGGATGGGCACTTTCGATCGGGGTTTTAGCTTGATCCGGGCCCTGCTGGTATCAGATCAGCGGTTGTCCACAACATTAATCTGCATGTTGCTCAACGACTTCGATCGTTGCGCCGTGTTTTACGGTCTTCCTTTTTACCACCCTTTATAGTTCTGCCCGCGAATGATCGAATGTGCTCGGCCGTGTTAAATTGCTATTTTTTATCAGTGCATTTTCTTTTTCATTAATTTAGCGCAGCAATTTAAGTCCAAATCTCATTATTTTCTTCTAGGGTGCCAGCCCTAGCATGCCTTCTTCGAGTGATGAGGCAGACAGCGACACTGAAAGGGCAGATCCACCAAGTCGAACAACATCACTGAAGAGCCGGAATAGTCACATAGCTAGTCCGGGCTCCGAACGTCCGGAAAGTGAAGAAGATTTCCCCGAGTCCGATAATGAGCCGGTAAATTGAGCTGGTAGTAGAATGCTACGAGAACTATTGTTTCTATACGATAAACCGTTTACTATATCGGCGCACTTGTTCTATCACAGGTAACGTCAAGTGGAGGCCGGTTAGGCTCGTCAGCTGGCAGTGCTATGGAAGCTCCTGCTGCAGCCCCTGAAGCACAAGAGCAGAGGAACAGCGCTGATCCGTCACAGAAATTTCCTGCACGCGAGCCTCACGCCCCAGCAGATGAAGTTATTTTACTAAGGCTTATCAGTTAATTAGTAAGCATACACATGCTATTTTATGCTTATGTATTACGATGGGAAATTATAAATTTTGGTTGGTTTTTTTTAGGACTCTCCACTTCAAGACGGCATTGCAAGCCTTTCTGACGCAGATGATTCGTCACTGTTTGATAAGGATGAAGAGGTAACTTTTACACACTAGTTGCACTCTACAAATATGTGCAGCTGGAAGATTCACATCCACTAGAATAGCCTTGAGCAAGTGCATTGGCACTGTGGTTTTCTCTTGCATAATCAGTTCAAGACGAGTTATCACTTGGGACAATAAACTCTGGGAACAACCTGCAACAGGTTTTCAGACCATGTTCTTAACACTGTCTGTTGTCATGTAATTTACGTGCTATGAGTGAACTAGCACAGCTAACTAGAATAGGCAGATTGGGTTACTGTGGCACTAAATGCTTCTTTTTTTTTTTTCTTCACAGGAAGCTTTTTCAAGTGACCATGCTTCACAGCAAGGTTTCCCTGGAGATTTTCTCACATTAGATGATGACATGGTGTGTTTGTTTTCACTGGAAATAACTAGATTTATGGTCAGGTTTTAAGGGCACTACTTTCACAGGCTCTTTTATGTACTGGAAAATGTCTGTGTAAATTGGGCACTGTTAAGAGGGACACGTAGCGGTGATTTGGTGAATGATTCATTTCAAGATCACTGGCTCTTTCATTTTAAAGAATATCTCACCAGTTGGTCTGTAAAAAGTTATCAGCCTAGCAGGCATGATATTTTGTACTGATCAATAACAGAGTTGTTTGCTCATATTCATTGGGCTTATCACGGTTCACTATAACTGAATTCTGTGATAGCTTCATTGACGAAAGCTTTTTTTTTTTTTACTTTCAGCAGCCTGCTGCAGATCCAGTGACAGAGCCTGATCCATCTTGCAAGGCACGCTTTGGAGACCTTTTTACACAACTTGTCACTGAGAAAGTGGTTCTTTCGAAGGGAGATATTCTCCTAATGGCACTAAAGCATGCTGTGAAGAATAATTTGACTCTTTTGGGTTTAACTAGCTTAATAGATTTAATTAACAGAATTTTTGATAAACCTATATTACCTCACTCACAGTATCACCTACATAAACTTTTTAGCGAAACTGGCACCACTATGACTTTTTTCTTTTTTTGTCCGAGATGCTTTTCGCATATTGGCAGTCTTGAGACAAATTCTTACTTGAAATGCTCGAAGTGCAGTCACACAACTTTTGTGTCTTCCCTTTCGGATGCCCCCTTTTTTGTCACTCTCGATGTGGAGTCGCAACTTCAAAGGCTACTTAAGGACTGTGATCTTCTTGATTTAACAAAGCCCCTTCCGACGAATGGGACATTTTCAGACATCTGGGATGGTACAATGTATCGTACTTTTGTAGCCGAATCTCAACACTGTGGACCAAGAATCAGTTTCTCGTTGAATGCAGATGGGACCCCGCTTTTCAAATCAAGTGGGACATCAATTTGGCCCATCCAGCTAATTGTTAATGAGCTCCCTCCACAGCAAAGAATGTCCAAATTGGTCCTGGCCGCATTGTGGTTCTGGAAAGAAAAGCCAAACATGGCACTTTTCCAAGGTACTTTTGTTGAGAAAATGAACGAGCTGTGTGAGAATGGCGTTGAATTACAACGTCAAGGAAGGGTTGAAAAATATAAGGGTTGAAAAATATAAAACACCACCGCTGTCGTCTTGGGGCCAGCACAATAAACAATGTAGGGGCCAAAGTAGCGATGCCATCGCCTGCGTCACTTTCGTTGACATGACAAACTTGACATCGCACTGACAGTGTTGCCAATAATTCTGGCAAGCGAGGCGAGTTTTTCGAGGCAATCTTTAAAATTCATTTGCAAATAATCTGCGCATCTCTCAAGCCTGTAATTGGCATAAATGACAGGAATGTGCGTAAGAGTGTACCCAGCGAATTTGATTGAGATTCGTTGACCTCGAAAAACCACCGGAGTTGACCTTTAAGCATCCTTAAATAAGTAAAGACATGCTGTTCACGTGTAAACTGTTAACCTGTATGAAACCTGTTTCTCAGTGCTTTACTGAAATGCCAGTTGTATGGCAATGCCTTTTTCCTCCTTTGGAACTAAAATTCCTTTTATTGTGATTCAATTTACTGTTATAAGTATTTGTAATATTTGAAGTATCTTGTACGCCTTGTGTTGCAGCACTGGCCAAGAAATTTTTTTACACCAAAATATGTTCTGTGCTATTTAAATCCTGTTTGCCTTGAAATAAAATTCTTTTTTTTTCAATGTTATTGTTGCCTTTCATACCTTCTTTCGGATATCTTGTTAGTGAGAACATCTAATTGTTTTCTCTTAGTTGCATAACCTTTTCTATCGTATGAATATTAAAAAAATTCAGTCATATCCTGCAGCAGCATTATATGCAGTGACAGGTAGCCCATAAACACGTGACATCAGGTGCTCACTGGTAGTTAGCCATATTCCCTAGTTTGGGAATAAGACATCGTTGGTACATTGTGATGCTGCAAACAGTAGAAGGTGCGGTTCCAATGTGTACTAGTACTTTAACTGCTGCATTTTCATGATGCATATATGGAAAGCTTAATCAGATGCCCTGATACAGTGGTTGTTTGTAAACCAGGCAAGTGTTGTAAACAAGCTTAATTTAATCCAAGGTTTAAGTAAGTGACCGAGCTCAGGGATTCCAAGCTGAAGCACTAGCTCGAATTCTGTTTGGGTAACACACATAAATGAATTGCTTTATATGGAGGGTTGGATGCATCACCGTAGATTTCCATTTATGACTTTCAATACTGCTCAGGTAGAGAATTGTAAAAAATAAACTTCAAAGTTATGCATGTACTGCAATTGGGGTGTCCTATTGGACTCTCCCATTGCAGCTTGGGTCCCATTGACGTCCATTTGAGTCCCATTGCAACCAACTGGAACCACCTATCATGACAGCAGGTCATCCTGTTAGAACTTCAAATATGCAGAGTTGGTTAAAATGTTAGAAGCCACTACATGGGAAGTCCAATTGGACAGTCCCATTGCAGCATGCACTTCCAATTGGGCACCAGTTAGACACCATTTGAACCCCACTTAGCCCCCTTTGCCACCCATTGCTCCTAACTGGAACATCCAGTTGGACCCATTAACTATTTTTGACTGGGAAGGCTTTGAGGTAGTTGAAATAAACAGAGAGGTGCATAGGTGGGGTGGTTTTCAATGAGACAGAATTCACTTCGATAGGAGGCTAGGTCATGAGGTGACTTGCAGGACGCGCAGTAGCCTTGTTTGAGGCATGCGGACCCTTCAGTGTCCAGAACAGCTAGTAACAAGGAAAACAACCAGGGGGACTCTTTGACAGAGAAACCAGAGAAAAAAGCACAGCATATCCACGGAGTGACTGATGATGAGTGGACAAAGCGTCCATCCGTCGATCGTTCCGCGTGTCTGTCCATCCGTCCGTGCATGGGTTCAAGTGTCCAAGAATGCAGACGGCACGTGGTTAACACCAACGAGACGTGAGCCAAGGAAGCCGAGTGCAAGAGTTTTCAACGTACCCGCCACTTTGCTTCTTCCATGCACCAGCAACGATCCGCCATGCACGGCGGCTATCCAGGAGACTGAAGGAGGCACTCATTCCTAGCATACCCAGATACAGTTCACACAGCAGCCAATCGAAGAGTTGTGGTACAGCGCCATCTAGAATATCCTCACTCCACTACAGTTTTTGTATACTTTGATGAGACAGCGCCGTCTATTGTGCAGTTATTATACTATACTATTAAACTGCCTTCTTTTCTTTCTCGCCTCTTCTGTCAGCTACGCGTGACGCATGAAAAGGTTACATTGAAAGGAGCTTCGCTTCTAAATGAAAGAAGAAGGGAAAAGGCGCGTGTTACAATTAGTTGCATTAACATGCAGGTTGCAGGAAAAAGGCAAAATGGCTTGAGATTGAGAAGCAGTTAAACAAGTAACAGATAGGTGTGTGAGCGATTACAGAAACACACCTTAGAGACTTGGAAGAGCCACCACAGGAGCATTTCAGAAAGGAAAGGTGGGGGTGTTGGAATGCTAATCCATAGCAAAGCCAGATGGGGTAGAGTGAAGCAAACGTGTTCGGAGCACCTCTAGAGTTCGGCCCGCACAGGGAAAAGAAAACGTGGCTAGGTGTAGCTTACTTGTGGACGGGGAATAACTGCAAAGAAAAGAATTTGTAGATAGTGCATTGCATACGCACCGATAAAAAATTTGGTCATGAGGCCTAAATAATCCTTCCTGAAGAAAAACGGCTATTTGGGCTAGTTGGTTGAATTCCATGGTAATAAGGGTTGCAGCGCAAGCACGAAGGTGCTGAAAGAAACGGGAAACGAAAGGCGAGGCAAGGAAAGTGTTCTCTTTGTTTTTCTTGCCTCGCCTTTCGTTTCTTCCAGCACCTTCGTGCTTGCGCTGCAACCCTTATTTCCTTCTAGAAGACATGAATGGTCACATACAGGATATTCAGACACCAATGGCAGGTTATTGCTGAATTTCTGCGAGTAACACAGTCTTGAGATAGTTAATGTGGGGCATACGTGTGAGGGGCAGATCACGTGGGAAGTCGGACACAGGCAATTGATTATTGCCTTATGACAAAGGGAGTCTATGGCAAACTTAGAGAGATGAGAATAGACGAGGAAAAAATGAACAGTTTGGGTAGTGATCATAAACGCATAATATTACAAATGGGGTATAAAACTGAAAACAAGATTACAGAGTCAAAACTTTGAAGGTCGTTTTTAAATGACACACAAATAATAAATATAGACGCAAAAGTCCAAGACAAAGTAGGAAAACTACCGGGCAAGGACTAAACGTATAGTGAGCTGATACGTGGAATGACGAGAGAGATTGAAAAAAGAGAAGAAAGCTATTTGCTGGAAAGGAAAGAGAAAACTATAAAGTTGGTGGAAGAGAGAAATCCGGGAAGCGATCGAGAAGCGGCGTGAGCCATCACGGGAGCATAGACAGGGAAACAGGGAGAAGCGGCCACATGATGAAGTCAACCAAATATGGGAAATCTATTTAGAGAAAAAAAACTATCCTGCAGAAATTGTTGGAGGTGAAAGTGAACGCTGGATGACATAGATTCGCCAAAAGAAGGTCATGCCTAGAATATTTTGGAGCGACCTAAAAACGCTAGTTAGGAAATCTGTCACAATGCAGCAGCATATTGTAGATGGAGGAAATAAATCGGAAGGGTACGAGGCACCAGGCACATCCGAAAGGTAACAGCAGATTCGTTTAAAAAGGTCACCCAGAAGACTTCCCCGGGGAGTAAAAGTATGGAAAAGAGTACAACCGAGGAAGAGGTAGATTGAGAATCTCAATCGAAAAAAGGCCGAAGGAAACTCCGGGCTGAGATGCGGTACCCGTTCACCTCATTAATGAACCAGGACATAGCACAAAGAAGCACTAGTGAAATGTTGAAAAGTGCTCACAGGAGAAGGAAATACCAAGCACTTGGACCACTAACCATTACATCCATTACCTTACAAGTTGGCGATGCAGGCAATAAAATTAAAAGTAGAAACACGGACAGAACACTATGATGTTATGGGAGAACTTCAGAAGGGATAACCTGTTTGTTCTTACTCAGTGTATATAAATATCTAAAATACAGAACAGGCCCTTATATGTAGCTTATCTGGACATCACTGGGGCCTTATGTCCCACAAAAATGTCCTGATCAAAGGACAAAAATGTCCTTTAATCAGGACAATATAGAGCGGCTGGCAAATATATGCGGAAGGGTAGGCGAGGCTCTAGGACTAGAATTTTGTACAAAATGAGGATTGGTGGTATTCATTGATCACAAAGACGAGGTGGTTCCAATACAGGGCCAAAAAACACAGATGGTAAGCGAGTACAAGTACCTCAGAGTATGGTATAGATATATGCAGGTACAGGAAAAAAACATCGGCATCAAAGGGAAAGAGGAATGTTGACAGCCTGGTGGCACAGGTCACCATAGCATCAATCCATCCATCCTGTACAAGGATAGTATGTTTTCTCTCGTTTATTTTGCTCCAATTTACGAATAAAACCATGACAAATACAGATTTTTCCGGATACAGAATCGTGAGGAGGTTTGAGAATTCGTTTGTGGCAGTATTACTTTTTACGGCCCGTTTTATATATATATATATATATATAAAACGGGCCAAGTTCCAACTCTATGGGTATGGGGGCTATATATATATATATATATATATATATATATATATATATATATATATATATATATATATATATATATATATATATATATATATATATATATATAGGCATTCTAGCATGTCTTCTATCTGAAGACATGTATTATGGATGAAAACTGGGCTATCCTCAACGAATCGTATTGAGTCCATGTACTTGCCATTACTTTTGTCAACACTAAACGTGCTACTGAAAAAAAAAAGTAGTAATGACTGACGAATAATTCTGCACATGGCAAAATACGTAATCTGCTGATTTTCCGTAGATCGCCCGCGGGAGAAAAAAAGAATATCCAGAATTTCCTTTTATGGCCCTTTATTTGACAAAGTGTATTAGGTACAGATGAAATATGTACATTATTTACAGAACTTGACTAGGTCTGAGAGGGGCGGGAGTAATGTCGGAGGCTACAGCACAGCAGCCGTGAGGTAAGGTTCGTTACGAAAAGAATTTAAAAGAGGGGTAGCAATTAATCGTGGGGAAGGGTGACTGTACCAAGGGGAGATGCTCAGCAACCGTAAGGTAGCTGAGTGTATTTGAGACTGAAGCCACCGGCACGGCAGACTAGCGCATCGGCGAACTGCCTTTCGGTGAATTCCCTTCCAGCGAACTGCGTCACGTTGGCAGCAGTAGAACCCAGGCCAGCGGGCAGCTGCGATCCGATGGGAAGTTGTGGTTGGGTGGGCAGGACTTGGGGAGAAGGATTGACGACCACAGTAGGATTTGGTTGCACCACTGGAGGGTTGACGACCACGGTAGGATTCGGTTGCACCACTGGAGGGTTGACAACCACGGCAGGATTCGGCTGCACCACTGGAGGGTTGACAACCACGGCAGGATTCGGCTGCACCACTGGAGGGTTGACCACGGCAGGATTCGGTTGCACCACTGGAGGGTTGACGACCACGGCAGGATTCGGTTGCACCACTGGAGGGTTGACGACCACGGCAGGATTCGGTTGCACCTGTGGAGGGTTTGGTTGCACTTGGGGAGGGTTGACGATCACAGTAGAAGGGTTTGGTAGCACGGGAGTGTTGGGACGCACGCCGGGGCAAGGGCAGTCGGAATAACCGACGCGAGGTCCAGTAATGAATGACAAGCGGAAGGGTGTGACGTTGGCTGCGGAAAAGAAACACGCAATTAGAGTGGAATGGTGGGCATACACTAGACTTCGGGCAAGTAATATAAACCTCACCAGCGACAGGTGTGAAAGTGGTGCCGCAGATGCGGTCACCAAGGTTGCCATCACGGACGGAGCCAGTCGATCCGGTGGGAATGAGCACGTAAGCATCACTGCAACGCTGGTTAACCAGGGGGCTCAGACGGAAGCCGTTAGGGCCATTCTCTTCGTACTGCAAGGTTTTACCACAATCTTACTACCATTCAACATTGAGTGCTGCAAAACTGGCAGCAATCGCACTTGATTCGGAAAGTACAACTCACCAGGATAGAACAGAAGCCAAGCTGACGTCGGATACAAATGGAGTAGTGCATGTTGGCGAAATAGTGGAAGCCAGTGGGGTTGCGGACAAAGTTGAAGCTTGTGATGAAGTCAGAGGCCTTGGTGTGGTACTGCAAGCAAGCCCGTAGGAGCTGGAATGCGAGTAGTTCGGTATTAAAATTACGAATGTTACACGTTACACTTAATGCAAACTATTTAAGACGTCTCGACAACTCACCCATATTGGGGCTCCAGCAGGAAACCTGGGTGATGTGAATTTCCCACTTGCGATCCCTTTCAGCGCGGGCACTCAGGCGAACCGTAAGAATAGCCTGCTTGCTCTGGCTAACGTCGACGTACACTGTTTAGAGAGGAAAGAGTCTTAAGATTCCGTCGTATTCCGTACAGCAATAGCCAAAAATGAATACGCTACTAACACAAGGACTGATGAAGAGACGGCAGTCCTTGTCTATTTTCGCTTGTAGTAACAAATCCTAAGGGGACGCTGCATGATATGCGTCCCCTTAGGATTAGAAGCCTGGTACATCAGCTGATAGGCTTTGCAAAGGAGCTTTGCGAAGCGTGAAGGGTTAGTAAGTCTTACTGTGTTGTCCGCTGTTGAAGCCACATAGGATGGGGTAGGTGGAGGCCTCGAGGCCGGCGGACACGCTGAAAGCGTCGTCCACGCACATGCCCGCCTGGGGTCCGCAAGTCACGGGTGGCGAGAGTTGGAACTTGGTGAAGTCGAGCCGCAGCTGACACGCGCCTGGGGCTGTCTGCACGCTGACCTGACACTGGCGGAATGAAGAGTCTTTCTGCAAGGTATGGGGGCTGCGGAAGACAGCCTCGGCGTCGGTGATGACGTCGCCGCAGCTGACCGACTTCTCCTGTTCCTTCACTGCAAAATGAGTTAAGCAATATCAGCGATACACCTAGGCATACGCGAACACCAAAACAAGTTGACTATTCCACGGCTTGTTGGGCGTCTGCAGCAGATCTACGGATCTGGGCTACCACTGGAAATTACTAGTGCAGTGATTGTAATAATTGTAAAGCAGTCGAAACCGCTATGAAGGATCGACAGTACTCCGAAACGAGAACGCGTCAGAGACACAATTTATAGAACCCATTTGAATTTACGGTGGTCCCCAGAGCACTAACTATGAAGTTAACAAGGCCACTCGCTTCCACTTACGGTGACAGCAGATGTTTTGACCGTCGTTGCAGCGGCCAAGAGAAACACCTCCGTCCTTCATGCATTGCTTGGCCGGAATGCAAACTCCCTCCTCGTTGGAAGGGGTGACACACACCGATGGTTTGATGATCTCCTTTTCCGGCGTTTGAACCAGAAAGCCGGCCATGTTCAAGTTCTGGCCCAAGCTGTGGGCCATGGATGACACGTGGCCCACTGAAAATAGGGAGAGGAAAAATTGCATGATCAGGCAAGTGTGGCTAACTGGCAACCTAACCGTCTAACGCTGCCACTTGGAGGCCTGCCTGGCTAGTAGAAACGCAGAACAACATTACAGGCGCCTCAGAAGGAAAAAAAAAAGAACACTGCGAAATTATCTTGCTCCGCTGGAACGTTCAGAGTCTGAAGCGCTCAGATCAATCAAGAGAAATACAGACACTCACTTGCTCCATGGTTTGTCTTCTCGTCCGAACGGTGGTGGTCCTCGGCTACCACGGTGCCGTTGTCACGGTGGAGGTCCTCGGCGACCACGGTCGCCGCGACTGCCAGGAACACAATCAGTACACGTAGAGACATTCTCGGCTGTGTTGAAAATGACCGTCTAGTCAACTCTCCGCGTGGTTCTGGTGGAAAGCTGCGCGGGCTCCCGCGTTTTCAATGGTGGCGGCGGCTCCCATTAGCCAATAAGAAGATTCGAAATCTCCTCTCTCCTTTAGGCCCCGCCTTTTTGCGCACGACACCGGTTTTTCACAAAGGCTTTTTCTTCCGCTGCGACCCCACGCGGAGGAAATACTAACCTTGAAGGGGAGAGCACTAATACCCTCTCCTATTTTCCCTTTTCCAGGAGCTTTTTCCACCTTGCCACAGCTTACCAACAAAAGTGCGAACGACAAAAGCCATGTGATCAGGACATTTAATTAATAAATTATAGTACACCAGAGATGGTATTGCATGGCAGGATCACATATATGTAGAGACATTTCCCCTTATAATATAGCACTCCGAAGATGCGAGACTTTTGACTGACTCAAAATTTGGGATGTTCTCAAATAGAAATATAAAAAAAAGACTATTTTAGGGGAAGGGGTTAAAAATGGGGAATTCAGAGGCATGTTGAGTGTGGCCCCAAGTCCAGAGCCCGACTGGCTCACGTAACCCCGAAGCGCTAATAGAACTTCTGAGTCCGAGTTCTCTCGTCCACAGCTCCGAACTGTTCACAAAGTTTGTGCCCAAAAATGTTTCAGGATAGGCTTCTACGTAAGCATAGGGTAATTATAAGGTAAGATATCGTGTTCCAGGCTAAAATAACTTGTTGAGAAAAGCGTCGATGAGTTGATCTCTATTAAAATGTGCCTATATGTTGAGGCTTTTCGTGGAAACCTGTAGCACAAAAACACACGTCGAGTACCATCGATTTGCCCATATTAAAATGGTATCTTGCCACCGGTAAGATGGCGGGTTGTTGAATTCACTTCCGAGGCATGGATCCTCCACTCCAGCAATACTCTATATAAACTATACTTGAATTGCCTAAGGTGACTACAAGGCGAAATGAATTTACATCTCATTAAAAACGTTGTCTCTAACAAATCGTTACTGTCCGATACTAGATACTATATCCAAAGCACCACCCACTCGTCACAATTCACTTCATGAAGATGTGTGGATTAAACAAAAAATATCTAGATTTCGGCCACATTACCATGCAATGTGTTACAAAGCTGGTAAACAACTGACCCGTGGGAAAGCGTCACGACAAAATGTAGCATATCAGTCATTAAATAAATCGATCAATCGGTAAGCGTATTTCTCACTAAAACGGATACAGTGACAAAAAAAGAGAGAACAAAAATACGGGCATGGAAGCTTGACTGCAGAAGCTGCAATGCCCGCGGTAGATTTCGTTTTGCCGCCACAAATTTGAAAATGTTCCATTCTGTATCTAAATTGTTTCGTTCGCTGAGCACGAGCACTGATTAACATTTTGTAGCACACAAGCACAGGTAATAACAATCACGCACTTGTACTTGGGTGCGCCTTAGCTGTGGTGGTCAAATTTCGACCAGTCAAACATACAAGTTTATTTCCTACTTAACAGGTGGATGTTACCCAAGGCGAAAAGTTGACCAATGCTACTTGCAGATGCATGGGGGCCCATGCATACGGTAGCATATAGACAGCATATGTGCACACGATGAACAAAATGGATATTTGGAGGAAATGCAAGGAAAAAATACCAACAGACATAAAAGATGCACATAGACATTGTGAACTGGAGCTCATGCATACATAAAGGAAAAAAATGCATACATTAACTTCGACATCAAATTGCGATAAACAGCCTCACCCATACATTTAAATATGTGAGATTGCAACAAACCTGCGTTGTTTCATAGCTACAGCAAAAATTTTAACAAAATGTTTATATGATCAATGAAAAAGAAAAGTGGTAGTAGTAAAAAAAAAACAGTATAACGATGTCAGTGCTGCCCAGAAATAAAATACTCGCGCAAATATTTTTTTGAATCGTAACTAAAATCAACGCCCCAAGTATAATAATTGATTAAAATGTGCACTGCATCGAAAGCTGGAGATTGCTTGTCATAGCATGTGTAACATCGAGGTACTATTTAATCAGGACTGCGCCATTACTGTGTACTTTGTAACCGTATCATATTTTTTTTTGCCTAAAATCTCGGAAGTTATCATTATCTTCGTTACCGGAAGGCCTCCGGCTTGACCACGAACACTCACCCGCGAATATCCGGAAGGGTATGACATAGGCGGTGAATCATATTGGTTTGATCAGCTTTGCGATGATATAGCTGTGACATATCACAACATGATGATATAGCGCTATGCATCTTTGTGTGATAATATCGGTTTGGTAGTTAACAAAAATGGCTCTGGTATGACATATAGATAGCTTGACAGTATAGGGACCACTTCTGTGCGATAATGTTCGTCTGGTACTTCATAAACGAAGCTTTGGGATTATTGCATCGACATATTGATGATATATGACAGTATGATAATATGGTGATAATATAACGAGTGATAATATTGGTCTGAAGTTTCGTTAAGGCAACTTTGGGATTATAAATACTGTATTCATTCCGATAATGCAAGGTCACGCAGAGTATACGGATAGCTGTAAGAAAGGAATTAAGCGACGGTAATTTTTTGGAAACACTTTACTCGTAAGGCACGGATGAAGAAGTTCGGACGAAGCCCAGCCAAAACATGTGCGCTGTCCTCACAACTGCAAATTATTTTTTTTAAATAACGTGGGGTCTAACCAACAACGATAACTTCGCCAAACATTACACTACCCAGCTAATGATAACCACATCGCAATTTGTACATTCAGGACTCTTGAATTTATGTGTGTTTTTAAAACACTATGATGCACACGGCATCCCTTATGCAGCGGTGAATATAGTAGCGCGTCAAAATACCGATTGAACCATGTAAGCCTTCGCGTAAAGCTTACTGTCGCTTTTTTTTTACGTGCCGAAGTAAAATAGCAGGGGCATACACTCTAATAAATATTATTAATATACCTACTATTGGCTTGTGTAAGCACGAAGACACAGAGAAAATAGGGAGGGAAATTCTACTAAAGCATTTGCTAAATACACATGGCTTTTTATTTGAACTTGATGGTTGGCGAACATCGTGGCATGACAACACACACAACAGAACAAAGAACATGAAGGACACAGCACTGAATGAAGTATTTTTTTTATCATTGAAAATTCTGAGATTATGTGGGCCGGTGAACGAAATCGAAGAACAACACGAACGCTATTTTTTTTGTAATTGAAGCAAATAAATGGAAATATGAAGGCTCGTTCATTTTTGTTCGACACAACATTATTGCCAAGAGACATTGATGCCAAGTAAAGTAGAGAGGACGTTATATTTGTAGTAGTTGTAATGTGCATACCCTAGAAGAAAACTGGACGAAAAGAAAACTTCTTTTGTCCACATTTCGTTCTTCCCGTATACAGTATGATTAAAACTACTGCAAATTACGTTCCGTATTCTTGCCTTGGCATCAGTGTCTGTTAGTTATGAGAAATGTTTATTTGTAAATGTATTTTAGTTCATGTTGAAACTGAATTATCCGTAGGCATACGGGGTTAAAGTCATCACCTTAGCACTGCTCCTTCGAAGTCATCCATTGACTGGTTTAAGTTTTTTTTTTTTTCAGACTATTGATATTTGTAATGGTGTTCTGGGTTCCCTGCACGAGCTGTCAAATGATGAATTTGTTGAACTTTTTTCACTAATCAGCTGTGTGTACTTTCGTGATGTCCTGTTTATTCCAAGCATAAGCTATTTTTATTGTATTTTTATTGTGGGTTTGTACTCACTCCTGCAATATCTTCCTGTGCGAGATGGCAGTATGTGTAAATAAAAAAATGAAAAAAAAAATCCGCAGCGAATTCCTGCGGGGTCAAAATGGCCACTGGTCTTGCCGCGACGCTTTCCTCCGGAACGAAGCTTTTAAGAATGCGTGTCGATTTCCGAGTTCGCGCTATAACAATCGGCTGTGCCGAGAACGGCTATGACTAAGCGAGCCGTCAAAGGATAAGCGGCTTGTCAAGGTGAGTGTCAGCGAGACAGGTGGTCCCGTGCCACGTGCGTGCATTGTTGCCGCGCGCACCACTGCACCCACCCCGATGATCACCAGCACAACTGCCATGGCCCTTTCAACAAGTTTGCGTCCAACAACATTCCTAGGCGCTGCGCCACGCTCCCTTGCAGAAATCAGGCGCCTTCTCCTAACTACCACGTTCCACGTACCATTCCTTGTGGCCGATTTCCCTTCACTGACATCACTTTTCTTTTTCGGAAGCATGCCACCCGTGGGGCCTGCATAGCCCGCGTGTTTCACGCCTTTTTTATTTATTAGTTTATTTAAAAATACCCTACAGGGCCCATTGGGGGCATTGAGTACGGGGGTGATGCAGAAAATACATATACACATCAAATTAAAAAAAACAGAAAAGAATCATTTGCAAAATAATAACTTGAAATAGAAAGCAGTTAAATATGTACTTTACAAAAGATGCACGCAGGGGAACAGTAAACGAAAGCGTGCATTTCTCAAGGCAGAGTGTTCGAGTACACAGCTACCACAATCTTAAAAACGAGTTCATATTTTGAGACATCGATAAAATGAAAGATACTACCAAAAGAAACGAACGATACATTTAATTGTGGCATTACAGCAAGGTGCATTTCCTTCGCGTAGAAAAGAAACAAGCAGCGGCATAGCTGCCAGTCAGAACGAGCTGATCTGACGTACATATAAGAAATTTCACATTTATTTCTCATTTTTGTCTGACATGCCGCAAAATAAGTTAATTTGCAGTATAAATGAATAAGTAACAAAGCCGCACACCATTGTGCTTAACCTTGTAATGGCCACAAAGAGCTATTCTTTGAGCTAAATTGTGAGAAAACGTTGACTGCTTTCACACTTCTTGTACAGTTCATATAAAAAAATGAATGAGGTACAATAAAACGCACAACTCAATTGGTTTGAATTACTAATAACTCATCATGGTGAATAAATGTGTACTGTAACTTTATTAAAACATGTCAAATCTGCAAAACGGTGGTTCATAAAGACTTGACAGCTTTGTGTTATTTTTGAGTCGATGAGTGTGTGTTCGTTTGCGTGTTCTCCTATGTTATTTTTGAATCATTATATTCAATCTAGCAAATACGGTACAGTGGTCATTACAGCGTTTGCAGCTTTTTCATTATAGTTGTTAGGGCTTCTATATGGTGCCTGCTGTTTCTTTTCACAGACGATAGGTCAAAATCACTGCAATAAGTAACCTTTGCATAAAATATGATCCAGGGAGAGCTCATGTTAATCTATAACGTAGCGACAAAAAAATACAAAATATAGTTCCATAAGAGCGTTGAAATTGGCAAAATCCAGGATGCCACAGGGACGCGGCATTAGTTTACACAGAAGCCAACACATTTAGCGCGACTCGGTCACGTCAAAATATATGAATAAAATCAGCCTCAAATGTTTTCTGAATCACTTTGAGTGTAGACCATTTTACGAATGGGTTTCAGTGTCACAATATTGAACCATTAGCATTTTGTTTTGCATCTAAACGGACCGTGTTGCGGTAGACGCATAAAAATGCCTGGGTCGGTTAATGCGATGTTTCGTGGCCTCACTAACTCACATCGTGTTATACACAAAGAAGAAAGCATCGGGTGAACAGCCCAAGATGGCGGCGCCTTGACATTTTACACATGGTGCCACCATATTTGTGGCTTGCACGTTCTTTGGTGCACGCCATGTTAGACGCACTAAGATTCATTTATTCTCGCTGAGTAATTTAATATCGCCTTATTTATGAGGAGAATTTTCGGTTTCTAAGCGCAGAGTTTGGCCGCGAGGCAGCAGGGTATGAGGCTTGGTGGCGTGACCCCACAAGGCTGTGACTCATGTTGTGCATGAGTATTGTCTGGTCTCTCACACACGTGCCACACAACATGCATGGGAGAGGCAAAGAGGTGGTGGGCACCCTCCCCCCTCCCCCCCCCGCCCTGTCACCTCAGAGGGGCACAAAGTCAGCCACATACCTACAGGGAATGAGGCGCTTTGATGAACCAAGCTTTGTATCCGGGGGGGATGAAGGGAGGAAAAAAGCGAGCGCGGGCGAGCATACCAACAGTACACGTTGGAAGTGAATAGAAATATATTCTGAACGTTTGCTGAGCCCGACCATTCATTGAGTGTGTCCTTGCACGGCCGCTGGATGAAAATGCGCTCTTCCATCCAGCGGCTGTGGTCCTTGCATATAGACGGGTCCAGCGTTTTCCTGCTTGAACAGTGTGCCGTGTTTTGTTGTGCTAACTAAAAAAATATAAAAAAAGGAGCTGCCATCTGTGTAATCACTAAACGCGCAGCTTTGGGAATGCTTCATGGTACATCGTTGGTGTTACACGAAAAGTTCCATTTCGGCCAGCGCTGCAATATACCTGATCAAAATTTCTAGACAGCCGTAATCAATGAGGTATAAAAGCATCGATAAACCATTGGAGTTAGTGAAACACCGTGGCCGCGCCAGAGCCGCTCTTAGCCGAGAAGCAATGTAGTAAAAACAACCTCTCCATTTTTAGACCTGCCCGGCCGTTTTTTTTTTTTTTATAGAGAGAGAGCTCGCAGGTTCGTAAATTCCAGGAAAGCATTCGTGATCCCCCCCCCCCCCCCCCCTTACTCAGGAATGTGCAAGAAAAAAAAAAGAACAGAGCAGTCTGACTAACACTTGTCCTTTGTGGGCACTATTCTATGCGCTCAGTCCTGGTTTGCCCTGAAGACGAAAGGCATGCGTGAGTGTGCCTTTCCTGATGCTTCAAAAAAAGGTGGGCCCAGCAAGCTGCCACACTTCTAAGTGGGCCCAGCGCCGCGTCCCGAAGATGGCTGTGAAAGACGGAGGCGTCGAAGGCATCCTCGGCAAGGGTGCTCGCATGACCGGGCGCCAGGTGCAGCTCATTTTCACCTCTGGTCACCCCTTACCCAGTACCTTTCAGTACAACAGCCACCACGAGATGCCCCTGTCGCCCCTCTCACATTCCCTCCGTCATTATCCGAGGACGCGTTCACGGCTGTAACACGTGCCTGGAACTCTGTGGGTCCATGAGCAAAGTGAATCAGCTAAAGCCAAGGAATTTCAGGTCCCAGTTGCTACTTCGGTTTATAGACGAACCGGTTGGTATCCCTGAAATTCAAGCAATCGAACACTGACTGTCGCATCGTTCCCCCAGAGACGCGGGTGAACTGTGTACAAAAGGCAGGAAATGGTCAGTCAAAAACGATTGACAACAGGGACATGTGGTCCGGATGGTTCTATTTTATATATTTATTTTTTTCGTTGCTACTACAGGGGCACATTGGCATTCACAGCAAATGAGATTCGCACATAGAATGGGTTTGCCAAACTCGGGCCGCTGCCACATGTGGTATCGAAGACGGGTGGTGGACAATATCACGTGAGACCAGTGACTAAAAAGACAAACTTTTTTTTTACATTGTATATTGGCTGCCCTGTCGAGACATGTTGCCCAGCACGCATAGCTTGTTTACTCCGTACAACCTGCTTGTTGTTTACTTGTTCCTGCGAAGTATGAAAATGGCTGTGAGGGAGCTTTTTTTAGTTATCTTCCCCCCCCCCCCCCAAAAAAAAATTTATTGATGTGACTCAAAAGGAATTCGGCTAAAATGGCAGAACTTCGGTGAGCTCTGTGGATGACATGCAAAAACTTCCCAAGATTGCATTCCTCCAAAGTTATTTTTCTTTCTCTCTCTGGACCAAGCATTGTTTTTCACATTCTTCCAAACCTATTCCTTCTACCTACTTCAAGTCTTTTTTCTCCCCTCCCCCACTTCCCAAGGCACTGCCGTGCTCCCGCAAGGGCTGCAGAGGATTGTGCCTTTTTCTTTTCCTTCAACCACACATTTGTTCTTTGTTCGATCCTTGGGTTTTGCCTCTACGCGAACATCACAAATTATATCCCCCCCCCCCCCAATTACTATTTGATTACCACGCTTGTTATCTCTAATACTTCATGGGCTTATTTTAACGTCCCAAAATCACGACATGATTATAACAGACACCGTTGTGGGGGTCTCCGATCTTCTTAACTGCTAAATCTAGGCCCACGAGCTTCAAGCGTTCTGGGCCCCGTCGAAACGCGGCCACTGAGGCCACGCGAACTCCGGGTCCAGTACCCAAACCACTATAGACCACCGCCACGGGCAGTTCACTGGTACAGAGCATAGGTATTGTGCGTTGTTCTTTACAGAGCCATGAATAAAAAAGTACCAGAGCAATCAAATCCGGGCGGACAGAAATAACACTTCCGCTTGTCTGAGACCAAGTGCACAATTAAGAGCACAGTGCTCTTGTAATCGAAAATGAGCACCCATCTGCAGTGACAGCATAGCACGAGTGGCCAGCTGGGTTCCGGCAACGACGACCGCATTTCGAAGAGGGCGAAATGCGAGAAACACCCGTGAATTGAGGTCCCGTTGAGAGTAGCATAAATTAAGACGGCGCGCCTGAATGATATCGTGAATTGGGCAAGTGAGGCATCGGTAGGAATTGAAGGTTACTGCGATAAGAACCTCGTCCATCATCCAAGACTGATAATTGTGCGGAGTACATTCATAGATAACAGACCGATGACAAGACCGGATATGACTGCAAGGCTTGTCGCCTAGCTGGAGTTTTACACTGAAATCAAAACTTACAGATATTAGATAGCAGACAACTCACCCCCGATAAAAACTCATAGTCCATGTCTAACATTGGCTCCTAATAAAAAAAAAACTCTTTGAATAGTTTTATTAAAGTATCACTCAGGTATAAGTACTGAATCTTAGTGTTTTCTAAAGGCTCAATGATTGACATTAAGTTTTGTTATTACATCAATAACTTGTGTTATGAAACTGAAGTTGCACGATGTACCAGCTACAAAACTGCCTCTTGCATCTTTACAAGGGCATCCAAAATGTACTTGCCTATTTGTACATTTCCCGCTGTGCACTTCTTTTGTTAGAATTTAAACTGATTGGGCTGTCGTTGCCCCGCACTGTGTGCTATAAATTTCGGCATCGCCTGTTTACTTATATTTTAAGGCGCAAAAGCAAACCACCTAAACACGTGACAGATCACGTCAATTAAAAGTAATAAAAAAAACTACCGCTGCGAGTGGTAAACTGTGAAGAAGAAAAGCATTAGTTTGAGGCCTCGAAATGCGTGCATATGTCAATTCACAATGACGCCACAACGTAGCTTTCTTGTTATAACATAACCGCCGTGGTTTTACGTCCCGAAACCATGATTTGACTGAGAGACATTGTGGTGTGGCGGACCTCTTAGTTAAACACACCGACCTTCGGGTGAGCAGTATATAAAGATGCACAAGCATCAGGCGACCACAAAGCAAACACATCATAACAAATTAATATCGCGAGGCGATTTCAATTAGCTGTTGAGACAGACAGATTACAGTGCTTTATGAACTTCGCAAAATACTGTCAGCGTTAAAAAAAAGCAAGCCAACCGGCCAAGGCTTGAGAATCGACTCGACAAAATAATAATTCATTTGTACATCCATTAATTCCGGAATAAAATAAAAAAATTAACGTGCATCTTAGATGGTTTCCTGCGCTAAGCGTGGTAATAAAATAGCTTGTCTGGGCCCCGGAGACATGCGTGACAAGTGATAGATGAAAAATTGAGCACGAATGTACGAATCATACCACTCATGTTAGAAATGTATTATACATAAACAAAGCATGCGACAATATTTATGTAAGCCTTACAGGAAATTATTTCTGTCACGATTGTGGCACCTGTCTTGAACCTTGGATGAATGCATTCTTCATTATAACTGGATCACTGAAGTCGCCGCTTTATTTCTTCCTACAATCACAAAACATTAAGAACGTTCTAGTCACCACTGCGCACGAAATTTTCTCAGCTTGTATAGTCCTGATTTTTATTTGTCACTGAAAAGAAATGTATAGTATTTTTTCATAAAGTGCGCGTAGCTTTGTCTGGAATGATATGTTGTAAAATAACAGGGCAGCGAGCTATGTTTCCTAACCAACTGGCCCAACTTTCCAGCGTGCTATATTCGATTAGTATTTGATGCGGTGTATTCCTGTTCGATTTACTTGAAAATAAATTGTGATAAAAAACAACGGCAAAAAAAAAAAAAAACAAGTGCTGCACAAGTATAAGCGGAAAGGGCGAGAAGCAAACACCTTCTCCTTGCCCCTCCGTAAGGGCAGGGCATAAGGAGAGGGCGTGCATCGTTATACCCTATTCAACTGAACACGTGACTGGAATACCGTCCAATGAAGATGTCACAGGGAGAGAGTAGCTCCCTAGATAGAATAGGTCCTATTGTGCCATTCCTCCTCAGCGCTCGCCCAGAGGATCACGGGAAGGAATGCCACGTGACCACGCGATAGACTTCTAGCAGCGCGCAGAATCCAGCTCATTCGGACGTCGCCTGCCATCCAGGTCGCACTCGAACTAGTAGGTCCAGCTGACGGGCTCTCTGTTGAACTCTAGTGTACATTTGTGCCTTCTGTTCTTTCCAGGTCATGAAGTGTGCTCTAGTCATGCTGCCCGCCATCGTAGTCGTCTTCGCCCTGGGTAAGTGATTAAGCTACATGTTTGTTGATATAGGGTTTCTTACGAGAGTTAGCAGAAAGCATAATTTAGCGCTGTCTTCCATTCAGCTGAATATGAACTCTGGTGATACCGTAGTGTGCATTTCTCCCAAGTGCCCATGCACCGTCAACGTACATAAGGATTCGTTGTTTTATCATCCAGCCAAAATGGTTGCTTGGGAGCTTCTTTGCCTAGTCTTTCGCGCTGTTTCCCTCCAATTTATCATCCATGTAGTGGTGAAATGGCTATACTAGAATAATAGCTAGAGTACGCGATCGACTGGCCGCACAAAATGCGCAATGAGAAGCCAACAGTATTGATTTTCTTGCACTCACCCGTTCGAACTACAGACCCATGTCGACCGAAATATGCCGTTGTTTACTGTACAACTTTGTCAGTCCCTCAAGCATCATAGATTGCTGCAACTAATTAAAATGAGCTGTAGTTATTTAGCGCACCAAAAAAAGAGCAAACGTGAAAGAAAAAAAAAGGGCGAGCTCTTCGATGCCCACTGCAGGCATTGTAGTCAAGTGCAGATGTCCGTACCACATGCATGTCGATGTGAGAGTTCAATTGTCGGTACGCGCAGAGGTCAGCGGACACGTGAAATAATCGAGGCTGAAAGGATTTATGTGCTGGCGGATGACTATTTCTAAACCACCAATTGGCCTTTCGTGTAAGGAGTTAGCGTATCTATATACGAAAAGATATCGGGAAAGTGCGTGCAAAAGCCATGTTGCCTATATTAGTTACCTTTTTCTCAAATGAACATTGTTGCAAGTTAGCGCCTGTCCAGTTTTTATCTGTCATGCTTTTTTCTGTGCTCTAAAAAAACTGACGTACCACCACTTCGATGCCATCGAGTAATTCGAACGATCTCTTATGCAGGCACGGCGGCCTCCAACGCGCCACCGATGGAGCTTCCGCAGCTGCCAATGGTTCCCGTGTTGCCCCACAAGCAACTCGTGAAGCCCGACACCCAGGAGGTGGCCACGAGCGCCGTGGGCGGTGGTCTGGTGCCCGACTGGGCTCGGCCGACGACGCTCTTGGAGACTATCGTGCATCGCATCCGGGGAAGCCGCCCCTGCAAGAGCACCGATGGTATCGAGGAGGGCACCTGTCTGCCCACGCACAGCTGCTCCTCGACCGGCGGGGCCAGGCTTACTTCGAACGACTGCCACTTTACCACAGTCTGTTGCAAGCGTGAGCAGATCTCTCCAATTCTATCCTCCGTGTGTTCACAGGAGCGTTTCACGGCTTTTGTTTACGCTGATCACATTGCCTTAATGAGTAACCGGGAAGGCGAATCCCAGCTCATGACTACTGAACTAATATATAAGTAATGGCAAGTCTCTGCAGAAAACAATGCTTTGCGATAGATAGAGCCCTGTACAAGTTGCACAAAGATATGTGTAGTTAGGACAGGTAGTAACCGCGGAGCCGAACCATGAGTGAAATAATGAGAATAAGATCACATTCGGCAAGCATTATCATATCATGGTTAGCAGATTGCCACTCTCTGAAACGTAAGATCTATAGCACCTCCATCTTGCCGGTAATTACCTACAAAGCAGAAACCTGGAGGCTGCTTTTTTTTTCGACGACGCAGCGAGCGATGGAAAGGAAAATAAGTCTCAACTTTAAGAGACAAGAGCTAGAACAGAAGGGGTGAGAGTGACATCCTTAACCGGGGTTAAGGATGTCATAGGAGAAATCAAGAAGAAATGGACATGGGCCAAGCACGTAGGGCGTAGGCAGGATAACCACTGCAACTGACTGGAGTAAGCACAAGACTGCGTAGATGGCGGATCAGTGGAGAGCCCTTTGCCCTGCCCTGCGTAGTCAGACTGATGTGTTCATAAAGACGAGCTTGTATGGTATGCATATAAATACCAGGCAGCGACTAACGTTGTCGTCCTCGGTTGACCAGCATGTCGCATTTTAATTGTGTATGCTCGGTACAAGCAAACAAAGGGCACAGTCCACCATATTGACCTTTTTTACATGTTTGGGAGCGGCAGTCTATCCTTGCTCCTCGCATATGACGTCATTGCACCATTCGAAGTGCAAGTACGCTTCCCGTGGGGGCGAATTCAGCTTACATGTAGCCTACAACAAAGATCTGGTCCCAATCATTGCGCCACCTTAAGGCTCCTTGTTAAGGCTGTCAACCATCTTTGCAGATGAATGGATGCTATGAGAAGTATTAATAACGGGCCAATTGGCTCGACAAAGAGAAAAAATAGTTAACGCTTTTATTGTCTATTTCGAAAAAATCTTAGAAATGTATTTCGATTAAATTCATAGCCCAGTTGTCTGTCCTTTATTGAGCTCAGTATGTGCTCTGTTGCAATTTATTTCTTGCAGTGCCCCAAGAAGTAAGCAGCGCCGTGTCGTGTGGCGGCTCCATCAGAAGCAACAACACTGCGTTCCGGAACCCTGAATTCCCGGGCGAGTTCCGTCAGAGTGGCTTGTGCAGTGCCGAGGTCTTGTTCGGCCGCGAGGTGTGCCAGCTTCGCCTCGACTTCGTGCACTTCTCGCTGGCGGGACCGCGGGTCAACGGACCACGGGCTGGTCTGTGCGACGATGACGTGTTCACCGTGGCTACTAATCTGGGCAGCATCCCGTACCCGACCCTATGCGGAGAGAACGCCGGACAGCACAGTAAGCCAGAAATTCCTTCCGGGAGTCTCGTAAGCTTGTCATTTTTGCGAAGTGGGTATACACCTCAGATAAGTATCAGTTGATCCTTTAATTCTTTTCAGCATCATCCTTAGTATATATTAACTAACTACAGGCTAAACCTTTGATATTTTTTTTCTAACCTGGAAGCACTTGTAATATTTTCAGTGTTAATATCGTAGTCTGAAATGAATTTTAGCCTTTCAAAAGAACCAACTTTTCAACTGCCATCTGTATATTTTGACCAGTAAAGACGCAGTGTACGATTTCTTACGCCCGGTACAACATAGTGTGTCTGCTGCGCAGTGTACATCGACGTGTCCGAGGCAACCCGCGCTGTTCTCAGCGTCAACATCGGAGGCGAGGCGCCGCAGGGACGCAAGTGGCACATCCGGGTCTCCTTCATTCACTGCCTTTCTCCACAGAAGGGTAGGTTCGCAGCTCGAGCTTTTGAAGAACTTCATTGACCTGGATCTTCCCTTATTTGCACTTACAGCCCCTGCTTCGTGCCTGCAATACTTCCCGGAACCCCAGGGAGAGTTCAACAGCTTCAACTATATACCCGGGGCTCCCAAGCAGCAGTTGATCGCCGGCCTCAAGTACAGCATTTGCTTCAGGAGGCAGCTCGGCCTCTGCCAGATCAACGTAAGACTTACTGCTAATCGTACAACGGCGACAAAAAATAATCTGAGACGGCACAGACGCCGCGTTGGCGTCTGCGCCATCTGTTATATTGGCATCGACCAGACCAAAAATAGTTCTGATTTTCTTTCAATTACCGTATGATTGCAAAGTTTATCATTATGTCGACACATAAAAATTCTTTTTTGTGTGTGTGTGTGGGGGCAGTTCACTCCAGCTACTACAAATGAGCTCTTCCAAATGGGCAACGGCATTGGTCCACTGACTGGAGCGCGGAACTGCGAAGACGCGTACCTGTTCGTGCCCAGCGGTTCCAACCGGGCCCTCCTCGAGGACACCACCTCGGACCGATTCTGTGGAAACGGATTCCCAGGAGGATCCGTCAGCTGTGAGTATGCATGTGACTCACACTGTAACTAGTATGAGGGCGTTCGTGCAATGTCTTCCATCCATGTTGCAGTGTATCCTTGCACAGTGCGTCTGTATACTCTTGCAAGTGTGTCAATTCGCGTGCAAATCCCGTGTTCTTATTACAGCTGACGTGCAGCCGTTCGCCGTGTCCGTGGTCACTTCTAAGCCTCGCGGCTCGACCAGTGGCGTGGGCGCAGGGTTCGCCACCCGTTCTTTTGATGGCGGCGTGGCCGTCAGCCACGATGGCCGCCACGGTTCGCACCAGCCTCCCGTCATCTCCCACCCTTCGCTAGCCATGTACCAGCAGATGTACCAGCAGATGCTGCAACAGCTGCAGGCCTACAAGCCTAGCCCTGGCAGCCAAGTCGGCTTCGTCAAGGACCAGTTCTCAGTGATCAAGCACTCACCGCATAACCTGCAGGTAAGCGCATATTTATTCCAGTGATTAACTGCAAGTTTCGTAATCATCAACTCACTATTTTGCTGACTACTGTGATTGAAAATACTTGTTCCGGCTTTTATTGTTGCACAGTGTACGATTTGTTTGGTCGAGTACAGCACAGAGTAATATTGAAGGGTCTCAACTATTGAGATGACGATACGGAGGACGGTGATGGTCGTGTGTCAGAAATACTCACCCACTGCATTTCTTTCAGCACTTCCAGAACACGCCGTTTTTGCCCCCGCAAACGTCCCTCATCACAGTCGTTGAGCGTCCCGACCCGGCTTCCGGCCCTGGAGTGCAGGAACAGCCGCAGCCTGTGGATGCGATCGAAGCATCCAACTCTCACGTGGGCGGCTTCCGTCTTCGCTACTCGATGAGCCACTGCAACATGTAACATGAGTGCCAGCAATCCAGCGCCACTGAAGAGGATTCATTTCTTCCTGTAAATAGGCTTACATTACGAATAAACCATTCCTGTAAATAAAATTACGCCTCATGGAAAGTGGCTACAGGCCTTCGTGTGAATAGTTCAGTGACAAATACGGGAAAAGTACGTCAAACGAATAAAAATGGCACGCTGCCCCGTCAGCTTTTTCCGGGCACGAGTTTGGCGCAGTCCGACACGTTTGAAATCTGCTGGCATAACACAATTATCCTACACTATGCTAGAAATATTTGTAACAAAAAAGTATGTTCGAAATAGAACGAGAATGAGCGTTTACAAGTTTCCACTAAGAGAGCTCGTTCTAACAGTGATCACGGAAGAATGAGTGAACAGGAAGGAGATGCCACTATACCGAGAGCGAAGATTCCATCGACGATGCTTTATTATTCAAAACTTCCTACTTTGTAAAACCACGCAATTCTTGGCCACATACCCTTTATGGCTCGCCTCGTCATTATGGCCCTGTGCGGAACGAAGTCGCTCACGATGCTGCCGGAGAAATTGTCTGTCCACCGCACATTACACCTTTCCCATAGACACGCACCGTTCCAAATTAATATCTGGCAGGAATGTAAATGTTCGCCGGCCTACTGTGCCGATAAAGCGTACGCAAAAAATTTCCGATTCTCGAGTGAGTGCCGAATTTTCCCGCATAACAGCAACCAAATTTTCTATTCAGTTGCTGACGTCCGAAGCATTAGTGAATGTTGCACATGGACGCCCTCGCTTTTGTTAATGATTTTATCATCCGAAAGTTCTTTCTAAAAATCTTCGCTTTGCAAATTGTAACTACTGCAACCTTCGTTGACTCGGCACGAAACACTCAACAAACATCCACGCAGTTAGTGCGCCGTCCCGGGAACATTGTCCTAAAAACCATGAGATCTGATGCAAATAAGATCGTACTTACGAGCTGAAGCGAGGACAAGATACCTCCAAGCTTAAAGGGGCAGTGAACCACTTTCAAGTAACCATGGAATAAATTCACTGCAAGAGCTTTTTGTTTCACGCCGCAAACTATTTAATAATCCGTCCAGTGCTAGTGGAGTTACAAAGATTTGCCGCATTCTGTAATTGCATTATCTCTTCTATCATCCCGACGAAAGCGCTGGAAGTTAAGCAGGGAGGAATGGCAGGGGCAAAGATAAACATCACGCGCGCCTCGTGACCTTGAACACTTGTTTTTTTTTTTTTCGCGTGCGCTGCTTTTTCAGTGTGATCATGCGTGGAAAAGTCTCCAACATCGATCTCTGCAACGACCACGCTCGGTCGTTTTAACATGATTTAAGCATGGCGCTTTTTGACAGTCTTTCGTGGTTTGATGGGGGAAGAGAAAGCAACTTTCAGCTGACTGATAATTTATTGTGAATTACAGGCCGCGTGCTGGGTTATAATAATTGGCTGGCGTGTAGTCGAGAGCCTCAACTATATACCGATCGGCAGTGTTTTCTGACCATGCTCAAAAAGTGTTGCAGGGCCCCTTTAAAACCCAAGTATCCGTCGCAGCACGTCGGCGTGTGTACACTTGACGTGGCGTATTGAGAGGGAGAGCGCTCTCCCTCTCAATATGATGAATTGATGTCGCACGCGCGATATTGCACTCTATAGCTGCGCAACAATGGCTAGAACGTAGACTTTACCGACGGTTAGAACTCTTTCACCGTCTAGACGATCCGTCCTCCGTCGCGCGTCCGCGACGCATTTCTTAGGCGGGCTCCGGCAATTTTCATCTCCGCTTATCTGCCTCTCCCGTAGCAACAGCTGCGGGCACGTGCGCTTATAATCGCCCCTAGCAACCGGAGTACCGATGATACTGCATACTTTTCAATGGGCATGTCAAGCAAGCTCACATCTTAAAGCGAACTCAATACTCGGGGCCTTGACGTCCAAGCGACGAGACCTTCGACCACTCGCAAGCCGCTTACATACATCTAGCACCTCGCCGCTTCTTGTGACGAGTGTCAGCCGAAAGGGCGACCACGTGCTTTGCAGTGAAGTGGCAACAAATGAATGCAAAGTGTGTTCCGATGGCCAACTTCAAAAGTTGTTTTCTTTTTTTATTGATATGATGTATAAGGATATGTTGGCGCACAAGTATGGCACCTGCTACTTCTAAGCCCTGGAGTGAACATTGAACACGTATCTTAAAAGAAAGCATACAAAGCAGTGCATGGAAAATAGAACACTCGAGCACACATATGCAAAAACACACTTATACGCACATTTCACAACACAATAAGGAAATGTTGGAACGGTCAACGAATGAAGTCTCTGATAATGTCCCTCGTTAATATTCGATCTAACCAGCACAAAACAGCAGAACACACGTCTGGTCCTTATGGAGACGTATTCGCTCGTGTGTACATATAACATTCGACACGTCATTCCCTTCAGCACACACATATGATGGGTACAAAATGTGTCATACTAATGAAAGTTTGTTATTTCTTAGTACTTGTCAGCAAATGCACCGTCTTGTAAGAAACGTGTTAATGCTCTTAAAGCGTGCGTCTGTAAAACTCCAGTTGGCCACGGGCCCAGAAGTTCTTGATGTAAGCGGTCTGCGGTCTAATGCCAACAGTTCCGATCTAAGACGGCGTCTCGACGTGTCATGACGTGGACAGTCTATGAGAAGGTGACATACGTCTTCATCTATGAATTCACATTGGCATTCGGGAGTTTCAGCTCTGCCAATTCTGTGCGAAAGATGTTTTGTGTACGCAGTGCCTATAGCCTGAATAAGAGTTTCCATACTTCAATCTAATGCTAGCGTAATTTCGAATTCAATTAATGGATCGATATGATATAAAGCACAGCTATTTGTGCTTTGGTCAAACCAAGCAACTTTGCTCATTCTGAAAGTTGTAGTTGTTATAATACTACGCGGTTCATTTTTCTAAATTGGTAAAGAAACAGTAACATCTTTACGATGTGCTTGTCGTGCCGCTTCATCGGCAGCCGTGTTTCCAGGAATGTTGCAATGGCCAGGTATCCACTGGAATTTCATCTCATGTTGCGCCTTGCTTACTTTGGTGAGCTCTTTTAGCGTTTCCTATGTCATACTATCACTAATTACTGTCGTGTTTGTACTGGACAGTGATCTTAATGTGGCCTGTGAATCGCTGAAAAGTACCCACTTTCTCGCGTCTGCGGCCGAGTTTATAAACTTTATAGCATACAGAATAGCGGAAAGCTTGGCTGTAGTAGATGACGTCATGCGAAATAATTTAAATGATTCCTCAATATTGAGCTGTAGTATAATAAATGCCGATGTTAAAGACGTTATACTTGAGCCATCTGTGAACGTGTATGTACTCTGGATACCGCATGTGTATCTGATAAAGCAATAGTTGTTGAGCAGCTCGGATGAACATGTCTCTTTTTATGATAATGCCATCTACTGACAATTCAATGCTTGGTATTGCAAGCAGCCATGGAGGATAGTCCACTTCAGAGATCCAAAATTCATTTCTTGGTAATATGTGTCGATTACTCTGTATTTCTTCTTGAGCATTACTTTTATCCCTTCGTGAAATCTCCAGTGCCAGTGGGTAGACTTTGTGTTGCGCCTGTAAGCGAAAAAAATGGCGGCATGTTTCGATTGTTCTCATGATCTGGAAAGGGTGGTTGTCGAGTCTCTGTTATGACAAGGCTGCTGGAAATACACCTCGTGGAACACCTAGGCAGATACGCAGACCCCTAGCTAATAGTTTTTGAAGTCGTTCCTTTAAAGTGCGGGGAAGGTCATGTAAGACTGCTGCAGAATATGCATTTATTTTGTCGTATCAAAGCATTGTGAACAGCGAGCATGGATGATATAGATCCACCCTATGATATCTCAGCAATTCTGCGAAGTATATTCACTAGCATATTCACCTCGTTTTCGAGTTTATGCAAGATGATCATGATAGCTACCTATCAAGTATTACTCCGAGAAACCGATGCTGTGTCACAGTCATTAGTGGTTCTCCTTCTAAATTGAGATTAAAGTTTTCCAACTTCTTACGGGTGAAGGGCAATACAGCTGTCTTTGCGTGTGACAGAACCATTCCTCTTTCTTTTAAAAAGTGGTTAATACTACTTATGCTGTCTTGCAATGCAATCTGAATTAACCGAACGTCCGATGCCCAAATGCATACATCATCTGCATATAAAAAGTATTTTAACCTAGAAGGCAGTCTTTTTGCTAAATCAACCAGAACACAGTTGAAAAGAAAAGGGCTGAGTACTCTTCCTTGTGGCACTCCCTGTCTGACGTCGTGTTTCGCACTCTTTCCTTCGCTCGTCTGAACGTATATTTTGCAACCTGATAAAAATTAAGATATCCACCGTAAAGACCTGCCGGACGGTCCGAGTTCCAACATACTCAGCAGAACATGAGTGTGACTGATTGTGTCAAACGCCCTTTTCATGTCTAAGAACACTGCGAGCGTCGAACTACCACAGGCGCGTTCATGCTCCACATACGTTACTATGTCCAGTATTGCATCCATTGTGCATCTCTGTTTCATAAAACCTGTTAAGTAGCTGGAGAATACACTGGTTCTATTGCACCACCACTGAAGTAACGCATCAATCATTCTTTTTCCGTTACCTTACATAAACAACTTGTCAGACAAATTGGGCGGAAGGATTAAAGGCTCAAGGGCGTCTTAACTGGTTTTAAGATCGGAATGATGCGACCAAACTGCCAAGACTTGGGTACAATTTCTTGCGTCCATAGATTATTGTAAATATATAACCGAATGGTTGCGCCTGTTGGCCCAAGGTTTTTTTAGCATATTGTACGTAATGCCGCCTGGTTCAGAGGCCAATTTTTGACGACATGATGCCATAGCAGCTCACTTAACGTAAATACAGGGTCTAGTTGAGGATGCTGGGCCCAATAACAAGCATTAATTTTCTGGCTGGCTAACGCGACATAATTATCAAGTAAGGCACATTGTGAGGCACCGGGCCTATTATTAAGTTGACAAAATTCATCGGCTCTGTGATACAGGGCCACTAAATGCTCGAATTCCAAGCAAAATTCTTGGAACAGGTGTGTGGGGAGAGAGCGTTCCACAAAAATCACGCCAACGTCATTAACCAAAATTTTTTAGTCGTCTGCGCATTACACTGTGGATTTTCTGTGCATTTCTGTATGCTTCTAAACTTCCGCTGCGTCAATATGCCCTTTCGGAACGTCGTCTGATGGATCTTAGATGATCATACTCTCCGTCGACTGCAGCATATAGTCTTTTGGGATCAGGATTTTTATTCGCATTATGCTGCAAAAATTCAGTGAAGCTTTCAACTGTCGTAAGTTGACTAGTTCACCATTTTGGTTTGTTAGGCGGTACTGTAATGCATTTCAGTTCGTCAGTTTGCTGTAGCGCCTGATGTCGTCATTTCGCAAGTAGGGGTGATTTATAAGGATGGGAAAATTTCGAAGTGGTGAAGTAGCACAACTAAACAAACCTCTTCAGTAGCTCAAGCGATGTGTTGAAGTTCCGCAAACAAATATCGAATATATATATATATATATATATTTATATATATATATATATATATATATATATATATATATATATATATATATATATATATATATATTGAAAGGGTGCCACGGTCTTGGAAATTGTCCGCACTTTCACAGGATAGATGGATGGATGGAATGATATGGCTGTACCCTTTAGATCGGGCGGCGGCTATCGCCACCTAGCCGTAATACTTAGTGAACCAAAAACTAGATTTATTTTTTTTTCTTTTAAATAGTGAAGTTGAGGACTGGTACTTTGCAGTGAAGGGTTTATTTTCACTCGTGCCTTGACTTTAGCCACCAATCGAATAAACTTCTTCTAGTTATATCTACTTGCTTATAGTCTATTTTGCCCTCCATGTCCCTAAACCCCAATGCTTTGAAAAATTCTGCGCCATAATCCTGAACTATAGGGTGAAGCCCTTTACAGAACGTTATCAAGTGTTCGGCAGTTTCCTCCTCCTCTCCACATACGCACTGCATACAGTGTCTACACCTTCGTATTTGGCCCGATATGTCTCGGTTCGCAATACTCCCGTCCTGGCCTCAAACAGTAGAGAACTACCCCAAGTATTATCATAGATCCTTGCCTTGGCAATTTCCTGCTTAAAAGTTTGATAGATCTCTAGTGCGGACTTCTTAATCATGCCAATTGTTTACAAATAATCTCCGTTTCCTTCACCTATCTTCTTGACCGGCAGTTTTTCTTGGTTTGGCCCTACTGTTTTCTAAGTATTTATCCGTCAATTTTCTGCTTCGCTTCCTCCATTTTGTATCGACATTCTTCATGTACAAGTAGCTGAATACCTTCCTAGCCCAACGGTCCTCCTCCATTTCTCTCAATCGCTTCTCAAATTTTATCTTGCTGCTAGCTTCCCTGACCTCAAATGATGTCCATCCCATATCACCTTGTACTCACTTATTTGGTACATTCCCGTGAGCTCCTAAAGCAAGCCTGCCTATTCCTCATTGCTTAATTTCTAATCTTGCTTGAACTTTTGATCTCATGCACAAGACCGCATTGCCGAACGTCAGACCAGGAACCATGACCTCTTTCCATATTCCTCTCACAACATCATACCTATTGTGATTCCACAGTGCCCCATTTTTCATCACTGCAGCATTCCTGTTACCTTTAGTCGTCACGTATATTTCGTGTTCCCTTAGGTACTCGGCCCCATTGCTTATCCATACGCCCAGATATTTGTATTTATCTGTTATCTCTAGCGTGACCTCCTGTATTCTAAGCTCACTACCTTCATTGTCATTAAAAATCATGACTGCTGATTTTTTTTACTGAGTCTGAAATCTAACCTATCTCCCTCATTACCGCAGATATCCACCAATTTCTGCAAATCTTCCTTGTTGTCGGCCATTAGCGCTATATCATCTGCGTACATCACTGCTCGAAGTGCCTGTTCAATGAGTTTACCTTGTTTGACGAAAGAAAGGTTGAAGCCCAGCCCACTTCCCTCTAATTTGGCCTCTAATCCTTGTAGGTACATCATGAATAATAAAGGTGACAGGGGACACCCCTGCCTAAGCGCCCGTTTTACCTCTGCAGGCTTGGATACCTGTTTTTCCCACTTTATAACTACCTTGTTACCTTTATAGATAGCCTTTAAAAGATTAGTGACTACATCTTCCACGTCTAGTGTGTCCAGTATTCCCCACAAGTCCTCTCGAACCACGCTATCCTACGCTCCCTTGATATCCAAAAATGCTAGCCACATGGGCTTGTGTTCCTTTTCTTCTTTTGCGATGCACTGCGTCAGTGAGAACATATTGTCTTCCGACCTCCCGTGTTTCCGAAACCCATTCTGCAGTTCTCCCAGCACTACTCAGATTTGGGTGCACGTTAAAAGACCCCAGGTGGTCGAAATTTCCGGAGCCCTCCACTACGGCGTCTCTCATAATCATATAGTGGTTTTGGGACGTTAAACCACACAAATCAATCAATGAATCTCCCAGCACCCCCTCATTCTCTATCCATGGCTCGTTTTAGTGCCATCTAGGAAGGCACTGCTGAAGCTGCTAGATAACTGATAAGGGCCCGGCCATTATCTGGACACGCTCGGATTGCGCTTTAAGGCGTTTCGGGGAGAGTGTCACCACCTGTAAAATAATAGAATATTCTAGGCACTATAGTAATACAAATTGGGCGAGTTTATGCATGACAGAGTGCATGATGATGTTTGAGCGTGAAGAAAAAGAAGCCCGTGAAAAAAGGAAAATACGGACGACAGGATGAGCGCTAATTAACAGAGATTGCAAGCGTCCTCCAAAATAACTGCGACTCACAACATGCATTTCTCAGTTTTTGTATCATGAAAACATTGAGATGCAATTATAATGCAATTACTTCCTGTTCTTTATGTTTGTGCAGCTGAAAAATGCATTGCCTCTGAGATAAAAACTTACAACTAGCTTTTTTTACCATAGAGTGGTATATATTTTCATACTCTATGCTTTTTACTAATTGTCGTGACTCTCATATTTTGAATCTTTGTTCGCTCAGGAAGATGCGTTAGTGTAAATATTTCAGTGTAACAACACACATTTCAAAAGTTTCCCTATTCCATCACGATTTGTAGCAGTTGACTTCGGCTGGCTTGGCATCCTTAAACAAGCTTGTAGCCAAGCTCGTAGCCAATTTTGTGTTTACAACTTTCACAACGGTGGTGTGTGCGCGTGCACGTGGGGCCCACGAGTTCGCGATCGTGTGTAGTACGATGTCCGACGAAGAAAACGATGCGGTGTGGGACAGCGCTGAGGAATTGGAAAGCGAGTGCGAGGACAGCGCGTGCCTGTTTTGCGGCGAAGTGCGTGCCTCGCCGGAGCTCGTGTACGAGCACTGCGCGCACGACCACGCATTCTCCATCAGGGATGCGGTGCGAAGCTTGCAGCTGGACTGCTTCGGATACATCAAGATGGTGAACTACACCCGCAAACACGTGTGTATAACCTTCATCCCCAAATCAATGCGTGTGTCACGGGCCGACTCCGACAGTCGCGTTTGTTGGGGCCCGTACTTTTGCAACATCGCTCAGCTGTTATATGTGACAGCGCAGTGCTGGGTTGTGTCGATATGCAAAGAAGTGATGCAACGAAAATCGTCCAGGGGATGGATGTATGGATGGACTTTATTAGGTTCTTCGTCTCTCTGCTGCGTCGCGGGTCCGTTGGGACTGCCCGTAACTGTTCGGAGCTCGTAATAGCACCCTCCCATTTGGAAGGCGTGATCACTTCACCACAGCGTAACGCGGGGCACTGCGAGAGCATGTGTTCGAAGTTACCTATATCATTGCAGAAGAAACATGCATGAGTTGACTGTATTTCAGGATAAATCTTGTGCAATAGCGCGGGAAGTTATGGTAGTTTCGCAGTGGTGGCGCCAAGCCTGATCGAAGGGCGCAGCTGGGTGGCTTTCCTGGTTCCTCTCTTTACTTTTTCTTTCTTTTCTTTTGTCTTTCTCTGTTGTATCTTTTTTATTATGTTTCTGTTTGTTCCTTTGTCTCACTCTCACATTCTTGATCGCTTTTTTATCTTTATCTTTTTCTCTCCCTGCTTCTCTCTTTCTATTTTGGTCAGTTTCTTTCTCTCCGATTCGTGCTGTTTCATTCTATTTGTTTATCCATGTTTTCTAACTTTGTTTATCGTTTTGCGTCTTTATTTCCTCTATTTCCCTCCATTTTCTTTTTCATCCTCTTTCTATTGCTGTCATATGTTTCTCATTTTATGCCTTTATTTCCCTCCATTTTTTACTTCCTCTCTCTCTCCCTCTGTCTTTCTTTAACTATTGCCCTCTTGTCTTTTCACGTGTAAGTTTTCGTTTAGCACTCAAACCTGCCGTACGCGGTTGAGGGGTTTCCCAATCCCTGGGGAGCACACCCACTTGAGGGGCTTTGTGGTGACAACGCACAAACTACAGCGAACTACAACAGCTTTGCTGTAAAAAACGGAAGTGCAAACGCACACATGCAAGCTGTTAAATTCAATTGAGAACAAAATCATTTTTTTGTCTGCATGGCACAACTTTCAGAGACGAATATGGTTATGTGGTGGGCGGCTGCTGTGGGGCACTCTAGAATAAATTCGAAGGGAGGTTCGAGCTTTGAACTCCCCATTGCTACCTTCTTCCTCAAGTCTCGCCACCTTCGAATCCACGACCTTTGAATGCAATTAGAATCTCGCTAACGAGAAAGATGACTTTTCATCCACTTTAAATAATTTCAGTTTGCTTTATTATTACTACACTAGAGTCAAGGACAATGTTGCATCTAACATAAAAGTGAGCGCCTAAAACAATTCAGCTTCTTGAATACCGTTGACATGAACATAGCACTTTCAGTAAATTAGGTGAGCCAGGTTACAGATTATGTTTTTTTAAATGTGTTATTACTGGCAATTTACAGAAAACAAGCCCGGAAGTCTTAAAGGCCGTTGACCCACGATGTCTTCCATGGGAAGATGACCAGTACCTTGTGCCAGTCGTGAAAGATGACCTGCTTTTAACCTATGGTGTGTGCATGTCTCCCAATTGATTTCGTTTAGTGAAGCTGTGCAATATTAATTCAGTAAAGCTCACACTTTCCTGTGCCAAAGGTCATTTGAATTCATGTGCATCTAATGCATAATTCCACATTTGTATAACACAATCTGTACAAAACCACTTTAGTCATAGTGAAATGTTGTTTGCTGTTTTTCGTGTGAAGGTTGGTACCAAATCATATTTATGATTGCCAGCAAAGTGCATGTTGTTATTTGTGATAAAATAAGCATTTTCTATACTCATGTATAACATATAACTATAAGGTATATAACAGCTGCATCTTGTCGGTACTTAGCTGCAGAGCATAAACCTGGAGAATTACAAGGAGGGTTCAGCTTAAATTGAGGACAACGCAGCGAGCAATGGAAAGGAAAATGGTAGGTGTAACCTTAAGAGACCAGAAGAGAGCTGAGTGGATTAGGGAACAAACCGTGGTTAAGGATATCATAGTTGAAATCAAGAAGAGGAAATGGACATGCGCAGGGCACGTAGCACGTAGACAGGATAACCACTTGTTATTAAGGTAATTAACTGGGTTGCCGGAGAAGGCAAGCGGGTTAGGGGGAGACAGAAGGTTAGGTGGGCAGATGAGATCAAGAAGTTTGCGGGTATAAATTGGCAGCAGTGAGCACAGGACCAAGCTACTGGCGAAACATGGGAGAGTCCTTTGTCCTGCTGTGGACGTAGTCAGGCGGGTGCTGCTGCTACTTCTGCTGCTGCTGCTTCTGATGTTGTTGATAATAATAATGATGATGTTCACATGGGAAACTGATTTGTGCAGATGTTGAGGAATTTCTGAGTGCTGTTCCAAAGCCTGAAGACGAGTGTCAACAACTGCGCAGCCAACTGCTTCAGGCTGAGCAAGCCATCGAGCATATGAGGTACGTGGACTTGAGATCAGTATCAGACACAACGCTAAAAAGTGGAAGACTTCTCAGTGCTGCCAAGCAAGCAATTTGTATTATCATTGAAGGCCAACTCCAGCAATTTTTTGAATTCAGTGGATCTCAATCAAACTAGCTAGATACGTTCCTTTGCAGGTTTCCGTCATTTATGCCAAATTACAAGCTGGAAAGATGTGCAAATTTTTTACAAATGATCTTTATTGATTGTGCCGACTGTCACATCTGGCTTTTCTCAATTATCAGCAATATTGTGTGTGTGATGTACGGAGCAAATCTACAGAAGCCTTGGAACTGAGGTGCCTCTACAGCATCTGCTGTCCACGAAGCAACGATCGTGTGTGTTTGGCTAGTGCTTCTTTGGCATGCATGTAGTGTGTGTCAAGTGATGTTGTATTGTGGGCTGTGTATGATCTTCGTGGGCGGTCATGAAACACTCACAGTTAACGATAAACCTTCGTCTCTCTTTGTCTCCATATTGGAGCATTTTAGCCTGCAGTGCCAGTTTACTGCACGTAAAGTATGGTAATACGATACTGGCTGAAGAGTGCACGTGTGTGAACATGACCATATGGAAACACTTCACATCCATTGCGACAGGGCTTATCGATATGCGGTAAGCTGTGCGCCGTGCGAAAGGTGGCTTGTTTTCAACTTTTATTAAATTCGATTTACTCTGTCGACGCTATAACACTGCTATCAACATAATTACTGCATTATTCCCCATAGCAAAGAGATTTACTTTGTATACAAACTTCTTAGAGCTAGCAGTTTTACCTGATCGCAGCAGCCATAAACTTGAGCCGCCTGGACAAGTGCGCCATCTTGCGATGCAATGTACAACCAGGCAAGCGCATAACTAAACAAGTGTGTTCTACTGCTCTGATGAGGACCGGCTATTCTACTTGGCGTTCAAGGGCATTCAAATTGCCGATGTAATTCTCCGAGAGCTCTAAGAAGCTTGTGCATGTGACAGAGTCGGTCATAGACATGATACTGCTGTTGCAGTCTGGTCACCTTTCTGCTGAGCATCTACTCCTCGCCACTTTTGCAGCTTTCATACTCCGTGTTGGTGAGGCGGGCACACTTTGCAGAATAGCTTTTTTTGTCAGCTTTTACGTCATACGATTGTGAAGACGGTACTGCTTGGTTGGGTTTCAGTGTTGAGTTTTTCGGGTTATTCAAAATTAGCGCCTGATTAATAGAGTATTTCTACTATCGGGCCTTCTGACAGTAGTGTCTCAGGAACATAGAAGCCTCATTACTCTGTCATGGTGAAAAATTGCCATAGTTGGACTTAAAAGGGAAACAAAAGAGAAAAACAGCTTTTATTTTTACTAAAACATCACAACTTAGGAACACTGGAAGCACCACTTCTAATGTTAAAAGACGCTCGGTAAACGAGGAAATGCGCAGGATGAAACAAGTAGCAGTGTGTCACTGAAGTTGCCGCACCAGTTCACCATGTCAGAAATTTCGACAGGTGTCTACTAGCACTTGCATACTTATTTACTAGTAAGAAATGTTGACGTTATGTTCTAAGAGACCCAAGGATCTATGTATAGCAAGTTTTAGGAAAGTTAATTTAGCCAGCTAATGACTAAAGTATGCTGCAGGCACCCTACCGCATTGAACATACTGTTCAAGTTGTCAATGCATGGGTGGTTTTTTAAAAAGCCAAGTTCTTAATAAAATGTCAGGTGTCCGTGAAAACCCTGGGTGCTTTTGCTTATCAGCCGTGCCCACCGACAGAGACAGTCTGCGCAGTCGCCGTAACGAAAAGCCCGCACTTTTAACCGGGGTGCCACAGCCGGCTTTGCACGTTAGTTCACTGGCACTTCTTGCATGGTCTGTGGCAGGCTGTGGTTCGATTATACTTTGTCTACTCTTAGGAAGAAGGAAAGACTTTGCATCAGCCAAGAAGGCCATGTTAAGGCGCTAAGATCAACCAGCCCCGGCATTTCTTAAAACGGTTAGTATAAACCTTGTCGGGGGTGCTAACACCTCCTGTAAAGTCATTTGCGCCTCGTGGTGCATGTGTTTTGCAAATAAGTCGCATTTAGGGTTGCACAACTATCGAGTAATAGACGACATTGTGCCTTGTGGCCGTTTATCACCACCATCATTATGATTAGCATGGTAGCGCCAGCAGTGATGCCTGGCGGCAAGCCGGGGTAATGGCACATGAAAAAAGATTGGCGAGTCTCCATGGCGCATGGCGGTTGGTGGAACAGTTGTCTCTTGCGGCGGGTCCGCAGTGGATGGCACCGCGGGCAGCTTGCCCTCGCGGTGAGTCGAGTGTTGGCAGTGCGGCCTTTGAGCTACCTTGTGTTTGTCGTTATGTTGTGGAGTGTTTTGTAATATTGTGTAAGGTTGTTTTAGCGTGTTGATCACTTGTGATGTATCAATTTGGTTGACAATCGTTGTGTTAAAAGTAGTTAAATAAATGTTTCGTTTCGTTGGGTCCGACCGCGTCTACTGTGTCTGTTCGCTCTGAGAGCAGCATGCCTCATTAGGAGACCCCACAACCTCGCCGTTTTCTCATTGGTGAGCCATAAGACTTTCGTCTTAAAGGTACGCTAAAGAAAAACAACGCCTTGGTTCAGATTGAGAACTCTAATGCCATAAATTTCACCATAAGTGCATGAGTAGCGGAGAACATCAAGGTTGAAGTTTTATGTTTAAACTTGTGTCGAACTCTCCAGGCATGACGTAGCAAATTTCAAAATGTATTTTTTGTATTTTCACAATGTTGGCTCAGTGAAATTCTGCGAAACTTGGATGCTGTGTCTAGGCCACCTGCAGAAGACGATGTAATTCATTTTTATCAATTAGAAGGTACGAAGGACCCAGTAGACACCTTCAAAATATACTATGTCACGGGGTTAAGTGCAGAATCTCACAGTGGCGTCTCGACCCGCATTTTCTTTTTGCGTGTTTTTTCATTTAGCAGGCGTTGTGTCACAGTAAGAGTGGCGTTTTTGGCATTGCAAAATTGTACTCTACTTATACGTGAAAAATCGTTTTGATTTTTAGTCTCCCTTTAATAAATGCTCATTTTACTATCATCTATCTAACAAGGAAAATGAGCCCTTAAAGTTACTTTTCTTCATTCGCAGCAAAGGTCTCGTTCTGGCAGACTTGATGCCTTGAGGTGGTATGTAAGGGATAATTGGTCAGCTGCCATCTCGTAATAAGATGACGTACTGCATAATGCCAAACAGGCAAGACAGAGTGTTTCACAGTCGCAGCAATGGCAACAGGTAGCACTGACTGACGCTTCCATGGTTAAATACACGTACAGTAGACTCTCAGTAAACAGAAATCTGTTAATCGGAACTGCATCTTAAATGGAACAACTTTCTCCGATATGATTGGTTTCATATTTGAATTCTGCGACCCACTTCACCGCTCAGTAAATGGAAGTCCTGTCAAATAAAACACATTTTCCCGGTCCCTTCAGGTTCTGTTTAATGAGGGTCTACTGTAGATACCCTTCAAAGTGGATGGAGGGATGAGCGCCACCATAGCTCAGGAGTAGAGCATCGGATGTGTTATTCGAAGGTCGCAGGTTCGGTCCCTGCTCACCGCAAGTTATCTTTTCATCCACTTTTCTTTCTTCATTTTAAATTACACTTACTTCTATAACATCCCCTATACTTTTCCTGGCATAATTGTCTGTTATTTCTCATTAATATTGTATCTAACCAAGAAAAACAGGTCCTTAATATTACTTCCCTTCTTTCAGAGAAGTGGCCCAGAGCTGGCTGCAATCCAACGAGCTAGCCAAGCCCGTCGAACACGATGAACCTTATTTCGAGTCGTACGGCCACCATGGCATCCACCTTGAGATGTTATCCGACAGGCCAAGGATGGACTCTTACCGCAAGGCCATCGAGCTAAATGCAGACACCTGCATCCGAACCGCACCGTGCTCGATGTTGGGTGTGGCACTGGCATCCTCTCATTGCTGTGTGCCCGGGCAGGTGCGCAAAGCGTAGTTGGAATCGACCAGTCCGGTGTAGTCTACAATGCCATGGATATTGTCAGGTTAGACTGCTTTGACATACAGTTGACTCTCGTAACTCAAACTTGCAGTTAAATCAACTAAATTTTACCATTTTTAGTTGGCTCACTATGTTTTCAATTTATCTTAAAACTGCCTAATTTAAACTGCCCCACTGTGCAAATTGGTTTAATCCATACTTTTTACTTTTTCATGCCTAGAAATATCTGCTGGTACTATTGCTTCTAGCTCAACATTTGCCTTTTTATGCAAATAATTGTCACACATAAAGATGACTCTCTGCTTACAAAACGACCACCCTGCCAAACCACACACATCAACGATAGCTTACTGACTTAAGAAATAAATAAAAAAGGAATTAAGCAGTCTTGCCTTGATCTATTGTGTGCTAAATGCTTCTTAAAAGGACCATGACACCCAGTTTTCGCTCATAATTTGTGTTATGTGGCTTACTATTTAGGTATTGACGAACCAGCTGCGGAAATTTTAGCGCATTTGGTCGGGAATTTAGTTTACAAGGATCATTTTTATTGACATGTGATAAGCCCAAGACTATGGCAACACTGGTGTACTCGCGAGCCAGGATGTATCAAGCCACTCGTTTGGCAAGCGTCTGTATTCTGGCCAATGACATTTTATATATATATATATATATATATATATATATATATACACACACACACACGCTCTGTGAAATTAAATTTTGTTGGAAGTTAGCACTCCTCTTTTGCCCCTTCTCTTGTCCTGTGTCTCAGTTTTTACGCCTTACGATATTATTAATGTTGTGGCCAGCTGTGTGTGCTACAGAGCTATTAGAGCTTTCTTTTAAGGGACCGTAAAGAGCAGAACGATTTTTGCCAACATAATAGTAAAGTGCAATTTCACAATCCCAAGAGCACCACTCTTACCGTGACACGATGTGTGGAAAGTGAGAAATGATGCGAAAAGAAAATACAGGTGGAGACTCCCCCTTCAGATTCCCACACGAAACATGACGTCATAGATCCTGAAGGCGTCTACTGGCTTCTCTGTAGCTTCTGATTGATAAAAATTAAAAATGAAGTATATAGTCATCTATGGGTGCCGTAGGACTAGGATACGAAGCTTCAGAAAATTTCATTGAGCCAATGTCGTGAAAATATGAGAAACGTATTTTGAAATTTTTGACGTCACATGCAGAGATATCGACGCGAAATTTAAAGCCAGAAGTTCGACTTTGATTTTATTCGCTAATAAGTGAAGTTGTATGTGTGCTCCTGGCATCCTGTGCTAAGACCTATAACGTCAGACAAGTCTTTGCTTTAACGACCATTTGGGTGAACACAGTGACAACCCCAAAACAAGAAGTGGCAGCAATTCGGCCATCCACTGTGCAAAGTGTAGCTGCCTGCCATCTTTTCAGGAGACCTTGGTACTGCGCACGTACAAAGGGCAGACTTAACGGGAAGTTTATGAAGCTTTCGCAGTGATATGTAAAGATCAAGCATGTGTTGACATTCCCCTGAATCATCTAACAGGCAAAAAGTGCAGCTATCTCCGAAACTAATTTCTTGTGACGGTACAATATAGTGCCTCTGGACGCAGGGGCCACTGGAAGCTTTCGATATTACCCCTTCCTCATGCTTTTCACGTCGTTGTATATGTACACTCATTGCAATAAACCAAACAGTTGGCAGTCAGCGAAGGTCCTGTGTGAATTCTTGTCAGTGTTTACTTAGAGCTCTTTTCAATTATAGGACTAAATCGGTTCTATGGCATACAGTTCTCATTTTGGGTTATTCTATTTGCTAATTTACTCAGAAATTTCTCAGTTGAGGAAATAATCTTGCCCCCAAAATGCACACTGAAATGTTTGATACGGTTGAACCCCTTTATGGGAGATGTGAACAGGGAATAAATTTTTGTCTATATGAGGTGTTGCCTTATAAGCAGGGTACTACATATGCGTTTTTTTTTATCAACACTGTATTTTAGTGTAAGCACACTAGTGTCTCTTAACCCACTTGTCTGTTACATCAGTGTCTCATATACAGGCGTTTGAACTGTCCTAGAAAACTAATTGTGTAGTTGAGATCGGCACACAGACATGCACAAACTTGGCAAGTATCAATAAAATTGATTAAAGATTTATGTGTCTCTCTTGAGCTTGGCCAGAGCAGTCCCACATGTTATTGGTCGAACTGGTACCAATTCGACAAGCTGCACGCGGTGTACCGCAGGGAGAATGATCTGTCCGAGCGAGTGAAGCTGGTGCATGGCCGCGTGGAAGAATTAGAGCTGCCCGAGCGTGTGGATGTGCTGGTGTCCGAGTGGATGGGCTACTTCCTTCTCTTTGAAGGCATGCTGGACAGCGTGCTTCAGGCCAGGGACCGGCTACTGCGACCGGGGGGGCTGATGCTGCCCAACCGCTGCCAGCTGTTCCTGGTGGCCCTCAGCGATAACGGTGAGCACAGCATTATGCATAGCAAGCACACTTTGAACACGAATAGTGCAAAGTGTCAGGTATAACGGAAAAGTCTTTCTGTTTTTTGCTACTTGAGTGCAGTGTTATGTTTAAATTGTAACACTTCATAATAACGCAGCCCATAACCAACCACCCCTTGACCTCGGCGAAAGAAACACACTCCGTAGGCAGCTGACGCTGCTATGAACAATCCAGCCAAACACAGTCGCCAACCATTTTTTTTCGGGTGCTTAAAAATTCATTCATGCTCATTTAATCAGACATCTTTGTGCACTCACACCAGTGAAGCAATGTAATCTCACACTCGGAAGCTCAGGCGCCCCACAGTACGCCATCCAATTTTTGGTACTCCAGCAGGCTGATCGAGTGTCACATCGACCGCGATGATGGGGACGTTTGCAATATTTTTGCTATGTTGTTAGCACTGAAAAGTTGAGCTCGCTGTGGCTGGAAGTCATACCATTGTCAGAATCTACATAGAGTTAACAGTGGTCGAACTTGAAGGCTAAGTAGCGGTGGTGCTGTCGAGCGTCAGATCGATCCTCCCCTTCCTTTTTTCTTTTTCGGTAACGTGTCAACATTAACACTGCTGCTCTGAAGGAGTGGCAATTTTTCTCTTTAAAACAAAGTCAGGTTGCTCTGTACAGTGGTTGTCGTTAGACAGCCCTACCATGTTCTCTGCCCTACCATTTGGATTTTGAGGCACAGTAGGTGATGCATGACGCATTGTTGCTGTGTGACCTCAGTTTGAGTCGCGCTGACCTAGTACATATCTTCATATTTCAATATTTTTAAAAGATAATCAGTGATAACCATCAGTGTTCTTTTGCATGTAATGTGGCACCTTTCTCGTTGATTTCTGGTTGACATTGCCCTGGACGAGCAGATTCCATTGTATTTCCTAATTAATTGTCCTATCCATCAACCATGTGTCCCTTGGCATTCAATCTGTTGCTCCAACTAATCATTGGTAATCTGTTGTACACATAATGTGTGCCCCTGTCCGCAGTTCCCACGTATTTTCACGTCGCTCTATATACAGGACCACAGTCTTCTGGATCAGGCTCGCGTGGTGGCATTCCTCCGGCCGTCTCATTTGGATGGAAGAGGCATAATTGCAAAAGGGGGTGTGACCACTCCATTCGCCGCATGGCGGCGCGCGCCTACTACCCCTCTTTTTCTTTGCTGTCTCTGCGGGATGGTTTGCGGTGCTTGAAGATGTCGCTTTATAGAAACTGCAGACCACTGCTAAGCTGTGCACTTTTATCTTTCCTCGCCCAGCAACTGCCTCAAATAAAACAAATAGAAGAATTGATGGTGGCTGGCGCTATATTCATTTTTTTCTTCATGCTCCAGTGGCTGTCGCGATGATAGTGATTGAAGCGAACACATTCGTGGGCCACTTTTCAAGAAAATTTTGGTGCCCTCCTGTGCAGCACATAAGATATAGAAAGTTCGCAAGAGAGTGAAATCACCCGATTGATTTATTAGTACTTTTTGTTGACCGCTTCCAGAAGAGGTAATCGATTCGAAGGATAGCTAAGCTGCATTGTGGATGTTGGCGGAGATACCTTGGGGTACTGAGGCCTTCAAGGGACATTAAAGTCGATATAACAATTCACGTCAGAGTAAAAGCTCAATGTATGACAACATCTAAAACGACAATATCATCAACAATAGTGCCGTACTTGCCGAGAAATTAAAGTAAATGCTCAAGAACACAAGTGCCGCAGTAGTACTTTTTAAAAATGATCCCGATGACATCAGACAGACTGCCTACAATTATTCTCTAATCAATCTAACTGCACTTAATAAAGAACGTTCCATGCATTAAGAGATGCAATAAAATGCTGCTTTTCTGTTTCTGCTTGATTCATAAAAGAAGAACCGCCGGACGTTACTATGGGGAATGGGGTGAGTGGTTCAAAAATTCTATTTTCGCGTGGTTACATGGACAGGTGATGCCATCTAGCGGGGCGCAGTTGAAACAAAAGCGTCTGCAATCTCGAAGCCAATGGCGGGAAATCGATTAATGGCCGTTGCTGCTGCTGTGGCTTCTGCTGCTTTCGGTCTGCTGCTACTAGGACAGTAAAGCCGATCAACGTTGTGCACGGCAACAGTGACGTGAGAAGGTCCGGTCGGCCCGCTTTTTTTTTTATTTTTTTGATTTTTTGTTTTCTTGATTTTTTTCAAATGGCAATCTTATACACTCTTCATGACAATGCCTGCAATATATCAGAAGCTATTACAGATAGCAGAATATCTTTTTTGAAGAATGAAGCTATATGTTTGCAGCACATAACATAAGAAGCAGAGTTTAATTTCTCTTGATGCAAGTTTTTAAAATTAGTCTTTTGTATGACCACACCGTGGCCACATTCACCCCCTTATTCACAAACGCTCCTCGACTCGACTTCCATCCTTCACTTGACAGAGTTGAGCACTGCGCCATCGCTCAGCGTAAAATGACGCTGCGCTACTCAAGAATCGCAGCAGATTATCGCTGATATGCAGTGACCTGTCGCGCTTAGAGGCGGCGCTCCCATCGGATTTCTCAAGTGAAGGTGAAACGTTGAGTGAAGGGACGTATTAGAATACGGGGGTCAGAGCTTTGAAGTTTAGTTGAAGTTTAGTGTAGTGTAATGTAAAAAACAATAACCCAATTAAAAAATTCTTCTTATGTTGTGTGTTTTATGCTTTCTAATGTTAATCCCTATGTTATTTGTAAACATATGACTGTTGGTTATTTTTCTATTGCGGTAAGAACAATAGAGATTGTTATCTTGATTATTTGATGAACTAATGAAGCTACAGAAAAAATAACATTTTGAGAATCAGGAGAACAAACTAAGTAAGCATGCAAATTCTTATCCTATTCGGTTCAAAGATAGATTAGATATCCTATAAACGCATGTCCCCCTTTCACTTGATGTGGTAGTGTCTGTGCCTCTTTAATGGTTGGGGTGGTGGTGGTGGTGTAAACTTATTATTTGTAGTGTTAATACAGAGCTTGTGGTGAGGAGGGGCTCAGACCACGGTTCGGCTGCGGCTGCTATTTTGTCAGCTCGACTCAGCTGATCGTCAGTTTCTCGCAGCCCAGCGGCTCTTAACATCACTCCGCTGTGGAATGTTGTCCAACATGATTATCGTTTAAAATAAGTAGCAATAATTGAAACAAAATGGAAAAAATAAAAGAAAGCTTACTTGTTCAGTGCGACTACAACCGAGTGATTCTGATCCTCTTCAAGCACTTCCGATTATGTCATCGTCAGTCAGCGAACTAGTAATGGCAACATCATCGTCTATAGCGAGGTAGTCTACATGCTGGGCGCCACTGGAACGCAACATAGATCGCAGCATGCATGAGCTTGCATGCTATGCGCAAAGTTACAACACAAAGATAGTAGCAGCTACGGTGGGTCGGGGACTAGTCCCACCTAGCCACTTCCCCTCAATTTGCTGTCATTATGATCATATTCTGCTGCAGTTTGTTTGGTTTCGGTTTCTCCAAAACTCCAGCTCTGACATTGGTTACGGCAAGCAGTGATCGAGCCTCCAAGTCACTAAGATTGTGCGACTCAAAGCATAAGGGTCCCGATATTCCTCTTTAAAGTTGCACAAGTTAAGCGGTACGCCAATAAATCCCTCCAGATCAATGAGCATTTGACACATTTGAAAAATGCAGTTCTGCCGGGGCCATGCCTTGAGTCCGAGTTAACCGAATTTTTACGTTAATGATGTCTGTATAAACAAGGTTTTACATTACAATTTCAAACTAGTTATTCGATGTGCCGCTTCCTGCAAGTCACTTGAAAGTTTAATTTCTCTTTGCTTCAAATTAAAAGCTGAATCGCAGAACATTTCTTGCATAAGATTTGATGCTATTTATACAAAAGCAGAATACGAATAAATGAATGAATTATTGCAACTAATTAAGATTCATAACCACAAAATGCACAAGTCAGCATATACGAGATTACCTAAGTTGCAACTGAACATATTAAACGGTGTGAAGTAATGTGTAAATTTGATGCACTTATAGACAGTTTTTCGTAGGTGGCGTCTGAAACGACTAATGTGAATCATCAATGAGCACTGTTTGTAAATGATAGGTTAGGTTAGGTTAGGTTAGGTTAGGTTGAGCACTGTTTGTAAGAGTACTTGAGAAGTAGGGTAATTAGACACATAGCGATTGCCCTGCTTTTTTCTCTATGCAGACATCAATCACCGGATGGTGAGCTTCTGGGACAACGTTGAAGGGTTCAAGATGAGTTGCATGCGGAAGGAAGTGCTCGCCGAGGCTCATGTGATGGACGCCCCAGCTTCGAGTGTCTGCTCTGAGCGGCCAGCCCTTCTGTTGGTATGTGACGGTGGGTGGCTGTGGATTCCAAATGTGTGGCAACTTTATGCCTTGAAAGTCTAATAATAAAGTAACTGTGGGGCTTTTACGTTCCAAAACCACAGTAGGATTGTGTGGGACACCATAGAGAAGGGCTCTGGAAATTTCAACTAATACCTAGGGTTCTTTAATGCATGGGCCCCTGGCATTATGCCAGAATTCTCAAAGTCTAACTGACAATATTCCCTCATGAGCGAGTGCTGGCAATGATTTTACCAGCCACAATGTGTGTTACATGCCCACTGTTTGCCTACATGCATTGAGTTTCAAATAAACACACAGGATCTCGTTAACCCTGTGTGATTGACTTTTTTTTTGCAAAATGTATTCCAAAATTGTGCTATTTTTTATTGCTAAACTGATGACATGACGTGTGTGTAAACTAGGTTGTATCTTTTTTATGTACAAATAGGTTGTATCTTTTTATGTACAGTTCATTTTTCTTCTTGCATTGTCCGTCTCTTGTGAATACCTTGTCATTGTATTGCGCCTACTGCATAGGCTAGCATATTGGCCTGCAGTATCGATAAATAAATAGAGAAATAAAATGAATTCTTCGCACAAATCTAATACAAAAAATGACTGCAGTTTCCTGAGTGGGAACACTAATTAGCATGCGGAGCATATATGTTGAACTGCGATAAATGTGGTTCGTAATTTGCGACATGCATGTGTGTTGTGAGTGAACACGAGTGAACACGCATGCACGTATGCTGTGAAAGACGATGTTTATTGATGAGATGCTTTGCGTATTTTGAGCAAGATGGTTTATGGTCCGTAATGTGAAGGCAAAGCGCATTGTGTTGAGAGGAGGAAGGGATGCACAGACGGCTGGCGGAGGAGGAGGGGAGGCTGCGGACGGCGACGGCGCATGACTAGCCCCTAGTATAACATGCTCTGCGTGCAAAATTGTTTAAAATTATTCTGGGTAACTATAAAATGACAAAAAAAAGTGTTGTGTTTCACGTACAAGGTTTTTTCTAACAGCAGGATTAATTTTCCCCCAAAAAAACTTACAACTGTTAAAAAATATGCGTTGCAATGAACGTCCCTATGGTTCATAGAAAAATAAGTGCATGAAGTGGTGTCAAGTGGGAACACAGAGGGAGAAAAGCCAATCGTCTTGCTACGTGCACTTTTGGACGTCGCTCACTCATCAACATTTGAAGCCCAACTTGTAAGTAGTGCTTTGTATAACGAGCTGACATTTACTAAATCAGATGTGATTCGGAGGAACTGCACCGCTAGACTCACTTTTGCAGGTGAGAAACCAGCGTGCACTTCCATAGCGCAAGCAAACTGTGTGGGTTCAGCGCACTAAAATAAATTGTGTAGTTGTGAGCGCTTCGAAAATGCAAAGACAAGTCCAAAACCTGTAGTAATGTTTCGTGTTATCACGAACAAAGTCTTTGCGAGTCAGGCAATGCAACCACAGCGGCATCGTTTCTGTCAATCAGTGCCTATATGAAAACAGGTATTATAATGACGTACGGGGGAGTAGAGAACGAGATAGTAACAAATCAGGCACCTTTTCAGAGATTCTAAACCAGAAAGCCATCAGTTTTTTTGTGTGCTAATAAGTGAGATGCCAGCCAAGGAATGCATATTGTAAACTTGCCAGGCACACCGTTGTAGTAGAAAATAAAAAACAATAAACAGAGAGGCATCGGCACTTGAAAAACATTTCATGTAGGATTTCTGCAATGTGGCAGCACATGCCAAGCAAGAAAAGTGATTGAAAAAGGTGTGTGTTTCAAACATACAGGCAATAATAAACATGTGCAGCTTTGACCGTCTTGTGGCATTTTGGGATTAAGTACATGTACATCTGAAGTTGATATGTTCACTTAAAGTTAAAGTTGGTCTTCATGGCAGTGTGGATTTTCTCTATATATGGGCATTCATGGTACACCACCCCTCCACTGCAGTGAAACTACTTTTACAGGGAGTTACATGCAGGCTGATATATATTCTTTCGTTCATTTTGAATACTTGGAAAATATTCAATAATCTAACATTGAATCTAAGCGAGTTGAAATACCGTAGTATTCGTTTGAACATTGGAAGTGCTCGAATATTTGCACTAGCCTAATTCACGATTTAGAAAGATCATTTAGCAAGCCTGGTTTTTCACACTCATCCCATTTGCATGATCTACAACTGTTTGTGCAGAACCTTGACTTGAACACATGCCGCATGGAAGACAGTGATTTTGCAACCGACTTCGAAATGGATCTGAGGCCTGGCACACAGCAGGTCACAGCACTGGCTGGTTACTTCGACTGCACATTCGAGCTGCCAGTGCCTGTGAGTGGCAGAAACGTTTCTTCTTTTCAAGCTGACAAGTCTGCGCATCAGTGCCTTTTACTTTTTTTTTTCTCATTGCTAGGCTGACCTAATTTATCATCAAAGTCGTTATTTCAGTATTTTGAATCCGGACCTTGCTTGTAGTGCTGTGTTTCTGTACATTGTTTGCTTTTGTGGTGTGCTAGCCCATACAGTGCTTTTCCAGCACTTCTAATTTTTTCTTGCTTTCTTTGTAATTATTGCTTTCCTTGAATAACTAACATTTGGTCTCTGTTTCCACTTTGTAGAGGCTTGCATTGTGTAATAATTCATGTGGTCATGAAAAGAAAATAAAGCTGCCTGGTTGTAAGTTTTACTGTTTCAGTAAGCATGTGGCATTCTGATTTCTAAGTATTTCAGTTCAATTATCAGCCTATATTTAATAACATTTGTTTGAAATTCTAGAATACTTACGATCTTAAAACGACAGTGCATCACTGCCGGCCATCATGGGCACTAGTAAAGTGACATCATCTTCAGACATTCAAAATAATTGTAGCGTTAACCTTCTTTTGTTCTGAAATAATAAGTTTATATGCAGCCTAAAAAGTAATGAAATATTACAGCAACTTTACAGCGTGCAGTAGTGCTCAAAGCTCGAAAGCCGAGTTAATTCTAACCAAGGGAAGAGCATACGAGAGATACGGTGCCTGCATCAGCTTCTAGCAGTTTCCAACAGATGGCACGCTCGTCTGTGCCTTTTCGGTTCAGGCAGGGGTAAAAGTGCTGCACCAATTGTGCCATTCTGCGCTGGCGTGTACCTCAACAGCAATTCTTCGTCCATATCAAATTAGTTCGGTCATGTCGTATTTCGGTTCATGCATGAATCTAAGCTCCACGTGAACAGAATGCACGAATCTTGTTAAGGCGGCGTTTAAGTACAGACTTCATTATGTGACTACATATATGTTTTAAGAGCACAGCTGTTAGTGAAACTATTAAGACGGCAGTGGTGTTGCAATAAAACTCGCCACACCGTTGCCGAGAAACCGGCATCGCACACACTCTGCGATGAAAACTGTCAAACCATGTAAATTAAAAAAAAATAAAAATTAGTTTCACTGGCAAAGCGATTATTGCAATAGCAACAATTTGTAATGTTCTGATTATAAGACTGCACGCGCTCCTTTCTTTCTATTTTTGTTTCCCGAATGACCAGGAACCATCTAGATAATCTTAAAACTGCCGATGAGACTACACGCACAATGCATACATTAAAATTCGATCTGGAACTTACGTGGCCACTAGCGACAATGCTGAAATCTTCGATGGTACAAGTATAAATGCCGACGCCCTTCACTGCATGGCAGATTATTGACGACCGACGCTCTGGTTTGCTGCTATCAGTCTATGGTTTGCTGCTATCAGTCGTGTATAGCTTGTAGAACGACGTTTCATTTTCTGGGAACACGTATGCCCCCCCAAAAAAGTTCATGAAAACAGCGGCTTCTGCCTACGTCAACATCATGAGCCCATGACCTTACAAAGGCTGACTGCTAACTTTTTGGATTCGACATCGCGACACTCTACGAAATGCTGGTTAAAGTGATTAAGTATGGTCGTTCCAGGGAGAAATGCTCTTATCGCACAATTTCTTCCCATTGAGAGTGCATCACATAGAACGGTCTAGGAACCGTGCGCCGATCCTTGATGATAGCGCGCGCCAGCTATCGCAACCACACCCTTGGAATCAATGTTGACAGCTGCTGCGCAAGTGACCTCCCGTTTCTCTTGCGTCGTTCCATGCTCGTTCAAAACGGGCGGCACGTTTTCTTTCTCCTTGAGCAGGGGTGCAGCAGCTGCACTAATAGCGCTGATTTGATATGATTCCCCATTTGTGCACCGAACTGCGAGAAAACCATGAAAATTGCCGAAATTGTGCCATGCTGTGCCTATACCCGACCAGCCTCAAAATGTTTTTAGTTGCGCTAACTTGAGCGAGAAATGAAGGCCATGTTGGCCACCCACAATTCGCGTCATCAATCAAAATCGAAGCACGCTGACCCTAACCCTGAACTATGGTGTAAGATGTATATTCATGAGGTCAGGACACTTGCGAGACATTATCGACATAATAAAGTAATGACACCACGCGCCCGTATTTCCGCTGACTGCTGAGGATGCCGATCTGCGGGACGACGCAACTTAAAAGCAGAAAATGCGTTACCATAGCCCATAACGCGTCCCGGTAAACAGCAGAAACAGCTATAGAATTGTAGGAACTTAAGCTGGAAGCGTGTACTGCGTTTTTCGCACGTGAACAAACTCGATGTGCTGTGAACATGGGCGCTGCCGGCATGCACGTTGGTTGCCATAGAAACGGCACATAAAATATTTCTCTGTCTTGAAGTTGCATCGTCCCCGCGATAGATAACTGGTACAGTCTCCAGGCCAACGGGCGTGCGCCATCATTACTTTATCCGGTCGGACGAGCCTTGTAAGCGAGTGGAGAAATGGCGCCCTAAACCTAACCACTTTATTATCCAGGGACTTGAAACCCCATCGTGAAAAAAAAAAAGGGGGGGGGGGGGGGGGGGGTAGAAAAGGGAGGGCGTGCAGCAGTTCAAAAATTTCTTGGCCTTATTTTAAACAGCGCAGAAAGCTACTTAAGCCACCTTTGCTGCAGTACAGCGGTGCCCAACGAAAAAGCATATTCAAATTTGAAAGGGTCTGTTAGCACTGGTGACTCGCAAGACACAGAATGTGTTTTTTTTTTTCGATTACACTGGCATTTATAGGACATGTAATTGTGAGTGCTAGTATGATTTCTGACGTCTAAAAAGGTTACTGGCTTACTGGCAATCATTAGGAGCAGTGTAAGACATTTCTGCAGCCTGACACAAAGCTGTGTCAGTTTCTTTTTTTTTTTTTTTTTGCCAATCCAACTTCTAAGTTTGAAGAATCTTCTAAATTTTGGGGTCCCCAACTTCGCATAATCACATTTGAATTGCAGAGTCTGTCTGAAGATTTGACAGGTGCGGCAAATGCTAATGTGAGCATGCATCATCATTATAGCGCCGAATTTCAAGCGTAGGGTCGGGGATTGTACCCATACGGCGAAGACACCGCGGCACAGAAAGCTGCTGCTGTACATAAATGGCTTAAAAACACTCAGAGGGTTGAGAAGTGTGTGAACTTCAGCTTGTTGGCACATATTCATAGTAAAGAAGAACAGTGAGAAACAACTAAGATGAGAAATTGTAAAACATGACTAGTGCTATTTAGAAGGTTATTGAAGCCATTTGATTACTGTTTGGGAAAATGTCACAAGGTCCCTATAAGTCTATAATTTTGGGGAAAATTCTAGTGGGTTTGAACATGGTCATTAAAAGGGTGCTCAGACACATCACTCTTGTATGGCAGGTTATTCTCAGCACAGCCATGGAGGCCGAGTCCACTCACTGGAAACAAACAGTGTTCCTGCTAGAAGAACCACTCCTTATAGCTGAAGGTAAGTGCCTTGCAGTGGCTTATATTTCTCCCGTCATGGCTGTGGAAGGGACACAGCCTAATCTTACACGCTGAAAACGTGCACATTGGAAAGTCGCTTGAAATTTATTTGTTATAATCTGGTATTTCTTATATGCACATGACCTGTATCACATGCTGGTGAATAGCAATGGTAACATATGTGCATTATCATATTTTTCTTCAATTATATTGAAGTTCGACTGTACTAGTTGCATAAGTATCAAGGGTTTGCCTGTGAGTCATCTGTAACATTGTTGATTAAAGATACACTAAAAATGTCTGTACATGTCGTAACTGTAGCGAAGTCTTGTGATTCGTTCTCTCTCCAGCGCCTTCTAGTGGGTCGCGCTTTTTGAAGAAGAGGAGCAGCTCGTGCAGAGACTTGGTTCCCTCCAATAAATGTCTCAACATAGCAAATTTAATTAGTTACCAATTAGCTCTACAAAAATTACTATGTTAAGAAACAAAATGTCTATAACTTCTGCTTTGAACTTAGCTTGTGTTGGCGGGGCACGTATCGAAATAAAAAGGAAAAGACGACAGAGGCGTCTAGAAAGGTAGGCTCTACCTTTCTAAACACCTCTGTCGTCTTTCTCGTTTCATTTCCGTATGTGCTGCGCTAATACAAGCTAACTTCTTAGATAACCAACTCTCCCGAGCCACAACACTTCTGCTTTGAAGCCTGCACCTGTTTGCTGCCTTGATGTCATAAATTTTAATGGTGCCTTTTAGGTCTTGCATATGTTTTTAATGTCGAAAACATGCGTCTTTACATCGAAAAGGCAGCCACCGCAGCCGGGATTCGATCTCACGACTTGCGGGTCAGCAGCCGAGTACGTTGGCCACTGGACCACCACGGCAGGGTAAAAGCATCGCAGGGTCTCTTTAATAAACCTACGACACGTAATTTACGATGTTAGTGTTCTTGGAGTACAATTGGTCAATCTAAACTGATTCATTGTGTCACTTTAGTGTCCTCTCAAATGGCAGGTCAAGTTTTCTGAGTTTAAGATGTCTGAAAAAGCATGCTTACTGTGCACGCAGGTGAGAAAAAGGTGCGAGGGCGATTGGAGTGTCGACGACAAGACCGCAGAGAACTCCTAGTCACAATAACGCTAGGAACAAGACGACAGCAGTACATGCTCCATTGAAGAGACTTTCTCACCTGTACAGGATGGCACCGTGTTCGTGATGGGTTTGTGTTCGAGGTGGTTTGTGCTGCAGGGCAGATATTCACGTGAACACATCTTACGATCCATGCTTGAGCATTCGCTGCTTGGTGAAAGCATTTCCATGGCACTGGTGCTCGTCACAATTGCTCATCATTACCAGAATGGATGGTAGTCCTTGTTCATCCGATCGTTGTGAAGTTGCTTCATGATAAATGCGAGAGAAAATAAAGAGTTTCAATGATGACCTCTGTCCTTCAGTGTTTTATGAACAAGGAGCCTGTATGGTTCCCAAAACATCAGTACTGTCATCTCTTGGCAACTAAAAATGTTGCTTATTGAGTGTCGAAATTTTACCAGAAAAGACTTCTGCAGATGGCCAAATTACCTTATTTCTCTTCTTAAGTACACGAAATCTGCAGAGTAAAAAAATTTTTAAAAATTTCAGAAAAATATTTTGGTGTCAGTATTGCCCAGAACTGCATATGTTTAAAGGGAAATGCTACTCGAAGACACTTTTTTTTTAATATTCAACCTAGAGCAATGAAACTTGAGGTGTTTATGTAACTTTTTATGCTGATTCCAAATATATAATTAGTTTTCTTGCACGTTTCTTACTTTTAGCTCTGTGAATTGACAAAGTGAAAACCTTAATCCTATTACCCCCTGTTTTCATCCCTGAACTTCCGTAATTTTTTACCATTCATAGTTCTTAATGTTTGAAATAAAGTGTAGAATGCAAATAACTAATTAGGAAGCACATACAAAATATGTAATAGGCGTGAAATATAATAAACGCAAAAAGTCCATATTTCACCTACCCTAGTGAAGGTTTACATAAAATGTTTTCATTATACAATAAAATATTGAAATTTAAACTAGATAATTGCATTCCCCATACTTTAGAAAAAATTTGGGCAAAATTTCATGCAGATTCGAGCACTGTAAGTGCCCTAAAAAAGGAGGGGCACATTGAAAAAAATGGCGAAATTTGTGTTTTGAAAAAAAGTTAAAATTGAGTTTTTATTTATGAAATATATCATTAAATGTGATGAAATTTGCACACCAAAAAGAACAATGCTTCTTGCAGTGGCCACTGCGACTAAAATACGCCAGCCCCATGAGTTTGTCCCTCTCGGCTTTTTGGAGCCGACTCCTCACAGACATTTCGCTCACAGACGGCCATGAAACGCTTGCCAAACTTTCGCTCCATCTGGCAGAGCCTCGTGCCAACTGCAAGCTAAGAAGAAGTTCGACAGGACTGCGAAATCCGAAATAAGTCCAGTGTCATGCCTTCTTGTGGCCATGTTTGTGCCACATATCATCGTACATAATGGCAATGTCGTACCTGCTAAGTTCTATCACTGCAAGCTCTTTCAACCTCGCAAGATTGGTGCTGACGTCATCCATTGCCGCATCACGAACTTTCAGGCTGACGGGTGTGAATGACTTTTGATGCATTGGTTTTGATTTTGATTCATTCACCGCAAGTTTGGCATTGATCGCAAGATGGTTCGATTTTGATGAATTGGTCGCAAGTGAAACCCGCACAACGGCTTTCACTTGAGAGCAGTGCTTTTTTCCTTCATAACAGAGATAATTACAAGAAAAAAAGCTTTGTTCAGCTGCGCTGCTCGACAAGACATGGCCCCCTCAAATAGGCTTCACAGCACATACAGGTGCGCAGCGGCCAATGGCAGTCCCCAATCCGTACCATGTGATAAGCCAGTCGCGGCACTCGAAAAACGCGCAAAATCGTGCTTCTCTTTATTGTTTCTTGTGATGCATCAGTGAGGGAAACTGTTGTTGCTTGAAGAGTGAGGCTCGACTCTTCGGCTAGTGCGATCAACAATGGCGAGTGACGGCGCATTATCGGCAGCTAGGTGCAAGAAGACTGCACACTTTGGATCTTTTAACCGGCACCTTGTGCTCTTTAGATGCAATTTCAAAGAATTTCCAGTTAAGTCTCGGCCTGTATTTTTTTCTCATAACAGTAGAGGTACTAATCTTATCAAAATGGCCAAAAATTACAAATCGGTAATTTTGAAAAAAACTCGCGTTTTTCGACCCGCATCTTCCCTTAATAGTAGTTCAGCATTATAAGCACGCACAGGGTCTGCTCACTGTGCTTTATCGCAGTCTACACAGATGAAACATGTGTCTGTTCTCTTGTATTGACAGCTTGTGTTTGGCATCTTCTCTCCGTGCCTTGGGCTGAGTAGACTTAGTAATTAAAGAGAACGACAGTACCTCGTGCGTGTCAGTGATAACCAAGCCAAAAGAAGTGGGAACAAAGATGTGAATCAAATTCCACCAGCCCGCAAGGAAGTACCGTCAAAGATTAAAAGATAAGTTTTGCGCACCTCCGTTGCAACTACGCAACAAAACCGAAACCAGAAAACGGCATTGCACGTTGATGTTGCTGCCGACTGATAGATGTGCTGACGCTAGTAATTAGTTTCATTTACATCTGCAAGGAGCTAGTTAAATCATCTTCAACACTTTTTGTAAGTTAACCTGAAGGGAATAACTGTGCTGTACACATATAACCACACACACACACAGGCACAGGTCTCGCAACTGACCTCTATTGCACACAGTCCACCTATAAAAGTACATTGTGCAGAAACCATCACTGTGCATGCACTCATCAGTAAAGTACCGTCACCGAATTCTTAGCAATCATGTCACTTCAACAATGCTCATCGATAAATCTTGCCTCTCTGTTATGCAAAAGCACTGATAACTCACTGGCATATTCACTTCTCTTCTTCCTGATGTAGTGCGCTTTGCAAATTTCCCCTGCTCTATAATTGCAGCAGTGCCTCATATCTTAACATCTTTTAGTTTCGGTTCACACTTGCACTGAGAGCAGTGTATGGGTAGCTGCTCGCTTGTATTGTTTTTTGTGCATGCGCACGTTCACAGATCTTTTGGTCTGTCTTGCATAACTCTTCTAAACTTCTTGTAAGTTGTAAGAGGTGGCAGCACCTCCTATAACAGGTAGTAAATGTACACCCTGAAAAATTTATTGCTTGTTCATTTCTTACTGTACCCTGATTTCATGTCATAATACTATTAGACATAGAGTTTCCTAAGTATACACTAGAGAAAACTCTAGCGCAAGTGTCTACAAGAGCTGCAACGCACGGCGCTTCAGCGAGCATGGGAATCATGGGTAGTACACGGATTTATCTACGTACTTCTGGCTCTGTTCTTGTTAGCGTGGCTTGGAGCTTTTTTGTTACGGAACAAAACCAAATGTTTAGCGATTGCGCTTCACTGTAACAGTTTTATAGGCCTACCATTTTAAATCGAATAACAAAGTTCGAAAGGGTTCGTTCTTTTCTTCAAAACAAACCGAAACCAGGAGTAAGCGAAGCCATAAGTGCGATTCGCCGCCCGTAAGTATGAAACTAGGCAAATCTGTGAATCTTCATTGCCACAGTCACTGAACGATCGCAGCACCAGAGTCGCCTTTAGTTAATTTTAGGAAACTACGCTATTAGCCTCTTGTTACATGCTCACACAAAATATTGTGACATTTTCTCGGGAGTGGACTGATGCCATGCTAATGCTGATGCCAGTAGGTGCGCCTTGCCAAAGTTTGCTTTGATATCAGAATAAAACATCAGTATTTGGAGTTTCACACTTGGTCAGAGCCGTCTCAGCATACAGAAGATTATTATGGCAGAGTAAGCTTCGAAAATTAATGTCAGTGCCCCTTTAATTCATATTGATGTGCCTACTTGTCTTATTGCCATTGAAACTACAGGGGTACTCCAATTGAAAGTTTGCCGTCGTCACAATGTACTATGTTAACTTGATCGTGCCCTGTGTGGCCTCTTCTTTCAGATAAATGGAAAGGGCGCCTTTGTCTTCATCAAAATATGCCGTAGTGCTAGCAGACAGGGACGAGGAGAACGCAACAGGACAAGTGCTAATTTATTTTCAGAAGTAACAATATATGTAGATCCATGCGCAAAAGAATTCCAAATCAACTCTCACATGGAAACCTGCTGCATCCAGAAAGGCGAGTTCATTTGCAACCCGCTCTACTGGTGTCATAGTGCTAGCAGTCCCTCTCTGCTTGTGCCGTGGCACTTTCTGACGCATTTAACTTACTACCCCATACGGCCGCTTTGACAAGCTTCGTCTTCGTGCTCCCGGCAGGAAGGGGGGGGGGGGCTTTATACGAGTTAGCCGTGTTTGCAAGACGTATTTGTTAGGTCAAGGCTGGGAGGTGGGGGGAGGAGTGGGTAGTGGTGTGTGTCCCGCGAAACATGGACATTTTTTACTTACCAGCACGGCGACAGCAGTGAGGCTTGCTCCGCGCAGCAGCGACAGTCGTAAAAGGTGGCGTCGATGCAAAGACTGATGGCCTGACCACATGTACGCGTTGAGGCGCGTCGGCACGTGGCTTGTAGACCCGGCGTCGCGCCCTCTCCCTACGGAGAGAGAGGGCACGCAGATTTGTGTGGCCACGTGCGCCATCTACTTTCATAGGGAAAGGGCGCAGCGCCTGGACTAAAAGCCTGAGCACACGCACCCGTTGCAGCGCGGGGCTTTCGCACGAGGTACCCTCTCCTAAAGAGGGAGAAGGCGCATGGTTACAAGAAGCTGCACAAGAAGAGAGAGAGAGAGCGCAGCTTCAGGTAACCTTGCGCCCTCTCCCTCTATAGAGCGCGCGTCACAAAGCCCAGCGCTGAAGCGCTGCAATGGGTGCTAGGCCTGACCACACGTACTGGTTGCCATAAAGCCCCTAGTTGCAGCGCGTCAGCGTGGGGCTTTCTGACGCGCGCCGCGTCCTTTCCTGCGCGTGGCTACACGAAGCTGCGCACCCCTCTCTTAATTGGGAGAGGGCGTGGCGTCAAAATCGCACGCGCTGACACGCTGCAAGGGTGCGTGTGGTCAGGTCTTTAAACGTCGCGCGCTGTTGCCCTGCAACGAGTACATGTGGTCAGGTCTTGAGAGATTCGAACCGGCATGGTCTATGTAACTTATTAACGCATCTAATGGAGCTTCTGTTGTGTCAAAGAAACTGGAGGCAGCGCTATACTCATTGCAAGGCTATAATGTCAACGGTCGTCGAGTGTGATGTGGCCATACCTGCATGCGTTCACGTGACCCCATGCTCGTTTACTCATTTAGTAAGCGAGCTGTTACTGTTATAAATAGGTTTTATGACGATATGAATCCTGGTTTGTTAGGTTTGTAACGTACGCGAGGTCGATCGATTACGCTGGAGCAAGCGCAGGATTATTGAACAGGAAGGGGAGGAAGCAAAGCTCAATGCAGCCCCACACCCTCTCCACAGTCGGTAATAATAATAATAATAATAATAATAATAATAATAATAATAATAATAATAATAATAATAATAATAATAATAATAATAATAATAATAATAATAATAATAATATCTGGGGTTTAACGTCCAAAAACGACTATATCACTTGAGAGACGCCGTAGTGGGGGGGCTCCGGAAATTTCGACCACCTAGGGGTTATTTAATGTGCCCTAAAGAAAATAAGCTTCTCACTGAGTACAAAAAATGTGGTTGAGCAATAAAGAACTGTTTTTTTGTCTCCCGCTTCGTGCGTACTGAGGAAGGAAGTAAGCAGTTTTTGAATGCAATACCAGAGGTCCAGGGCCACTATTATCGCCATATTCGGCTGAGTAACAGCGATGTTCCGCATACTACACCGAAAAATTCTCATTTTCAAGGATGACAATTTCCCATTTCGGGCATATTTCCCTGGATACTCCGGGAAAAAAAATCCCTCTTTCCCTCAACAATCGTAACAATTCGCGCACACGCACGCACTCGTATAATCGCAGCTTACAATACCATAGTGATGTTTTCTTTTGTATTTCAGTTTTATTGTTGTTTAATTGTTGTTGCTCTGTATTAGTTTTGTATAACTCATCCACTCCTGCTATAGCCTCGCATTAGGGCTGCAGTATATTCAAATAAATAAATGTGTGTGACATGTTTACTACTATTCAGATGATGATATATTGTATGCGCTCCTGCACAACATAGAAGCATAGCCATGTGACTGCTACCGTATGTACACTGTACACACGTAAATATTGAGTGAACAAAAAGTTATCTCTATTTATTTATTTATTTATTTATTTATTTATTTATTTATTTATTTATTTAATAAAACTGTCAACCCCCGCTTGAGGGTCACTACAGGGAGGGAGTACAATAGTAAGTACAAACATAAAACCAAAACAACTGGCACTTAAATAGCAATGCACATAAGAAACCAAAATTGACAGTAGTTCAATTCAACCATGACCAAAATAAGCATAGATTTCTCTGTCAAAAGATTGCACATCGGTACTATTAATAACATGATGGGGGAAACGATTCCATTGTTTTATAGCATCCGAAAAAATGACCACCGAAAGATGTCAGTGTGAGCGTTGAAAGGTTTAATTATCGGAAAAAAAATTTTAAAGGCAGTGCCAGAACCTAACGCATGTATTGACGGAGCATCGCACAAAATACACAAGCCACACGCACATAAAACGACTCAAACACACCGCTTCCATTAGTGTAGTTTTTACGAGTGCGTGATTGTCTCACTTGTGCGTTAATTCAGCACCTTCGGGGCTCGCCAACTCCCTCGTTTTTACAAATAGGCGCAAGTGCACAGACTGCCATGATTTTCCATAATTCACCATTCCAAAAATTCCCCGATAAAACGAGAAGATTCCCTCTTTCATTTTAGTCGTGGATGACCACTGGAAGTTTCCCCAAAAAGGCAAAATTCCCTGCACGTGGTACATGACTGATCAATAGTGGTGTGGCGCATTCGTGGCAGCCCCGTTTGATCACTGGGGGGAGAAGCACAGTTACCCCCCCCCTTCACCCCTACTCGTGCCAACATTATGCGCTGAAATGTGCGATGACTGATTGCCGCTTGTATAAGAAAAGAGGCTACAGGATCGCATGTTAAGTTTACCGCGAAATCCACTGCGTTGGCAATCTTAACTTTGTTCTTTATTGCTAACTCTAACTTAATTTTTAATTTTATATTTAAATTAATAAAAACTTACCGTTAATCGCTTTAGCTAGCATCTTAATGTCCGTCACTTACGTTCGATTACCTTAATTCGATTAATTAGTCAGTTACTCTCACTTCCAACGACTATAACCTACTTTGAATGAGATCTTAATCAAAGATTTCCTCTCTCAATTACTTCCAACTACTTTCAGAGATTTAATTACTTTGTCTTTCAGTGCTTATGACGTAGAGGCGTCTTGTACGACGCATGGAGGTTCACGGGGTGTCTGTATATCTTTCACTTTTTTTTTTCACTATATTGACAACGCCGAACAGCCGCTTTTTGCGTTCGACGAGGCGTCTGAAGGCTTGCGCCGTAATCGCAGCGAAGGATTCGCAAAGTGCGACTTCTTTGTGCAAAGCGAGCAGTACAATGAAAAATGTAGGGAAGGGCTCCCTTTGTCCTTGTTTTGTCCTCTCTACCGATTCGTGCTAAAAGGCAGTAAAAAAAAAGTCCTAACAATAAGGCCGCATTTATGCACTAGCGATTCGTCCAGACCGGATTTTCTCGAACGCGTTGAATGTGCCCGCCGCTGCCGTCGTCTTTGGCGCTGATGTTGCATGTTTTGCAGCGCACTGGTATATGTTTATTTACGCCGCCGGAGTGCTCGCATCTTCACCGTCACCATACGGAAAGCGCTATTTTTTAAGCAAAGCGGATATGAAAAAAAAGAGAGAGACAGAGAGAGAACGGTGGAAGCTGCCTGTGGTGCCTCCTCCCACCACCACTATATATAGACTTTCTGGTGTCGCGCTTCCCCCCTCTCCCATTAATCCTGCGCACCTCACGGGAAGGAGACCTTCGTCAAACTCGGGTCTCTTCTGCTTGGTGATGTGCTTACAGTAGGAAGACGTTGCGATCGAAGAACGGACCACACACACACACACACAAAAAGCACAAGGCAGTTTTTTTTTTTTTTTGCAGAACGAGCGCAAAATTCAACTGGCTTAATTATTCATGCTTAGCCGAGATAAACAAAACTCCAGGTAAATAAGCACGCGCGAAGAGATATAGTGCATTCGACCGCGCCTTTGTGACGTTCATCAGGAAATCGATTTCAGCTGGAGATAACTTCACTGATTTTTCACAGGCGCCTGGTTCATCGCCCAGAGATGCGATGACAGCAGCTTCGCAAGCTATTCCCTATCTGTTGCACTTTATCCACTTCGTCACTGTTTTTTTTTTTTTTCAAACTGACCTAAACATGTGCTTTGGTTACCATAGATAGCTAATTTCCCGGGCTGGGTGATGTGTTGAAAGCTACACATCTTGAAGTCTGCTCGACATACTCCGTCGCGTCGCTGACATTGACTCGGATCTTCTTGCTTTGTGTCCTAATGTCTGGCTTCCGTTTAGATTGGCTCGCCTGCACAGTTCCGAAAATGCGGGACGCGAGGAAGTCCCTCATCTCAGCAGACGCAGGAAAAAGGGAACACGTGGTGAGGTCAGTTGACGAGTGTTGCGAAAACACGCGCTGTGTCCCTGCATCGGACAGCAGGGAAGACGCTCGTTCGTGATTGGCCCGACGGTGCGCGCGAAGTAACGATCGGCGTCTGGCGCGACCCGCCCCCTTCTTCCCTGGGCCCCATAAAAGGGAGAGACCCCACACAGGGCCCGCGCATATCGGAACCACCTGTTGCACGATGGCCATGCCCACGTTCGCAGCTGCCAGCAGGGCCCGGTTTGCCATAAAGAGTTACAGCGTAGAGGTAATGTTCCCTTCGTTTTGCCTGTTAATTACTTTGAATACTGGAAGCCCGTACGAGGTGGTGATGATATGGGGTGGCTAGTGACTTAGATTGCAATAGACGTTAAAAAAAGTATGCATTAAGCACCTACCTCTCTAGGCACCTACCTTTGTTAACGTCTGTGCCGTCTTTCACTTCCTATATGTACCGCGCTAGCTAAGTTCATGGACCACTAACTCGTCCTAGCTTTAACACTTCTGATTAATGACGCAAGAGCTAGTCGTGGCCAACGGCCGCCAAGACATCTCTCAAAAGAATGCAAGGATAACGGTACGAGAAAAAAAAAACTGGTAATCTCGGCTTCATCTCGAACCTTTGACAATCAAGACACTTGATCGCGCGCACAGTTATTCGCAATGGCGGCAACTTACCACACGTGTACGCGCGTTGCTTACGTCACATTGTAAAAGATATTTACCTAACCGGACTGCTCGCGCATTCGTTTTCATTCGTGAACAGTACACTCTAAAAAAATATCGAGTAAAAAGGGTGTCTTTTTGTCCCACAACAATAATCGTCATCAGGCTTGCGTGCGCTTCCTTTCTTGAAAACTCGGCACTGCCCACTATCCTATCGAGAATGCAATGTAACCCTGATAAAGGGCATGTCGATCGTGACCGGAATGTACCGGGCGCGGGGCGATAGCGCAAGGATGGAACGCAATATAGATGACGGTTATTGTTGTGGGACAAAAAGAACACCCTTTTTACTCGCTATTTTTTTTAAAGTGTACTTACATGCGGGATACGAAACGTGTTGCGTTTATGTGGCTTTTACTCGTCGTCAGTGTTAAGTTCGTCCTCGCGCATTTTCCCGACCAGATGGGTTTCCGTCCAACTCTCGACTTCTTCCAAGGCGAATTTTAGAGAGTGATGAATGATAGTGTAAGACTGCCATGAATTCTGCGCACTGAAATTGCATAACTCTTATGTATTTAATGAACTAATACAGTGAAATGAAACGTGTTGGATGAGCCAAAACGGAGCTATATTGAAAGGCTGTAAAATAGTGGAATATGCATACCAAATAGAATTAAATATGTCCTTGAAAAGGTACAAAACATCGAGAGTGCAATAATAAAACGCAGAATATAATAATTACAACTCATGTAAACAACTGTGGTTATTTTTGTACTGTTTTTTTTTCTTTTCAAGGGAAGAAAGTCTACCAACGCCACTGAAATCTGGCATACTAAGTGCGTTCGTTTACATTGTATGTATATACTTTGAAGAAGTGAAAAAAAAAAAGAAGTGGACAAGGCATAACTGAATGCAGGAACAGCGCGACCTAGAAGTAGTTACTTCGTAACTACGGAAGCGAAAAAACAAGGACAGAAAAGAGCGCTGGACAAGGCAGCGAGGTTGGCTTGTTGTTCAGTAATAATTATTAATTTCTGGGGTTTTCAGGCGCACACAAAAAGACATGAAAATAAGGCACGTCTTATTTAGCGGGGATTTTCCAGAATGATTTCTACCACATGGAGTTACAGCACTGAACGTAAATAGCGCGTTACAGAAGCCTGCATCATTTCGCCTTCCAATACAATACGACTGGAATCACTAGAATCAAACCCTCATCGTTCGGGTCAGCAGGCGAACGTCGTAATAATCGAATTGGTAACCGCGGCAGCAAATAGTACTGCACTTGTGTCAATTGAATCGGTGTAAGAATGAAAGAATAATAATTTCTGGGCCCTCAACTCTTTCAGACGCCACATATAAAGAACTCCCTGTAAATGCGTCAAATTTACAGTACCCACTGTTTATTCACTAGATATTGTAGAACAACGACAATGATATCTTAATACTCTGGCTTACGTGTTTTATAGCAATTTTAAATAGCAAGTTTAAGTTGTAGATTATTACGATGTATATGATAAACTTTAAGGTGGCTTCCGTCATTGAACCTTTCGCATATGGCTGGCTTTTGTGTAATGGGTAGCGTGCTTTAAATCACGAGCAGTCGTACGCGTGAAATGTTTTCGAACTTGCTTTGCACTCTCTACGTGGTCTTAAAGGAATACGCGCAGTAACGTGTGTGCATTTGTCAATGCGTGGCCGACGTTGAACCACGAAGTCGTTATCTCAATCACACGTTATAACGCCCGATGGCAATTCACGCTTGCAACATTAGCGTGATATTAGATGTTTTCTCGTGAATATGTGCAGCAGGCGTTCGTTTGTAAAGCGTGAAAGTTATTTTCACCGCGTTTCCAAGCGCGACTGTGTGGAAGTGCACCTGCTTGCCACGTAAACGAACTGGGTTCAAATATAATTCGAATCCGGATATTTTTATTATTTTATTTATTTGCATATCTTTTGATATTTGTGTCACGGGCAAAATCATGATTTTTCGCTCACAACCAACGATGCCGACACCGAAATTTCCTCGAAGAGAGCTCTTTACCGCTCTCGTGATAAAGTATGCTATAGTGTCGTCAGCGAAAATTACAAAATTGACATCTGAAGAAATGTAGATATATAATTTATATACAAGTTAAAAATCAAAGGTCAGAGAATACGCCTGAGATTTTTTTTTCTGTGTGATAGCATTTAGTTCATGCAGACAAACTGACATCTTTCTGAAATACATATTTTCAGAAGCGTTAAGCATAGTCCATGAATGCCATAATTATCTAGTTTATGAAAGAATATTTTATTATTTATGTAGCCAAAGGCTTGCGTAAAATTGACGCGATCGAGCCTTTGACGAAGTTCTCCACGTTGTCGGGAAGGGCGTTTCAACTCCGCTAACGTGGCCAACTCCTGCCTCCATTTTTATTGGACGAGTAGTGCACATGACGGAACGCGACACGACACGCCGAGACCCTTAAGTGTTTCGCCTCTAAACGATACGGTGAATCTCGCGCATGTGTGGAACGGCGATAAGCGAAGCTGCTGATGACGTGTCCTCGGAACGTCTCGCATCCACTATGATGAAAGCGTCGAGTATCTCTCTGTCGTCGAAACTTCTTCACTTGTTCAGTTTCGTGTGTATCAACGCGCCAGGACTTGCTCTGCCTCAATTTTGTACCCTTGAGGTACATTTTCACGCTCGGCTGCTTCTTCAGCCAACCGCAGCGCCACGGAATAGCCTCGGTAGTCTCGCCACGACACCGCCGTTGACGCTGAAGGCCACAAGCTTCGAAACTTTGTAAACAGCGTAATTTTATGAGTGTGTGTGCCTGGCTGTTTGCACTGTCTTCACTGTTCATCATTGTATATGTCATATTAGTCACTCGGCAGTTAGAGCAGCATGCCAGGCGATTTATTGGTTGATTGGGCCCAAGACGAGTGGCTCAACCCACCATGAGTGATCGACTATGAATCGCGTGGCAGTGGGATTTTGGGGAAAAAATTAGGGAGGTGGAGGAGAATGCCCAGGCTAACCTGTCTTGTATTTCTTTCTTTCTTTCTTTCTTTCTTTCTTTCTTTCTTTCTTTCTTTCTTTCTTTCTTTCTTTCTTTCTTTCTTTTCTAGAATGTTCTAGTAACACCTTTTGTTCTTCCTTTCTTTCCTTCTTTCTAGAATGTTCCAGGAACACCTTTTCTTCCTTCATTTCTTTCTTTCCTTCTTTCTAGAATGTTCCAGTCACACCTTTTGTTCTTCCTTTCTTTCTTTCCTTCTTTTTTTCTAAAAAATATCGCAGCCACTTTCATCACTATCCCTATAGCGCGGAGCGTCTACATCGGTAATTGCGCCCAAGTTCAGCGAATAAGGTGCGCGCAGCTTTCGACGGGAAAGGATCAGGAGGGCAGGTCACACCGGGGGCGGCCGTGGCACCGTTGCGCAGCCGCCTGTTGCGCCGGGTTGCTTTTGGGCGATGATGGAGCAGGAGCCGCGGCAGAAAAAGGCACTTTTCTACCATATTCGCACCGGCCATGACGTCCGGCCCTAAAAGCCACACGCACATACAAACAGACGCCAGTGTGAGGAAAGAGTGGACCGCCGCGTAGAGAGGGCGAAATAAGCTTTAGACAGGAAGGAATGAAAGAAAAAAGAACCTGGATCGGAGGGTGTGCAGCCGAGCGTAACCGGAAGGAGCTGCTGGCTTCCGAGTAAGATGGACGGAGCTCGGCTGCTGTCGCAAGCACCGGCGGCCACGGTCATTTCCACCCTCCCGACTGCGACGACGCACTCGCTCGGTCGATCTTCTCTCAGGCAAGGGAGAAAAGGTTGCAGTTTTGGGCAATGGCACCATCGAACTTGTGGGATGTGTGCGCATAGGGGAGAATAGCGCGTTGCTGGACAAGCTGGTGACTGCTGTGCTAAGACATTGTAGCGCTGAACCACAATAGAAGAAACGGAACAGATGAAATAGGCTGGGATGCAATGTTAGCAACGACGGCACACACAGATGAAGCGCATTTCATGCGCGACGGTCCAACTAACCCCAGCACAAGGCGATGGAACAGGTGCTAACTGACGACTTCATTCAGAGAACTCATTCTGCGTGGCGTATATGTATTTTTGGCAATGCGCAGACGCATAGTCGACATTGCGTGGGCCACAGGGGCGCATCGAAACAAAAATTTGTGGAAACTCTGTTCGGGCGCGTCAACCTTTGGCAGCACTCCGCACAAAGGAGGAACATTTTGATTGTGCCAGTTAAACACCCATTTCATTGTATGGAACGGAACATGGCTTGTTCATATCTTTGTTCCTTCAATAAACCCAGTTGTTAGTGTGCGCTCGCTTGTCTCGCTTCCTTCTTCGTGTGCCTTCCTACTACGCAGTTCATCCAAAATAAAATTATGTAATAACAGAACCAGAGTTACAACAAATAAATAAACAGGCATATTGATTGCCTGGTTTCTCTCGAAGCCAGAAACACAGGTGTAGGCTCTGTCCATAAAAAATTCGTTGCGTAAACGCTGTTGCGGTACCAATCGATTGATGTTATGGGCATCACCTTTATAACGGGGCGGGGACTTGTTCACCTCTAGCTACAACCCATGACGT